ACTAAGGCGACTAAGTCCTTAGCCTAAGCCTTTTATATATATATAGCGTATACCTCCCCTCCTTATAGACTAGGCTATAAGGCGCCGCTCTAGGAGGGGCGCTTCTTAGTATAGCTTTTACTTCCTATAGTACTATTAGGTTAAAGCTAGCTTAGTAGTAAAGCGCTAACCGAGCTAGCTTATATCTCTTTTATATATTCTAAAGTAGTACTTTTAGTTATATATAAGTAGGGTTAAGGTAAAAGGGGTCGTTTATATAAGGAGGGAGGCGCTTTATTTCTTAGCGCTTCTCTATCTACTATACCTATAAATATCGTTTATACTTAGTTCGGCCTCCCTATCCCTACTAGCTAGCGGGTATCTTAAGCTCGACCTCTTATCTTAGTATAGTCTACTTAGTCCTTACTTCTAAACTACGGTTAATTTAAGAGCGCCTTAGGTTTTAATAATAGGGAGTACCTATTACTTAGCGTATATCTAAGTATTTATAAACCGTTAAGGTTATTATAGGTAGTTTTCCCTTACCTTTTCCTAGGCTTTATTTACTATAAGGTAAGTCTAGGTCTATAATAAGTAGTCCCCTTAATATAAGATATAGTTATAAGGGATTTTGCCTTTCTTAGCCCTATATTTATCCTTACCTTTATTATATACTATACTCCTATATTAGCTATAGAGTTATATCGATATATACCGCCTAATAATATAGCTATATTTATAATAGTTATAGTACCTTTATAGTTAGACCGACTTATTATAAGGTTTATATTAAAAGATTTATACTTTAAGGACTAGGCTTAGGTTATAGAGCTTATTAGCCTTCTTTAAGCTACTAACCTTAATAAGTATAGTCGTTGCTATTAATATCTTAGATTAAGGGTATAGCGCTTAAGCTTAAAGGACCTTAACTTTATTCGCCTCTATAATCTTATAGAATAATCGCTCCTTATCTACTATCGCTACCTTTAAGGGGATATTCTTAGCGACTACTATATATATATAGCGGGTAATCGTAGCTTTTAGTCTAAACACGGCCTTAACCTAGCCTTAGTCCTTTTAATAAGCTCTCGCCGCGGTATTAAATATAACTACGATATCTCTACTTTAAAGGCGCCTCGCCGCTATAGCGCTCGTAGATTTTAAGGCCGTATTTACTACCTTTACTATATTCTTTAGTTCGCGGCTTAGGATTTCGGGCGGTACCCTTATAGGGACTTTAATAATCTCGCGTTTATAGCGCGGTAGGACCTATTTTACTATAGCTTTATATTAGGTCGGTCCCTTAATCTCGGCTACGACTATAGCCTAAGTTCGCTTAGGGCCCCCTAGGCCTAAAGCGATGCCTAGGTAGAGTTCTTCTTTAACTACCTCTTTAATAGTATCCCGGATTATTATCTTAAAGCTCTTATCTACGCGGAGCACTACTAATAACGCGCTACTAGCGCGGCTCTTTACCTTAGAGAGCCGTTTAACTACTACCTATACCCTATTAAACTATACGCTTAAGATAAAGCCTATAAGTTCGTCGTATACTGCTTTTTCTATAGGGTCGCTCGGCGCCTAGGCCGGTATCGCATCGCTACTTTAGGTTTATTAACTCGCCCTATTAGGGTATATAAATTTAGGTAGCGTCTCTTTGCGCTATACGCTCTAATTAAGCCCGGTACGTCGAGGGCCGCTACTACGTCTACCTACCCCTTAGCCTTAGCGTAGTATTATTACTAAGGGTAATTAATACTATTAAATTAATTCCTAGTATTAGTTAGTATTTTAGTCGCGATATATACCCGCTATAGGTATATATTAGTTTCGCGAGAAAAAATATTTTTAAAGAGATATCTATTAAATCTATTAATTAATAGCTTATATTATTTTAAAGTAAGTAAAAGTATATATATAGGTACTATCTATAAGATAATATTAATAGGCTCTATAAAGCTTTTTTTTATATAGCTAGCTTATATATATATATAAGATCTAGCCCTTTATATATAACTATATAGCTTAGGCTATAGCCTAAGCTTATAACTTATAATAGTTAAAGACTCTTATACTAATAAAAGTAATAAAAGGTTAGCTAGCTTAATCTCTATATATATTTATATATAATATACTTAGTAAAAAGTAATATAAACTTTACTATATTATTTAGTCTTAAAATAATAGATAATATTATAGTAGAAGCCTATTAGTTATTATAGGTATATAGTAACTAAGTTACTAGTAGGATCTAAGGATCTAGTAGGATCTAAGGATCTAGTAGGTAGCTATAATCGCGTTAAGCTATTATAAGAGTATAGAGGTTAAGAGTCTATCTATATTAGTAAGTAAAGGCCCCTTTAATTTAAGGTATTAAAGTAATAAAAGGGGCCCTTTCCCTTCCCCTAAGCTAAGTTAAAGAACTAAAGGGACTAAAAGTATCGCTAATAAAGCGGATATATAGAACCTAGGGGATTAGAACTTAGCTAAATATATAGAGTAAGAGTTAAGGAGGTCGTATAAGCGGAGTAGAGTTAGATAAAGGAGGGGGCTATATATTAGATATAGCCGGCCGATAGGGATAACGGTAAGAGAGAGAGAGAGAGGAAGAAAGGGAGAATCGAGTAGATGGGGGTAGAGAGTGTGGGTGTTCTTATAATAATCCCGTATACAGCGACGGGCTAAAAGGGGAAGGGGCTTGCCTAAAGCGGAAGGCGGTGGGGGGGCGGCGGGGAATTTGCAACGACCGACGTTACGGGCAGCGTCGTCGACGCCGCACTTCGCAACGACGCACTTGGCGGAATGATTTTGGATCTTCTTGAACTTTTCGGGCTTGCGGGTTCATTTGGTATCGTTGAGGCTGCAGCTGGTAAACCTTCTCGACAGAGGTGTCAATGCAGGGAACGGCGCAGATTGGGACGTCGTTTCGGGTCGGGACAACGGCGAAGGAGGCGAAAGCCAGGGTGGCGACAGCGACGAATATCATCATGAAATCCTAGATGGGTGGTGAAGATAGTAAAAGAGTAGAAAAGGAATAGTAATGGATGGAAGAAGGTGAGGAAGGTCTTTAAATAGTCGTTGAGTTGCTGCGGCGGCTGCCAGTCGGCCTGACTGCACTTGCTTACCAGGGTACAGATTCATTCTGCCTCATACGCCGCTGCGAATCAATACTTATCTATACTTCGTGCACTGAATCTTTCACTTCGTTTAGAACTGTAACAGGTGTTTTGGTGAGAGGCAGCGGCTTGCGGCTAGCTCCTGTGCCAAAGTTATCTGCTAAGGATAATAGAGTTGGCAAAAATATACCGACTGGTTGGCGGGTTTGTTGTGGATGGCAAGGAACAGCTACGGTCACATTCAAGTAACACTGGAAACCCCGCCGAGGTTAACGTGCATAGTCCGAAGCAGCTTGCCCCCCGTGGCGGAAGAAAACAGCCTAAAAGGGCACCGGGGCCCTTCTTTTCGAGCATGAGCATGAGAGCCGAGCGCCGAATGCAGGAGACCAAAGTCAACTTCAGTCAGCAACTCTCAAGTCTGCTCCAGAGCATCTCCCTAGTATGGTGTCCCGGAACGCCTAAATCCGAACTTTGAGGATATCATTCACATAGAATCTACCTCGAAGCGTTTTGCTTCTCGAAACGAGCCAACGGAAGATGGTCTGCTCACAAGGAGAGTAAGCCAAATCGCCCGTCAAGTCGGGACCGAAGGCGTCGTCCGATGTCGCCTTCATGGCCGAGGAAGGATGAAGCTATTAGGCAAAGCTTCAGCAGCGATGAGCCTGCAAATCGCTGGTGTTTCAGGAAGAGCCATGCCAACGGCCCCTCGGCGAGTTCCTAGTCGAGGGGGGTTTCCAGTCAGCTGCCTGATACCCAAGAGTATCTAACAATACGGCGAATGGGCCGACCAGACTGATGACGATACAACGGCGAGCTTTTTAGAGGAATCTTACCAACGTGACAAGTCAGGCCCGTGGTAGAGATCAATTACTAAAGTACTCGCCACGCGGCTCTAAAGAGACTTGAATGATGCCGTTATGCCAAGAATGAGACAAGGCGCGGAGCGTAATATCTCAACGCGGCCCCTAATCGAGTAGCACTCTATAGAGACTATGAGCCTTGCTAAACTACAAATAGCGATACTCTTTTCTTTTAAGTGCTTGGTCACTGGGCGGGCCCGGGCGCCCATGCCCATGCATCAGTCGCTCCGACGGGCGACGAGGCTTGAGGCTGAGCCATGTCCCGATTTGGGATGGATGAGTGACTGAATGCTTAATTTTTTTTTTCATGTTTCACGTTTGTTTGTCGCTTCGCCTTGTCAATCGAGACAGGAATGAGAACGTACGCAACGACGGAAGGCTCGCAACGCATCAGGTGAGGAACAAACAGACGGCTTGGACGTCCCGTCGCGGGAAGGTTAAAAAGGCTAGCAAGGGATCGCTTACGCATAAATATAAACTCGCGTGCTAGTTTCGACTAAATGGGGGCATGATCTGTTTCAAATGCGACACGGGGGCGCAACAAGCATGTGAAAGACAGGGGTTTGACAAGATTGGCGGAGAGGAGAGAGAGGAAGAAGGTTTGTGAGAGAGATAGCGTGCATCAAGACGATGCGATTGGCGGATGCCTCACGACTCACGAAGGGCACCCGGACACGCACGCAGGTGGGAAGACGCGTAAGTGGTGGCCGAGAACAAAATGAGAAACCGAGGGAGTGACGACCTCGTTTCTGATGTATAAAGCCAGGACTTGGCCTTTGCAGCGGATTGAAGGGACCTTTCTCGACGAGAAGCCAAGGAGCGCATACCCATGAACATCCATACCACACGCATAGGCTTATACGACCGAACCTCTCCCTTCTCTTTCTCTCCCGTGTCAGCAGATTAAAGAGGTTTATTCTCCACGAAAAGACCAGAAGCACATACCCACGTACACTTATACCACCCGTATAGGCTTATTTGGCCTAAACCTATCTTTCTCTCTCCTTGTCCCCCTCTCGTGAGACACCGGCTGAGCCTCCAGACGATGCCCTCACACGTCAACGAAGAGCCCCTCACGCCGGGCCAGCTGGACGTGCTGCTGGACATTCTGACGCACCACGAGACGTACGCGCAGATCGAAGACTGTAAGCAGTCGGAGCTGGTGGCGCGTTGGGGGTATCCCTTTGCGGACGCCAAGGGGGGCGCCGCCTTGGCGCCGTCGCTGGAGCAGCTGAGCCTCGACGACGACAACGGGCGGGGGCTGAAGCGCATGGAGATGCCGTCGCCGCTGCTGCAGACGATGCTGGTGCAGTTCGTGCTGCCGCTTCCGGGCGTGCGCAACCTGCCGGGCGAGTGGTGGAGCGTGCGGGCGCACGGCCTGGTGAAGCGCCTGGCGGACGCAGAGCTGTCCGAGAGCTACGACAAGGGCGCGCTGGGCACGCGAAAGACGCTCGCCACGGGCACGGGCGCCGTCCTCGAAATGGTGGCCCGCGGCGTCCTCGGCGGCCTGCCCCGCGGCCCGGCGCCGGCGGTCGGCCGCGGCCTCGACGGCCACTACGACCACGGCCGGGCCGAGGACCTGGAGCGGGCGTGGGACGACATTGTCCAGGGGCTCGTCTACGGCGACGTCGTCGACAGCCTCTTTGACCATCTGGCCAAAACGCCCGACGTCGAGGGCCATTCGCCGGCTGCCGGGGCGTCTGTCGACTATATCGTCATGCAGTCCGTCTTCTCTTTCCTTCTCCCCTGCCGTCCTGGCCCAAGTGAGTCGCTGACTGGAGAAAAAACAGCTTGGCGGGCCTGGTCCATCACATCTTCGTCGGCTCGCCCGAGGGCCAGTACCTGCTCAAGCTGGTAGAAAACGTGCAGCGCCTGATCCCTTACAAGCTCATCAAGCAGACGCTGCGCATCGGCAACGCCGCCACCATGATAAACGGCATGATGCGGCTGCTGCTGGCCAAGCTAAGCGTCGGCAGCGTTACCAGCCGGATGGGGCTCTCGCAGAAAGGAGACGACGGCATGAACCTGCTGCAGCGCATCATCTCCCTCACCCTCTCCTGGGACGCCGGGGACTTCCGCAAGACCGCCGACAGGATCGACAAGGCCAAGGACCGGCCCGCCGACGGCGCCCTCGCCGCCATCCGGAAGCACATCACCGAGGCCGGGCGCAGCGAGCACGAGGCGGTGCGAGCCGCGTCGGAGCAGCGCGGGCAGTCGATTGTGACGGCCATCCTCGATGCCGCGGCGGCGAAGTCGACGTCGACTTTCTCCCTGACCGAGGCCCAGCACGCGCAGTGCCTCGAGTACTACTCGGCGCTACTGTCGGTACGCGACCGCGACTGCATCACCGCCTCACTATGCCGCCAGTCGCCAGACCTGCTGACGCAGGCCATGCGCGAGGGCGTGGCGGCGTGGGAGCCCATCATCCGCAGCGTCCACACCCGCGTCGACCTCAAGGACCATCTCGAATCGCTGCAGGGCTTCATCGACGACCTCATCAAGGTCAGCAAGCCTCGCAAGGGCGTCGACGGCAAGGAGCGTCTACCCGGCGTCGATGACTACGTCGACCTCCTGCGCCGCAGCAAGGGCCTGCTCTACGGGTTCCTCCACGCCATCGCCTCACGCTGCCCGGACGTCTGGCAGGAGTTCCGCGGCTGGGCCAAGGCCTCTATCGTGAAATTCAGCCAGGACGACTCCCGCAGCAGCGCCGCCGGCTCCGGCTCCGGCTCCGGCTCCCCCGACCCGGCCCGCGGCAGCCGCGCCCGCAGCAGCCTCCCAGGCCGTCTCAACCAGCTCATCGCCACGCTCAACCCTTCGACCCGGGACTCCGTCCTCGAGACCATCGATGCCCACGCCGCCTACCTGCTCACTATGCACGACCTGTCGCTACAGCGCCTGCAGGCTCTCGCCAGCAAGTCCACCAACGCCGCCGCCGCCACCCCGGGCGTCTATCTGGCCCGCTGGCAGGGGCTGCTCGACGACTCGCTCATCACCCCGTCCGCCCCGCACGGCCCCGTACGCCACGGCAGCGATGTCAAGCACAGCACCACCATGGGCAAGACGGGCGCCGCCGCCCGCCGCCCTCAGCCATCGCCCGCCGCCGACCTGGGGCCCCCGCCGCCCGACGTCACCGCCGTCCTGCGCGCCCTCGGCAGGGGCTTCAGCGGCATCGTCAAGGACATGTCGGTCGAGCTGCAAGCCGCCGACGGCGTTGCTTGAGGATTCCAACGTCGCCTTATTCAGACTATGCGGCTCTCCTTTTGCTTTCTTGTTCTTGTTTTCTTCATTTGTCTCCTCTTTGCTTGAGACAAAGTGTCAGGGCAGAGGATAAAAATATTACGTCGCAAGGCTACCGATAAAGGTAGAGAGAGGACATGGACATGGACGCAGGAGGAAGGATCATGGCGTTTGATGGGAGCAGCAGAATCAGTATCCTGTATCTTAATCAGAAACTCTTTTCGTGCCTGAGAAGTTGGAGGACCTGGGGGTTCTGACATTGTGATACCAGAGTCGATATCTTATGACCCCTCTGGTCCTTGGGCCCCCGCGTCTTCTTGTTCTGGATCCCGACCTTCCACCTCCTGCAACTGCCTCGCGATAGATCGCTTGTAACTAGGAGTATAGAACTCGTGGCTCTTCATGCGGGCAACGTTCGCCTGGGAGGGTTCAAGATTCTGAATTTGAAGCCCACGGAAGCAACCAATAGTCGAGCAGAGAATACTGCCCTGCATGATTGCTTATCTTGCCTAGGTTCCTAATCCTCTTCGGGGCCACCGGTGGGTGACTGCAAGCTTGCGATAACGAACAGTTTCGACTTGGTTCTCAAAGGTTCGCTCCGAGACCAGCCTATGTCCGCTGCAGTAGGGGATCAATTTTCTCCACAGTACCCAGTAAATGATGGCCAAGAAAAACGTAGCTATCCCGACGATAGGAAAGACATAGTAGGGGTACTCGCCAGGTTTCCGGACCTCCCGGGGCGGAATGAACGGTGCGACGATGAGAAACAGGTTGACCGACAAAAAGGCTAAGGACACGGGGAGGTAGGTATGCCACGGTGAGCTCCACTGCTCCGACTTCTTGTGTTGGAGCCACAAGAGGCCAGCAGCGACCGAGGCATTGACCCAGGCGTTGGCGTATGCGGACCTGTGGAAGCAGTCAGCACCTATCGAGTGCGGCATCAGTCAGAGAACCACCATACACGTTGACGAGGAGGGTGTAAGCAGGCCCTCCTGGCGGTGCGAAGAGGACAATAGTAGTTACGATCCAATGCAAAAAGAGCTATTCGTGATCAGCCGGCTCTCAACAACGACAGCTGCGGACATGTTCGGCTTACCGACGCTGCCGGCGAGTTGAAGGGCCTAGTCGAGGCCCAGAATCGACTGAAGGGCAACAGCCCCTCCTTGGCTAGCTCCTGGATGAGGCGAGAGTTTACGAAGCTCGCGGCAAGGATACCCCCAAGGTTGCTGAGCGCCACGAATATAGGCAGGACGCGGGATGCGGCGCTGTCGCCAAACATGTTGCGGAAGAAAACGTCGGCCACGAGAACCTCGGACTTGGCCAGCTGCGCCTTGGGAATTGCGGCAAAATAAGCCACGTTTGCGAGCATGTAGAGGGTCGCGACGCTGCCGATGGCCAAGGGAGCAGCAACAGCCAGTGTTTTGCCCGGTCGCCTCAGCTCGCCCATGACGTAGGTCGAGCTCTCCCAGCCGCCATAGCTGTAGATGACGCTGAGCAGGGCTTTGGAGAAGGCATAGGCTCCGCCGCCGCTTTCGGACTCGAAGCTGTCGTCGAAGTTATGAGGGTCGGGTACGCGCCGGTGGCCGGCGAGGGCGGCGAATCCAGAAAAGACAATGAAGACCAGGATAGCGACCTTGACGACGCCGAGGACGGTAAATAGTCTTATTCCCCATTTCGGAAGAACGCTATGGACGACGACGGCAAACGTGACGACGGCGACGGCAATGGCGCGGACCTGCCAGCCGTCCGACTCGCGACCGGACGAGGCGCGCAAGACGTAGCGACTGAAGGAGAGAGCATTGACGGACGAGAAGCCGAGGAAAATAACATGGGCCGCCACGAGACACGAGGCAAGGTAGCGAGGACGGCGGTACACCCGCTCGACATAGTTCTTGGTCCCGCCGGAGCGAGGGATCGCGAGGCCAAATTCGAGGAAGACGCTGAGGCCGCAGAAGGCGATGATGGCGCCGACGAGCCACAGGATGAGGCTAACACCTACGGACCCGGCCGAGGCGAAGACGACCGACGGCGTCGAGAAAACTGGAGCGCCGAGGCGTGTCAGCTCGTAACTTGATACTGGACGCGTGCCGGCGCACCCACTTCCAGTCCCGATGACCTTGTTGAAAATGAGGAACATGGCGCCGCCTACGCCGATCCTGCGGCCTTCGGGCAAAGCATACGTCTGGGACGCAACGCTCGAGCAGAGGTCGGACGCGTGGCTGTTTTTAGATTCGGTTGAAGTCGCGGGCTCCCTGTGCCAGGAACCGGTGGCTCTCTGTTTTCGAACAGACATGGAAACTCAACCTTCTTGCCCACTGGCCTTCTCGGTTGCAACACTATACAGAGAAGCAGGGCGGGTGGCGCCCTCGGTTGCACTGTGGGGAGAGACAGATGTCTAATAAAGAGCCGGAGATCGTAATAGCCGCCAGGTACATGGGCAGATGACTTTCATCTGCCTGAGACGAGGAACGGTCTCTACAGGCAAGCTGAAGAGATCATCGATCATCATCCTGAGCACGCCTCCGCCAGTAAGATCCCTGCGGTACGACCAAAGCCAAGGCAAGTTCTATGTATATGTGAATTCCTCCCCTCGCCCAAAATCAATGAGGGAGGGACTTGCTATGTAACGGCACACCGCATGGGCTGCAAAGGTCGGATCCCTTGTGTTTCCCATCACAACATGGCAACACCAGCTGCTCGCCAAGGGCGGCAAAGCCGCGATAGGAAACCGGCACCCGCAGGGACGCACTGACGGCACGCAAAGTCGCTGTATGTGGTTACACTTAAGTAGGAGGTAAGCGTGGACGGTCTGCTCTAGCACAATATATCCATTCGCGCGGCCTAGATCCTGCGGAGAGCAGTATGGCTCTAGCCGGAAGGAGAGAGAGAAAGAGCTGAAGCCATGTGCTGTACATACATAGCACGCAATGGGCTGGGGCTCACGCCATCGGTTCTTATCTCTTACGACAATTACATTGGCCTGTGAGATGGCCCTGGCGCCCAATCAACGCATCTCGCGCCCAACCATGTCCTGTATCTGGTCTCACACCCGAACGTGGGACAGGTGTCAGGTGAATCGCATGTCATCCAATCCTTGCGTGAGGCCTTTGGCGGGCCGCGACACAAGATGAGAGTCGGAGGTCAATGCATATTCTGGCTTTCATTCAAGTCCCCTCAACTATCTAGAGCTGATGCGATGACAACAGATTATCTCTTGGTATTTGCGGTAGTTCTCACGCGCATTGATGAAGTCATCAAAGGGGGCGGCTAAGCACCCGGCCGCGTGGCACTGCCATCTGATCCGCTTGACATGCTCTGCAGGACCAGGCATCATGGTCACCACGGGCTCGACTATCACTTGATACATTGGCGGGTCGTGAAAGTGCGTCACATGGCCCACAATCATGAGAGCTGCTCAAGTAGCGGACCAGCGTGTTCTTCCTTGCCTTCTCTGACGCAAAGTCCGCCTCGAGAAGGTTGACAATATTGATAATTCCGTTTGATCCGCCGCATAGGAGCATATCAATCATCTCGATGCTGATGGCCTCCTTTTGTTCAGGGCGTTGATTCGTCCCGAGGGAAGACAAAACTCCAGTCTACTTCCGGGATGTGCAGTGTATCTGACATCCAGCCACTGCGCGTGGTAGTTGAACTTTCCATCGTTGAATAAAATCTCGAGATGTACGTCTTGAGGAGCGGAGACGGCCACGATCGTGGCGCCACCATCCATGCCTTTGCACACCTCTGCCACGGCGCGTTTGTACGAGTCCGTAGTGCAGGGGGGCAGGGCTGCTGAGAAGTGGAGCGATCAAGAAGCGTGATAGGAGTCAACTCGCTCTGTGGTTCGGAATAGCTTTCAAGTGTCTGCGAATATTCCCAGAGTCCTCACTAGATTTGAGAGGTAGGTCCTTTTATGAACCACACTCATAAACAATATCGGAGACCTACGCGCCGTCTCGGACACGATGGACATATATTGATGCAGAATCTGACCCATCAGCAATGTAAAAGCTCGTCTACATTGCTTCCGTTGGTCCCCGCGCAACAGGTCAGAGGCTGAGTAGATATCCAGATCGCTTAGGTCCCGAGGTACTTTAAGTGCTAACCGGCTTCCTCGAAGTGGAAGTTTGGGTTGTGCCACAATGTCTGGCCTCATAATTACCAGAACGTCCAGCTTGGGTAGTATTTTTGAAAATTCGCGATATTGCACCTTTCTCTGCAAGGCCATTTACATAACTGCGCCTCTGCCCGCTCAGCTTCTCCTGTCACGCTACGCGGCTCGAGGAGTTCTTCGGTCCTCAAAGCGATTGGCTGGCTTTACGTCCCCGTCTTTGCAACGTTATAAGACTCTCGGGTGAAACAGACAATCTCGAAACCAACCGCAAACCCCCAAGCTTGGTACTAATTCCACCGCACGAGTCCTTACCAGTTCAGTCTTACCATGGCAAGCCCTCATACATGTTCCCCAGAAAACGACTTCTTCGCTCAGAGCCCATCTTCGCATTATACTAGGTACCGATGGGTGGACTACTCTGGGATTCTACGCGCGTGTATCCTTACTAAGAAACACTGTCCGAAACTAGCGTCTCAGGGAAAACCTATACACTGCCCAGATATTTGTTTCCGATGTCGAATTCATAGATATGTTAGTGAAATGGTTTTAAACATGGTCCATCATCTCGCCGTTAGCTTAATCCGCTTAACTTTCAACTATAGTTGGCTTAATTCTTAGTTATAGTCGGCCTGGACATCGCCGTATTCGAAGTTCATACGACTATATATCGATGGTCCGCTTGTGGGGGAGGGAAGGTCGGCTTAACTACACGCTCGAAACCATCGGGTTAGAAAAGATCACGTTATACTGATGATCCCAGCCGGCTCTGCCGGACGTTGAACTTAATGCTTACTACAAAAACCCGGACTCCGGGGTGCACAGCTACCATTGTTGCATAGCGACAATGCCGCCCACGAAAAGAGACAAGAAGCATGAAATATTTCACGTACTCTGTCCCGAACGGCTCCGAGCACCTGCATGCCTCCATATTCAAGTTATACAGAAAGCACGAGGACGAAGAGGAACCACAACCCGATTGTGGTAGAGACGAGGGATCGCACTGGGCGACAATTTCTGCAACAAGGATGAGGCCATGGCCGTCCTAAGGGAGTGCCGCTCCTTTAGCCCAAATCTGTGGTCGGCTCCTCCACCCGACCGCCGTGATGTTCGTGTACGGGGATCCTTACGGGAGCATCCACGGGTTCTGCGACAAGTGCTTCGAGAATGAGTGCACCGTGACCCGGGACATTAACACCACGATCGTCAAGAACAAGATCTCGTACACAGCCCGCTTCGGGTGCATCATCCCGCCCAGCACCGCCTTCGACACTACCTACGACACGGCCTCCATAGCTAGAACCGAGGACGACCAGCTTACCAGGAACATGCACGAGGCCGTCTCATACGTTGCTGCACTGTTCATGTTTCTGCTCAGCTGCGAAGTGCCAGAAGGCGTCGGCAGAAGCGTTTTCCGGCACTGGCCAGCCAGCTCAAGTACGAAGCTATTTTTGCGCTGCCGGATCGGCTTCAACTGAGCTCTGCTGTTCCTGCTGCCGCTCTTGTTAGCCTGCAAGCCGGACCTTGCTCTTCTTGTAACAGAAGAGAACCTGCAAGGGGATTTATGGCTTCGTTCTATCCGACCGCACGGTTCTCGACTCGTCGCTGTCTAAGGCAATGCTCATAGTAGTGCGGCGAGTGAAACCGGATCTTCTCTAGGCGCCATTTCAGGTTTCGTGCACTGCGACACCCACGGACCGCTCGAATCGACTCCCAATTCCCATTAGCAGCGTAGACCTGCGTGGTAGCTTATTCCTCTGATCTTTGGGACTTTGTTATTAGTGCCTCGGGCTATACGTATAAGCTATGCACTGAGAGACGATCTCTCCCCCGCCGCTTAGTTGTGGTCAATGTTAGTTGGATGTCGGGCTCCCTCTTCCCGCCTAGTTATACGAGGCAATGTGAGACACTACTCTGTAAGAGGGTCGAGGATCCAAGCCACGGGTCAACCGATCTCATGTCTGTTTCCAGCTACCCTAGTAAATATCTCTACGGCACCCCGATAACTTCCCTATAAAACACGACGGTTACTATAATCACCACCCAGCAGCGTCGCAATCCGATTCGGGTGCGTCCCGAGCGGCTGGCTCTCCTGGCGGTATCTCACGCCGCGACCCATCTACTCACCGTAAACTGTTACAGATTACCCGTCCATTTTGTGACAGTCCTCCCCCTTCCCTCCGTACCAAGTGGGTACCGTAAACACCTCGATGCGTGTCGCAGATTTGCGATTGGCTATCGGTCGTAACCTGTCACAACTAGCCCACGTTTCAACCAGCTCCCAGGCACTGACCATCATATTCCAGCACCACGAGAAATTCAACAGCGCAGAGCAGGATGGCGGATAGAACCAAGGCACGCAAGTATGGACGGAAACAGTCTCGTTAGTCAGGTCTGCTAGACCGGTTAGGAAGAGTTTCACACGATGCAGGATATATATTAACTAGAAGAGCCGGCCACTTATAACCGGACTGGCACTCTTATTGGTACCGCTAGTCGTGCCTCGCATTGACTATATCTACTGCTTATATACCTTTTCGAACCACAATCTTGATCCTTTCTCGCTCTATCCCACATAGGGAAATCTGGTCCTCGACATTTTTCACAGCCGCTAAAATGCAGTCAATCTTTGCCCTTCTCGTTGCCCTTGCGGCCTCGGCCTTGGCCGACGTCCACTTTAACGCCGCCATGCCCGTCCTCGCCGCCCGCGATGATGCCCCTCAGGCCAGTGCAACCAAGCCATCCATAAACCCCGAGTGCAAATCGGTCCTCAAGACCTTCCCAACGCCCCCTCCCGAGATCAAGTCCGAGTTTAAGAAGAGCTGGCCCACCAACCCGTGCGACTTTAGCACCCCGGCCAGTCTCAGTACTCAGGTTGCCTCATACAGCTCCGCGGTCTCCGCATGGGGCACCGAGAACAAGGAGAAGCTCAGTGTCTGCTCCAACTTCTCGAAGTTTAGCGCCTTTACCGATTGCAACAAGCAGCCGGGCACCGAACCTACCAAGGTTTCCGCCGCAGCGGCTGCCGTTACCGAGAACACTAGTATGAGCGGCATGAGCGGCATGAGCGACGCGACCAAGTCTGGCAACGCCGCTAACCGCCAGCCCGGCATGGCCGTGGCAGCCGTGGCGGCCGCTGGTTTCGCCCTTGTCCTATGAAAAGATGGAGAAACAGGAGGGGGGGAGTGCCAAAGTGAACATATCTCTCGAACTTGACACCCAACGTACTATGTCCTTTCGGCAGATTTAGGTGCTATCTTCCTTTCTTTAGGTATGTTACAGGTTGACTTCTGTCAAGGAGACAGGGGTTCTCTGGTTCAAATGTGTATTTAAGAAAACAATTATAAGCATGCATGTCTATACGCCACATGCGACTTTACTATTTCTGCGTAACCTGTGCTATAGGTGATATAGCAAGAGGAGACTCTAGGAGGATTTTTACTACCATTCAATAGAAACAAGTTGCCATGTACCGATAAACTGCAACCAGTGCGCAGCAGACGTTGTCACCATAACGAGGTGCTATCTCATATGGCGACGCAATAAGCATAGCTAATGAGTAAATCCAGTGGATATTGTATAGACGGATGGATTTCCTACGATGAAAAAGTAAGGCATAAAAGGATAACCCTCTGCTTCTGGACGAGGGTACAGCTAGACATATATCAGAGAAAATGGCCTCCGAGGGGGGAACGGACGAAGTTTGGCCATCTCTTTTCCTGCAGTGCCGAGATGGTCAGGATTACTGGCCATAGGGGATCTTCTTCAAACTTGGCTGGGCCAGATTGATAGGAAACTCTTCAATGATAGCATGGTCCTCAGGGGTCGCAGCGTAAGAGGGGGCCCCAAAGTTCAACGAGTTGCAGGGGATCGAGCACCACCGTCCTCCAACATGGGAATACACGCTCGTGCCTCAAGCTCGCTCTGCCAAGTATATCAACCATGAATCATGGCCTCTTCTTATCTGCTCTGTCTAATCATGGGTTCGTTCTTGTCAACGTCCATGTCTGGACCACAGCCGTCTCCCCGAGCCACACAAGCACACGTCTAGAGCTAGAAATACATGCGCATATATACGAGTCTCCCCAAGCTCTTCACGTCTAACCCCTCCTCATCCGCGTCCCCGTCACGCCCATGCGCACCCCAAACGTCCCGCTGCCCGCACCGCCTGCCCCTGCCGCCCACCCCGGCGCCGCCTTGGCCCTGTTTGCCTCGGGGATGCGATAGCCCCTCTCCCTTTCAAGACGGTGCCGCTCCCAGAAATCGCTCACCTCGCGCACCGGCCCCTTTCTCTTGCGCCTCCCTCCACTTCTCGCTCCCGTCCCCTCTCCCCAAACGCCGTCATCCCCTCCCCCTTCTTCTCCTCTTTCCCCGCCGTCGCCGCCGTGATCGTGGCCCATTGCCCACCGCGCCGCCTCGCCGCAAGCATGGTACAGGCTCCGCGCGAGGCGGCCGTGGGCGTGGCTCAGGTAGCGCAGCATCTTGCGCGCGCCAGTGCTAAAGGCGATGAAGAGGGCTGACACGACAAGCAACAGGCTGGACGGCAAGGCGACGAGGCCGATGGTGCGCAGCGGGAGATTGCCGCCGCCCCCCCACTCACGCGTGTTCATGCCGAAGAGCCCGGTGAAGAAGGTCATGGGCAGGAAGATGACGGTAAAGGTGGTGAAGATGGTGACGCTGCGGCTCTGGGCACTGGCCAGGTCTGCGTGCAGGCGGCTCAGGCGCACCTCGTCGACCTGCGCCTGCCGCTGCACCATCTGCAGCAGCTTGTCGTAGTCGTCACGCGTGCTGCGCACCCGCTGGATCATCTCGTCGGCCTGCTGGGCGTAGTCACGCAGCCGCTTGAGCGCCTCATCCAGGAAGACGCGCCCGTTGGCTGTCTGCTCCCGCAGCTCTGGCCGCGCGTACGTCGCGTGCATCGACGACAGCACCTTGGACTGCCGCTCAAACAGGTGCACCAGCGTCAGCAACTCGTCCTCGATGTCCCGCAGCTCCAGAAGCGCCGACGTGTTGTCGCGGTTTTCCCGCTCCGCCCGCCGGCTCTCTTCCTTGTGTCGCGCCCGGATCGATCGAGCCTTGTTCTCTACCGGCTCGTAGTCAAAGGCCTTGTCGCGGAAACCCTCGGTGCGGAACTCTTTGAGCGACCACGTGAGCTTTTCCGTCTATGGGGCCACACCCAGTCAGCCAGAGAAGCCAGCCTCTCGCCAAAGGGGAGCCACGAACCAAGGCGCTTATTGCCTCCTCAAAGATCCGAAACACCTCCAGGTCGGGGTGAGAGGAGCGGTCGAGAAGGACGCTCACGGCGTGTAGGGCGGCAAGGGCGGCCAGGTCCAACGCATTCTGGCACTGCCGCGTAAGGTCGACGTTGACGTCGTTGAAGATGCTGTCGCGAAGGTCGGCTTGCTGAAATAGCGGACCTTCGATCGGGTCGCTTTCTCGCTTCGGGAAGAAGGACGTCAAGGTATCTGGTCCGGCGTGTTAGTTACTCCCCGACGCGTTTATCAGAGCCAGGCAGCTACTCACGCGAGTCAATCACCCACAGCCAGAGCTGGTCGACCATGAGAACGTTGCCGTTGCGCACCGTCTCCTCTTCAGGCACGTCCTCAGCCGCGCCGCCTCCCGTCTTGCGCATCAGCCGCTCCCGCCAGCCCCCGGACGTGGTGCTGGATCCGCTGCCGGCCCCTTTGTCCGAGCCGGTCCCCGCCGACGATCCCTGGCTGTGCATGTCGCGGCCTGGCTCCGACTCGGCGCAGACCCTCTCCTTGGTCAGCTTGTACAGCATCTGGTCGTCGTCCCTAGACCTCGTATCCCGCAGCGAGGGGTACGCGAACTGATCCAGCGTCCGGCGGCAGTTGATGGGTGGGTCGTGCCCGAGAAACTCCCAGATCACCTGCAGCTCCAGGAGATCCGACTTGGCCACCGACTCGGGCACCGGCCGCGACCGGCCGTAGCCCAGCCGCTGCAGGATGAGGTTCCGCCGTCGGATCAGCCGCTTGTACGAGTCGAAGTGGAGATAGGGCAGGAAGAGGCACGTATACGTGGCCGCGTCTGCCACCGCCGTGGGTGACAGCGGCGGGCTGGCGAGCGAGGGACGCGGTGATGCTGCGTCGAGCTGCCGTCAGCGCGTCTGATGCCTCTCCAGGAGTAGAGTGGGGAAGACGTACGTCTCCGCGACGAGGTAAAGTAGCAGCCCGGCTTTGAAAAGTAGGCGTAATGCTGCGAGTGCCGACCGCGCGTGTGTCGCGTGGCCCAAAAGTCGTGGCCGTACAGCGCCGACAAGTCCATTCTGTACGAGACTTCCAAGGTTTGGAGGACGCTCTGTGGTTGCGCCTACGTCAGTATACTTTGCTACGCTCGGGACGTCTTTCTCCTTTGATACGCTTGATTTCTCACTTAATTCACTCGAGTGCTTCCGCAGTGCTTTGGGGGAGAGCAGAGTGGAATCTCACCTTGACCCAGGTCGGGTTGTTAAATGGCACATGCACCCACACGAACCTCCGCGCCTTGACTCCCGGCCGGGCAAACGCCGCCGCAGGCGCCTCGTCCAGCACTGCCGGGTCACTGCCGCGGATCCGCCCAACCTTGGCCGCCACCTTGCGGATCGCCAGAACAGCTTCGGGCAGGCGCGGCGACGTTTCGATGCCGCCGTTGTTGTCGTCGTTTACATCGCCATCAAGGCCCTCGCCTCGTCCGTCTCCGCCGCTACCGGGCAGGTCATTCAAGGCGCTGCGGCTCCGCGGCGAGAGGGCGATGAATTCGCGGTACTCGAGGCGCGTGCGGTCGCTGCCGAGACTAAAGGACCGACTGATTGTCCGGCCGACGCGCGGGCGCAGGGGCGGCGAGAGCCGGTCGATGGCCAGGTCCTGCTCCAGGTCGGCCTGGATCAGGGACGGCGGGCGCACCGGTGGGCTCTCGGACTGGCTAGGCGCGGGGAGCAGGGCCCGTGACGGGGGCGTGGCAAGGCCTCGGGGGGCCACGGTCGGGACGGAGTGGGTGCGCTGGTCGTGGGCGGCGGAGGAGGCGGCGGCGTCGACGGGGCGGATGATGGGTGAGCCAGGGGTGACGATCTGTCGTGTGGCGGCCTGTCGGTCCTTGATGCCCAGCACGTTCTTGACCGTCATCGGAATCATCGGCGGTGGAGCAGCAGCCGCGGAATCGTCGGCCTCGGAGTCCTTGTCGATCAGCGAGGTCCGGCCCCGGACGCGGAGAAACCTGCTCTGCTCAGGGGCGCCCTCGACCTCGTTCAGCCTCTCGCTCAAGCACACCTCGGGCCCCTTTTTGAGAAAGTCCTTGAGCGGGAGACGCGTTGACCAGGCTCGGATCGTGGAGACGGCCTCGTAGGTCTCGCCCACTGCAGGCGGATCGTCAAAGAAGCCATGGACCTCGACATTGACCTTTTGCTCCAGGCCAAGGGTCCAGCGCCCATCGCCGTCACCATCGCGCAGCGTCATGTCAGCGCGACCAATCTGAACAGCGAGCTGCCTGAGGAACAGTCGCAGCGAGTGGACGTTGTGTCGGCCAAACGAAGCAATGTTTGCGTGGTCGCTCTGCAGGGCAAAGATGGTCTCCTGGCGCATGCCGAGGACGGCCGACTTGATGGACGTCAGGGGCGCGGTGAAGTAGACGTCGCCCGCGCCGGCGGCGCCCGAGAGACGCGACTCGATGGTCTCGTAAAAGGTCCAGATGCGCACGTCGTTGGACGCGGCCTTGAAGTCCTCGTCGACGCGCTGCAGCAGGCTGTTGCCCACGCGCAGGGCGTCGGTGATGGAGGCCGGCAGCGGCGACGATAGGTGGAGGAGGGACTGGATGCTGGGGGCGAGACTGGGCATTGCAAAATAGCTGCTTCCCTGGTGTGGCGTTGCTGAGGAAGTGAGCAGAAGCATGAGTACAGGCATCCGGATGATGGTCTCGAGGCCGCGAGTAGATAGGGGCCCAGGGGGGACAGGCAGACGGGAAACATACCGAAGAAAGCAACGCCGTAGCACTCGCGCAGCACACCGTCGTACCTAGCATCCCGACTCGCCTTTGTCAAGGCCATCTTGACAACCAGCCCGCCCACGCTGTGAGCAATGAAGATGACGGGCCTCGCCCTTGCCCCGGCGCCGCGCAGCGCATGCAACTCCTCCAGCAGCGCGTCCGCCAGGCCCGCCAGCGTCGTGGTCCCTGCCGTCTGCGCCACGGGCGGGTGCTCGTACAGCAGGATGCGCGCCCGGGGAGCCTCGCGCCGGATGCCCTGGCGCACCCACGAGGGACTGCTCGGAGCCGTCTCGCCGGCGGCCTCGCGCATCGACGGCGCGCCGAAGTAGCGGCCCATCAGCCCGTCGCGACTCCAGCTGCGCAGCGGGTGGCCGCCGGGACATGGCACCGTGACCACGTCGACTGTCGTCTCGTCGTGCGTGAGCTCGCCGGCCGGGTCGACGACGAAGCGTGCCGCACGGCGGCAGTTGGCCGCTTTTTCATCGGCGCCGCCATCGTGGTGCTCAAGCTTGAGATCCGTCTCCCCGCTCTCCTCCGAAGCCGAGGTGTGCCATGGCGACGGCGGGAGCTGGTCTGTATTTGGAGGGTTGGCCCATGGTGACGCGCTGCTGCGTCGAAAAGTGCCCGCCATGGGACCTATGGTATAGGGTAGTCCGTGTTGGTAAAGGAGATGGAAAAGACTAAAGGCCAGGCAGCGCAAAGCACGAGCAAGGCACAAGCAAGACGAAGCGTTTACCGATAGATATATAATGGACGGAGTCAATAGATGTCATCTACCCTGGCCAGTCCATACATAGACGCACACTTGCTGTCAAGGTGGCTTCGGAACCAGCCCGCCGCAATCAGCTGCCTCGTTGCGCCGAACACGCAGTCACACTTGACGACGACCCGTCCTCGCCCCCAGCTTGGCACGCTGAGCCGTCATCATGCTGCCCTCCTTCAAGTTTCAACCGGCAATTTATGCGTGGTTGTTCTGGCGGCTTGTGATCCCCCCGCCATCCCTCTCGCCGTGGCTCATGTGAGACACACCGTCGACGCCACCTGATCACGGCACATGGTCCCCTATTTTCACAAATATACTCCGTAGAGCCCCCGTCCTTTGCGGCAGTTGGGCAATTCTCGATTATTAAAGCCGCCTCTCTTTCCTTCTCCCATCAAGGTTGGTTTTCCAGTTCACCTGTGATGCCTCCACGCGTGATGCAAAGTTGCTCTCCCCATATCCAGATCTCCATCCCGATCCTCGAGTGTGCCCCTGGCCCCCACGCTGGCACCGAGGCTCATCAGCAGAGCGAACGAAATGACCGGCAAAGGGGACCGAAAATGCAAGACATGTGCAGCCACCCCAGGCCGCATCTTTGCCGAGAAAGAATTCGAAAGACCGCAAGCTCCGGCCTGATGCTGCACTCATTCGCGGCAAACGGCTCCTTGCCACCCATTCAGGCCTCATACGCCCAGACTGCAGAATGCTTGAAGAGGGATATCAAAAGGTGGTCAAAGTCCAAAGGCGATAGCAACGGCCGGACGGAAGCAAACGAAGAAAAAAGACGGGAGCTCTTCCATCCCAAGCCTCTACCCAAACTTGCCGCTTTTCAGTGCTCCTCCGAAACAAGTTCGTAGTCCTTGACGCTAAAACAGTGAATCGTCGCGTCAAGGTAGAAGCTGTTCTCCACCAGGCACGACTGTCCCGGCTTGATGTGAAAGGCGCCGTTGAGCCCGACGAGGAACGACGTCTCCCCAATCTTGACTCGGACCTTGCCGGCTGCCACTGTGCACGCCCGGACCTTGTTGGCTTCCGCGCCCCAGCGCTTACTGCTGCCGGGCTTGGCGACAATGACATGAATGCCAATGTCCGGCAGTATCGGGATGGGCTGCGCGCTGGTCAAAAAGGCACCAGAGAAGGCAACGTCTAGCATCACAGTCAGCGCCATATTCGCAAGCAAAAAAGGGGGGGGGGTTGGGGGGGAGTTCACGACGAAGACTCACTTTCAGTCCCATTCTCCTCCGTCAGCCGACCCGGCGCCATTTCCCACGGCTCCATCTCCAGCATCGCCTCGGGTCGCTCGGCCGCGGCAACCGACAGCTTGATGGCTTTGGGGGCTGGGCTGACGCTGGCGTCCGCAGCTGGCCGCTTGAGGCGCAGCTGTCGCGTGCTCGCCAGTGTTCGCGCCCGAGAGTCAATCGTCGGCTCCTCAGTCTCCTCTCTTTCAACCTCATTCTCGGAATCCTCGGCAAGGCCAGGCCCCGTCTTCTCGGGAGCGGCTCCATTTAGGCCCGCCTCAACTGAAGCTCCAACTGAAGCTCCAACCGCCCATTTGCAAATGTTTCTCTGCCGCTGCATATAACTGCGATAGAAGCAGCCAATACAGGTAGGGAGCTTAAAGAAGGCGCACTTGGACGGCTCCGGCATGCTACTCGGCAGGGCAACGCAAGGAAGAGACAGGCGACCTGCTTGGTAGATCAGCGTGCAGGCTTCCGGGCCCGTCACCTCGTCGCCAACCAGGTAAGCCAGTGCAGCAGCGTATATAGGCACATCGAGTCTCTCACCGCGGTGGCGCTTGAGCCAGGATTGCGGTAGGCTGCGGCGCCGCGGGAGATGGATCATATAGCGCACATCTTGCCGAGTGGGTATCGCATGTTTTTTGGGTAGAAACTTGTGGAGATAGCGGCAGACATCACTAGGCAACCCATCTTCAGGGGCCGGGGCCGGAATGTCCGAAGTGACCAAGGGGCTTGGTACTCGTGCAGGACTCGGCGCAGCACTTGGGCTGGCCGCCGGGGCCGACGATCTCAGCTGGAGCTCGAGCCTACGCCGTTGCTGCGCGGCGGTGATGATTGGCAGACAGGGCTCTGCGGCGGGCGGCGCGTCCGGCGGAAGCGGATTCCGTGACACGATAATGGCAGGCGACATTGAGTTTGCATTCTTGTACGTGGCCACTAGGCTAAGCGTGCCATCGAGGTTGTCGTTGAACTTGCTGTAGCAGTGCTTGGCCCCAAAGTGGCCGCCCAGGGATGCCATGTTCCTCATGAGGCGCCGGCAATCGCGGACGGGGCAGATGAACTGAGGAGGGTCGGGGTGAAGCTTGTAGTTTGTCGGGAAAAGGGCGCCACGACCAGGCTCGTCAGGGCCATCGGTCCCTAGATATGCATGAATCAGCAGTGTCTTTGAGGGAGCCGGAGAGAACGGGAGATACGAACCTTTGAGCAGAGTATAGAGTCGCCCATCAGCGGTCTCAAGCAAGATGCCATGGTGGTCTTGCCCAGACGGCCTGGGTGATTCTGAGGAAAGGCCCCCATCGTCGAGAATAGCGGGAGAAACGTCTTGGGCGTCTTGGCCATCAGTGTCATTGCTTGATCGGCGGGACCCTCGGCTGCTCGATCCATCTGGAGGCGTAGGGGTCGGGGCGTCGCCACCTGACTCGGCTGCGCTCTGCCGGATTTTAGCGAGCAGCTCGCCCGGGGTCGGAAAACGCATCACTGATGTGGCGGGGGCCTTGCTCGTTGTGCTCTCCGCCTGTGCCTGCTGAAGGTGCTCCAGCACTAACGCTTCCGTAAAGTGTAGTGCTTGAGCCCTTGCGGCATCCCCGGCCTCTGCGCGCTGAGGGGTGGCGGCGGTGGGAACAGAAGGAGAGGAGGAAGAGGAGAAAGACGAAGAGGGGTTGGAGGTTGCGGTCGGACTGGCGGCGGCGTTCCCGACTGCAGAAGTGGAAAAGGGAGCTGGAGGAGGCTTGGCAGAGCCTGGAGGTCGAGGGAACTCGGGGAGCGGCACGGGAGTCTGGGAGACGCAGGGGGGTGCGTTCGCCGGGCGCTTTATGAGCACGAGGGAGGGGGACGGCGCTGCGCTCAAGTTAGAGATGCGAGAGCCCAAGGCAGAAGGTGCTTGCAGCGAGGAGTGCAGCTGACCCGGCGAAGCGGTAGCCTGAGGCGTGGCCGAGGGCCGGAGCCTGGGCATGACGGCGGGTGCGGCCCAAGGCAGCTCGACGTCGGAGGACGAGTCGGAGTCGGTGTCGGAACTAGAGTCGCCATGCTCGCCGTCCCTGCGCTCCTTGAGCTGCCTCGCGCGCTTCTCCTTCCAGGCCTTGTTAAGGGCCAGAATGCGGTGATGGGCGGCCATCTGCTCCGTGCTGGCGGGCGTGCTGGCGGGCGTGCCGTTGGCCCGGGCCTTGGCCGGGGCCTTGGCCGGCTGCTGCTGAGAAGCAATCGGGGTATCAAGGGAAGGGCTAAGGGTGGCCGAGAGAGGCACTAGGGCGTCACCAGAGGCATGGCCCGCGTCAGGGCCGGGCGGCGCGTCCATGGTGCTATGCCGCGCCGCGCCGGAAGGGAGAGTTGGTGGAACTGCCGCCCGCCGAGTCTCGTTCCGAAGGCTGGCTTGCTAGTATGTCGTGGGGACTGGGGAAAGCTGCGACCCTCTTTTTCCCGTCAAGACGAAGGAGGAGGCGGAAGAGGGTAATTCAGAGCCGCGGAGCCCAGCCAAGCGTACCGCCAAGGGCTCGGGCGGAAGCTGGATGCAGGGCGGGAGGTGCACGGAGCCGTTGGCCTCGAAACGCGGTATGTAAGGCTTTTTTGAGGCGAGGCAGAGCTTGACGGAGGAAGCTCGACGCTGTTGGAGCACGCGCGCGTTGATGAATAGCGTAGGCGGTGAGGCCTGGCCCGTGAAATAGATTGGCCGATTAGGAAAAAGAAATAACAGGGCCCCATTCGCCAGGAGCTTAGGGGCTTTTGCCGGGCTTATTCAAGCAGGCCGGCAAGGCATCCTTTTTATAAGCCGCAGAAGGTTAAACTAGGGTCTAAAGCGCAAGTCAAACTTCATTTTATAATATTAAGCAGTTAATATAGTTAACGCAAGAAATATACTAGTTTTATAGCCTTAACGTGGCTTTATTATATCCAAAGTAGGGGCATAACGTAGAAACATATAAAATTTAACCTGCCTTAGCGGTCTCGGGATGTGCGAGCCCTATAACTAGCCCCGCTATAGATGAACTAGTATCGCCGTAATAAGCCCTGCTTTGATTTTATATCAAGCAAGCTACTGCTAATGTTAGGGCAGGACCAGACAGACATCTCTACTTCTAGTACGCAACTTAAGGTGGCGCTGTATGTAGGGCCCTGCCCCCTATCTATTCAGGCTGCTAAGGCAGATCGAATATTGTGAGTTTCGACGCCAGTAGCGTTGTGCTGTTAGCATTTAGAAAAGCCCTCGGTCGAGCGTTCAAGTGCTGGTAAAGTGCCCTGGACCCCCTTGGCAGGTAAGGGGGCCCTGGGCCTACATTTACGCACCTTGAAATTTGAGCTGCCGACCAGCAAAGGCATACAACCTTAACAGTCAAGTCGTGCTATATCTCGGCCACTTTAACTGGTCAATTTCGGCATCAAACTGGATCTGTTGGTCAGGACTGTCGGTACTTGTGGCAGCAAGTCACGACCCGGACGGTTGCGTATCGATAAGCGAGCTTGACCGCCACACAGTCTGCGCCACTAGGCCGAATTTTGCACTGTACGTACTGATACAGCGACCGCACCTGTGGCTTGTCCCGATTCTGCCGGAGCCGCATTCGGAGACTCACGACGAGTTGACAAAGCGCCAACTAAAAGCACGCTCATCTTTCCATTCTTCGAGAGCTGAAAGCAGGGCATTGTCCGGGAGTCAGTCGGCAAGCATGTCCCCAGCCTCTCGGCCTGGCCAGGGCCCGCCACCCCCAGCAACAACAGCGCCAGACCAGCTCGTCAGCGCCCGCGACGGCAGACGGTACTGGCAAGGCGTCAGTGCCGACGTCGATGGCATGCTCGGAGGCGTCCCCTCCATGCCGGGCTTCGGCTCCATCTCCAGGATCGATCTCCAGGGTTCCCGTACCTTTTTGGCTAGGCTGGGCATAGGTCTCAAGGGCGGCCGGCGGCCCATTTCGACTGTCCTCGAGGGCGGAGCAGGGTGCGTCTTCCGTCTCCTTGGAGCAACAAGTCATGGCAACCCCGCCAATTGAGAGCGGTTTGGCTGACTGTCTGTCGTCGGCCTTTGCGCGTTACCTTTGGCGTCTTTGCAGCATCGGCAGAGTCACCGAGGGCCTACTGCTCCCCTTGGCAGAGCACGTCGACATCGTAGAGCCCATGTCCAAGTTCACCGACGTGCTTCAGGGCAAAAGCGGCGTCCGCACCGTCTTCAATGTTGGCCTCGAGGACTGGCTGCCTCCGCCGGGCGTCGAGTACGACTTGGTCTGGACCCAGTGGTGCCTGGGCTACCTCAGCGACGACCACTTGGTGCGCTTCTTGCGCCTCTGCAAGACGGTGCTGCGACCCGAGTCTGGCGTCATTGTAGTCAAGGAGAACCTCAACACCAGCGGCACCGACCTTTTCGATGCCACAGACAGCAGTGTGTTAAGGTTCGTTGACTTTCGCGTCTCTGTGCCCACTACTGGACGTTAAGCCGGGTAAAGGGCGAATGATCTCTCCTGCTGACACCCAAACAGAGAAGATCAAAGCCTGCGAGACATCTTTCAAAATGCAGGACTCGAGCTGGTCAAGACGGAGCTACAGCGCGGATTCCCCGAGATGTCGACGAAGAGGCTGTATCCCGTGCGCATGTATGCGCTCAAGCCATGCTAGATCTTTTACGCTTTGCCCTTTTTGACAAGATACAAAAAGGGGGAAAAAGGGAAAATCAGGCAGAGCGCCCCTAACCTCTGCCCGTACCTTGGGCAAATTGAAATGATGGGGTTCCCCAAACTTGGACGAAACTATGTTCGCGGTGGCCGCCGTGGCGTTCAGAGTCTAACTGCCTCGACCCGGGCTCCAAGCCTTGAGCCACTTACAAGCTTTAGGCAGACTTTGGCACGAAAAGCTGTGACAGGGCAAGGCAGCAACGGGTGGCCGGGCCAGCAGTCGCACGAAAAGCTTGTCTAGGGACTGATTGCGACTGATTGCGACTGATTGCTTCTGATATAAAGACCCCCGACCTATCCAATCCGCAACAGCAGGGTCCAGAGTCTCATCTCGCCCTTGATCTTTGCTCCTTGCTATTAGTCCCGAGCAGCATCGCGAGCTATCAGTCTGTATCCCACCGTCTTCTACCGCCAACGCCACAATGATGGGCTTGGTCCTCGAGCGAGAAAGTCCCGCCCGTCGACACGACCAGCAACAAGCGCAGGACTGCCCCCTCCTCCAGCTCCCGGTCGAGTTGATCCTCCTAATATCGGACCATCTGCCGCGGCCGAACCAGATGGTCTTCTCGCAGACCTGCAGCCCCCTAAGGAACATCCTTCATTACCGCCTTTCCCTGAATCTGCACTGCCAGGACCCGTTCATGGGACTTTCGCGTGGCGCCCTCCTCGAATACCTCATCTGCATGGGACGACAAAACCCCAACGTGTGGCTCTGCGAGACATGCCGGCGGCTGCACAAAGTCACCGAATGTGAGATTGGGCGGGGTCGGAGAGCGTGTATGAGCTGGGCGCGACGCGCCATCTCCTGCCCGGGTATGCTTATCTACTACCATCATGTTCAGCTCGCGCTCAAATACAACCGCATCGGTGGCAATGACCCGAAGTGTAGGGGACGGCTACAGAGCCTGCTGGCGCCGCACCATCACGACGCATGGTACCTAGACCAGCCAGATCGACTGTCGAACCGGTTCTCATCCGTGTGCAAGATTGTCGAGGGCAACTTCATTCTCATGTCCGTCTGGGAATGTGAGCAGCGCGACGCGGACATTCCCGTGTCGCGGCGCAGTATTGGGGCACTCTCGATCTGCAGTCACCAGTTTTTTTCCTATGCAATGGACTCCGAAACGGTCAGAGCGACTAGACGCTACAACGACGCCCTCGCCAGCGCCATCGTCGAGGCCCTGCGCAACCCAGACGGGGGCGAGGTAACCGGAGCGTGCCACCAATGTGCGACTGACTTCGCCGTCGAGGGGTCCCCCCAGCGCATGAAGCTGCGCACCTGGCGCAACCTGGGGCCCGAGGGCTCGCCGCTCAACCCGGAGTGGAAATCGCAGGTTAACTACATGACTCTTCGACGGAACAACCAGCCGGGCGCCGTCCGGGCCATGTACGAGGGGCAGTGAGGGGGGCTCCAGCTACGGGGGTTGGAGTGGGTGCTGGTAGTGGCTGTGTAGATTGTACAGACGATGTCGGGAAGCGCTGTGAGGAGGATGCTTGTCTTTGGTTTACTGTTTGCTTTGGATGGACGGAATAGTGTAGACAGCGAACGGTAGTATGCGGGATGTATGCAGCTGGACAGACTCGTTTGAATATTGATAGCTTAACAGACAGAATGTATCCTACTTGGCCTTTTTGCTTGCCGGACAGCCATCAATGACGGCGAGACGTCAGTCCAACCTTGGCCCCGTCTCTTCGTCCTTATTCTTTGGGCTCTCGCCGCTCGTTGGCTGGCCGATGCAGGCGCGTACACAAAGGGTAGGGCCAGCGTCAAGCTTCCTATCGAGGAAGTATCCGGGAGAGAGCAGTCACGTGCCGCTGCCTTCAGTTCATCGAGGGCACACATAGGGGCGTCTTCTCACCGACGTCTCCCAATAACAGACGTTGCATCGCGCCGGGCCAAGTATGCTCGGCGAGGCCGCCCCCGTGCCGCACCCTTTCCCCTTCGAAATGAACGGGGTTCGACAGCGGCGACAAGAGGAAAAGACAACCGTCGAAGCAAGACTGGCCACGGGGCCCGGCGTCGAACAGGCAAAGAATCCACTCGCGTCTTTTGCTAGATATATACACAGCCATGGTACATGTCAGGGCAGAGCCACGCCCTCACTTCTTCTTGGTCGCCTTCTTGGCCTTCTTGGCCGCCTTCTTGCTCATGGGCTTGGCCGCAGCCCCGACAGCGTCACCGCCGCCCGGCACGTCAGCCTCCCTGCGCAGCGCCGCCCTGCGCTGGCCGTCGAGCTCGCGCTCGCGCCTCCAGCGGCGGTGCCGCAGCCACTGCTTGCGGGTGCGGAAGCGGCGGGTGCGCAGGCCCGTGGTCTTGACCAGGCGGCCGATGCGCCAGTTGTCCTCGCGGTAGCTGTAGTCGGCGCGCAGGCGCAGCAGGCGGTCGGGCTCGCCGTCCTGCAGGCGGCGGACCTCGTGGGGGATGCCCGAGGCGGACAGGGCGGGGGTCTCGGGGGCGGCGCGCAGCGCGTGGGCCGTCATGCCCAGGCGGCGCTTGCGCTCGGCGTGGCGCGGGTACGGCAGCGCGTCGGCCTTGTCGAAGACGACGCCGATGTACTTGCGGTCCGGGTGGCGCGCCGCGTCGCGGTAGTACTTGACGTAGCCCGTGGCCATGGCGTGGATGGTGTGGTCGCGGCCCATGATGCAGTTCTCGCCGGGCCACCAGTGCGTGCCGCGCTGCTTGTAGATGATGTTGCCGGGGATGACGAACTGGTCTGCGTCGCGGCGTTGCTCCACGTCAGCCCGTCACGCACGCACAAGGACTGTCTCCCGCGGGGGGGGTGGGGGGGGGTGCTGGTTCCCGCCTCCACGGATGTTGCCACTCTCTTCCAGCCATCATGTCGACCGACAGCGAAACGCGCCGCCGCCGTCGCCTCTTGTCCGCGTGAAACAGGGGGGAGAGAGAGAGCCCGTACCTCCGGTGCGCTTGGCGCCGAGCTTGTTAGGGATGCCGCGCTTGCTCTTCTTCTTGTACGCCCCCTGCGCCTTGACCGACGCATACCGCCGTCCCACGCTGCCCAGTATCCCTTGTGCATTCCCGGTGGGCTGCGCCGTCGCCGCTCGCAGTGCTGCCTGTGACGAGGCGGCCGCGGCCCGCAGCATTGGCCGCTGCATGGTGAGGAGCCGCATGGCGTCTTTCCGTTCGATCTTGGTCCCCCTCTCCCTCGGGCGGTGTGGTCGTTGTGTCTGCGCGCTCGCCCGGGAGGAACAGGCAAGCACTCGGTCTCGAGGCTCGGTCTGGAGCTGGAGTTTTCGCGCGCCAATTGGCTGATTAGTCACCTCCGACGTCAGCCGGCTTATCGATAAGCCGCCGTCGGAATGGCCAGCTAAGGCTCCAGACGCCGTCCATGCATCCATCCCCGTCTCTTGCCGCCGGACATCCAGCAAAAGCACACCGACCCAGCGGTCCAGCTCCTCTCAAGATGCGCCTCCTCCTCCTCGTCCCCTTCCTCCTCTCCCTCGCCGCCGCCCAGTTCGGCTTCTTCGAGCAAATGTTCAGCGGCGGCAACGCGGGCCACGAGCATCACCAACAGCAGCAGCGCGTCAACCCGAGCGACGCCTCCATCTACCACCAGAGCTACCTCCAATGTACGGCCCTCCCCTCTCTCCCTCGCCCCGTCAGTCTTGACAACTCGGCGCTGGTAACGCCCCACGTTGCGCATACACTAACGACGCCTCCCTGCACCTTTGTTCAGCCGTCTGCGACCGCTACCTCTGCCCCGACACCCTCGCCTGCGTCCACTTCCCGCACCACTGCCCCTGCGCCTGGGACGCCAATGAGGACAAGTTCGAGCTGGGCGATGGACGCCGCGTCTGCGCGTCAAAGGGCGGCTTCAAGGCCGGCGAGGCGGCGCGCAAGCTCGAGCTCGCCCGCAAGGGTCTGCTGTGAGGGATCAGCCACTCTCCCCCCAGGCCATGAGAATCGGGTTTGTCGGATGCGTTGGGATAGACTTCTTTCAAGTTGTGAATTCGGGAATACGCGGCGCAGGGCATTAGAATAGAGCGCTGTCAATGGGTCGATGCATGGATGAATTCATGACACTCAAAATGGGAAGCATGACAGCACAAAATGAGACGGTGTAGCCAACGCAGTCGTGAGCCATTCCAGAGGTCCATGGTATGTGATGCGCGCAAAACAAACGACAACGTTCGTCTTTTCTCCCAGTCGAGTGTGTCTTAACAACATGCCGCCGCCCAGAAGAAATGCCAGCCCAACCTAGCGTACCTACCTAGTGTGGACAAGACGCAAACTCCACAAGGGAAAGGCGTAAACAGCCAGCCCCAAGCCCATGGTACGGGAAAAAGAGGGGAGACCCCCAAAAAGACAAAATGATGAAAACAGACGCAATCCAGCCCATCCGCTCCGTGGTTCATCAAGACGTATAGTTGTATCTATGGTACGCGGGAAAAGGGAGGGGCCCCCCAACAAAGAGGACGACCCCCGCGCCGCAGGTTTTGGTGAGAGGCAGTATGAACTATGCAGCCTCGCCGTTGGGCAGGGGCGGCATGGGCGGGGGCACGTCGTCGTCGTCGTCGTCCGGGATGGACTCTGGGTGGCCGAGCAGCTGGGCGACGTTCTTCATCTCGTAGTGTTTCTTGCGCAGGGCCTCGAACTGGCGGTGTTTCTCGCGCTCCTCGGGCGACAAGAGGCCGGCGGCCTCGGCGCTGAGGGCGACGCTCTCGTCGTCGACGTGGACGCTCTTCTCGCTCGCGCTGCGGGGGATGCCCTGCGCGGGCTCGGGGACGGCCTCTTCGGGCTCGCCGAGGGAGAGGCCGGGGATCTCGTCGTCGTACCGGGGGCGCGGGGCCTTGCGGGCGTTGTCGTCGGCGTCGCGCACCGGCACGCCTGGACCACGACTGCCGCCGTCGTCTTCATCGTCGTCGTCGGACGGGTCCTCTGCCGGATCGTAGTGCTTTGCGTAGGGCGTCTTGGGCTCGTCAATCTTCATGGTGGAGGAGCGCTCCTGCTCGGTGAGGTAGAGGTTTGCCTCGTCCCACTTGAGGCGCTGCGACGACTCGTTGAGCTCCGACATGTTGGCCGACTGACGGCGCGAGCCGGCGGGGCGACGGCCGGCCGAAGAGGAGCGACGCCGGCCGGCGTTGATTTGCGTGTTCGCCAGCGTCACCTCCTTGCCCGACATGGAGCGCTCGCGCTGCATCGGCGCGGGGGCAGGCGGCGGGGGGGACTTCTGGTGCGACGGGTTCTTGAGGATGCCTGCCAGCGCCTTTGGTGAGCACCGTGGAACCGGAGAGAAGGGGGGCTGTTGGGCTTACCTTTGGGCCTTTTCACGCCTGGGCCGGGCGGGGAGTGGACGGGTGATGACTCGACTGCGGATGCCATGGCGGCGGATGGGAGGGTGTGACTCTGGTGTGTTGAGCAGCAAGACCAGGCAGACGGCACAAAGATATCGCTGAAGCTGGGGAGCTGTCTTGTCGTCCGTGATGGGCAGAAGAAGCCGCGGGGGCGGGAGCGAGTTTAAAAGATGCTGCTGACTGATTCATGGCACCACCACGACTGACTGCACCGTGCCTCCAATCTAATCCGGGGGTACGTACCTTGTCTATTTCCCGCACCTTACGTCACCCACCTCGCCAACCGAGCACGAAATGCGGAGAAGGGCCCTAGAAGTCTGCAGTGGCTTGTAGCGCCCGCTGTATGCACTGTAATGCTCACTGTAGGTTACCCACAGTACCTACTACGTTCTCAGCTAAGGAACAACAGCCCGGAACCTCAGTAAACCGAGAGGCAGGTCTCCTCCACGAGACCTCCATCGCTCTCGATTTACATGCACACAACACACACGCACACACACACACACACCCATACACACACACACATATATATATAGCACAGACAGCACCTCGGACGTGCACGGCTAGCAAGGATAGCAGCTCCTAGCTTCCCCCGCGTCCCTCCCCGGCGCAGCACCTGCCCCAAGTCTGTCATCCTGCTGGGTCCTTCCTCATCATCAGACTCCGACGAGCAGACAGCCGGCTCTAGAGCAAAACTCCAAACGAACAGACCTCTAGTCATTTGTCTAGTGGACAGTCCCTCCGCAGTCCAAGCGCCGCTCCCAAATTTAACCCGCCAAGAAAAGGTCAAACCCAAATCCCGAAATTGTTTCTTCCCCACACTTCTTCAGCACGCCGTTGAGCCACGAACCGTTTCACCCGCACGTGGCAGCCGGCTCCGGCCCCGGGTCTCAGCCTAAAACAACATCACTCCTAATTCCATAACATATGTATTCACTGTTGAATAAATTTCCGTTGCAGGCCTCGTGTGTTGCTTCAGGCCAAAAGCGGCTGCTTCCAATCAACCCATCAAAATACAGCCAACGTGACCGTGATCATCGGCCACACATGCATTCCCATCCACACTGCGCAAAGCCAGATCGGGGTATTTTGCCGTTCATTATCCTTCCCAGTCCCTTCCGTTTTTGTTCATCATTGCCCCGTACACATCGAGATATATCCATAAACTCGCCCATGCCACCACTTTCATCTGAAAAACTGATACAAAAAGAGGGGTGTCGTTGAGGGAAAGGCCACGGTACAGCCAGAGAGAGCTTCGAGCCTTCTCTCACAGAGCTTACCACCAATCAAACAACCGTCACCTGCCCCCGTCTCCACGAAGAAACACAGACCAGTATCCTCGGTAACCGGAGAAAAGAAGGGAAGATAACGTGTCTCGTGTCGCCATGCCCCACCAAATAGAGGGAGTTGGGAATGCGTCACATGCTGACTGCCAAGTTGACTGCTTGCCAGACTGCTCGGCTTGCTGCTTACCCGGTTGCTTGCCTTGGTCCACGTCACATCGTCGTAATCGCATTCCTAGCGTCGTCGGCTGAAAGCAATGTAGAAGCGAGGCGCAGGCTCGCCGAAAGAGGACGGGGCGATGGACCTGTCGTTGGGATCTGGTCTTGGGCAAAAAGTAATACTCAGTCAAAGAGGGCGAGACGCGAGAAATAGAATAGTTTTAACGGCAATCAGCCTCTTTATGCATGGCCGACGCTGCGTGACTGGCCAGACCCAGCTATTGCGCTGCCGTTGCCGCTGCCGCTGCAGCCGCCGCAGCCGCAAGTTGCTGCTGCTGGCGGTTGCTGTGGGCCTGGGTTCCCGGCAAAAGGGCCAGCACGGCTTTGAGCAGGTGGTACCCCGTGCGCCAGCAGACGCTCTTCTCCTGCTCGCCGCTCCAGATGTCGACGCAGATGCTCAGCGTGTCGAGGATGAGCTGCCTCGGCGGGATCCGGCACCCCGTGGCTGCCGCGCCGCTCAGGGGCGCGTCCTCGCGCAGCATGTGCACGCACGTCGTCAGCGTCGCCGAGAAAAAGTCGAGCACAAAGGCCCGGCCGACGAGGTCGAGGCGCAAGCCCTCCTCGTTGCACCACAGCTCGCGGTAGTGGACCAGCAGCGCCAGCGAGCACTCGAGCGACGACCAATACGACTCGGGGAACAGCGTCGGGCCCTCGGGGTGCAGCGCAAAGGGCCGGTGCAGCACCATGAGGCAGCGCCGCAAAAAGATGTCGACGGTGATGCGCTGCAGGCTGGCCGTGCACACGCGCTGGGCGTGGCCCATGAGCTCGCGCAGCTGCCCGTTGTACCGCAGCACGTCCGGGTACGAGATCTGGTCCTTTTTGGAGTTGATGAGGGCCAGCACGTCGAGGACGGTGGGCAGCGACTGGAAGAGCACCATCTGCAGGCTGTTGGGGGCGCTCCACTCGGGCGTCGCGCGCATGCTGCCCAGCTCGTCGGGCCGCGTCAGGGGTGGCATTCCCGTGCACATGGAAACCTTGATGTCGAGGTAGAGGATGGTGAGCCACAGCTTGCGGCGGGCCTCGCGCTCGACGGGGTCGCGCAGCTCCTCGTCGTTGTCGTTGCGCTCCTGCGGCAGGCCAAAGATGAAGGCGACGCGGACCAGCAGGCCTAGCAGGGTCCAGCACGAATCGACAGACCAGCAGGTGGCGTTGCAGACTAGCTTGGCCACCGACATGAGCGATAGCGCGCGCAGTGTCATGAGCGTGGGGCGGAACATGAAGGGCGTCTGCATCAGGCAGGCCTCGGCGGCCATCATGAGCTCGGTGGCGACGGGCGGCTCGTCGGCCGAGGTGAAGCAGCCGAGGCCCATGACCATGAGGAACTGCGACAGCCAGCAGAGGCTGACGGCGTTGGGGTCTTGCCAGTACCGCTCGACCTCTTCGCGAAAGACGGGTAGGTCGAGGATGGGGTTGACGACGTCGAGCAGGTCGATGTAGCGCTCAAGATAGTCGTCGGCGCGGGTGCGCTCCGCGGCCAGCAGGCGCGTCACGGCGTCGCGCGCGTAGTACTTTGTGGCGCCGGGGGTGCCGAAGGGAAAGTTTCCGGGCAGGCAAAAGTTGGCGAGGCACGCGTTCGTGCCGACGCCCTCGAGGGCTGCGGCCAGCGGCGACGACTCGCCGGTGGAGGAGGCGGCCAAGCATCCGATCTGGCACATGCCGTGGTCAGCGCGATGGTCCATTTAACTGGCCGTTCATGCCATGGCCTTTGGGCCGTTCATTTCCGTCGGTCCGCCAGACACGTCGGTCGCGCACAGCATCAACGTACCTTGGTCATGAGCTCCCGCCAGTGGCTGGAGCCGCGGACGCGATGCTGGACCTGCCAGGTGGCCATCTGGGGCTTCTTCTCGTCTCTGCTCGAGGGGACAGGCGCCGTGGGGCAGGGAAACTTGCCGCCGTTGGGCCCCTTGTTGTAGCTGTAGTAGCACTCGCGGCCGTTGCCGCTGGTCTTGCAGCGCCCGCATGGCAGCTCCTTGTCGCACTTGACCTTGAGGCGGTGGCAGCGCAGGCAGCTGAGGCAGTTGCGCTTGCGCTTGCGGACGATGCGCTGCTGGTGCGGGCCGGGCCGCGGATTGGCGTGGTCACTGGCCGAGGCGACGGCCGAGGCGGGCGAGCCGTCGGTGGGCGGGAGCGGGAGCGGTGCCCCGTCGACAACAATGCCGGCCGAGGCGGAGCCGGGCTCGGGGCTCTCGGTGGACGTGGTGGGGGATATGAGGCCGTTGAGGATGCCGTTGCTGGTGGGAGTCGCGCCGAGATCCGGGTCCTCGTGGCCGGGCGAGGCGGGAGAGTCGGTCGAGGCGACGGGGTTGAAGGCGGGTGCTTTGGCAGTGGGGGGCGTTGGAAAAGGGGGGGAAGAGGCCTGGTGGTGGAGGTGGAGGAGGTGAGGAGGGTGGTGTTGGTGATGTACGGGCAGGGCCGAGAGATCAGGGGCGACGCGGGCCGAGAGCGAGGGAAGGACCGGGGCATGCGTCGAGGCGGACTGCGGCTGCAGCGGCATCGGGGGCGGGAGAAGGGTAGAAGCCAGGGAGGAGAGATGAAAGGCGGACACGGGCTGGGGGCGGGCGACGCTGTTGAAGCTGCAGCGGACGCCGGCGTGGACGCAGCGCGTGCACGCGGGCTTGACGAGATCGCATCGGCGCTTGAAGTGGCGGCAGCGGTCGCACGTCTTGACCTCGCGCATGTGCGGCATGGCGGCGATTTAGTCGGACGAGGTCGAGCCGCGAAGAGAGAGTGATGAGACGGGAGCGCAGCAGCAGCGACGACGGACACTCCAACGTCAGCCGCACACACACACACAGAGGTGAGAGCGGGCGGCGGTCGGCGAGCAGCAAGGGGAAGTGAGAATGAAGCAACGACGATGGGGGAAGAAGATGAAGACGTCGTTAAGATGAGCAGGCTCCGAGGTCGAGGCAGTGAGTGAGTGGGTCGGTTAGTGGCCTATCGTCGGCAGTGTCAAAAACGGTACGGATTGCGTCGCCGCGTGGAGAGAGGGGTAGTTGACCAACTACCTACCTCGACAAGATGAGGTGAGAGCAACGGCCCGGGCTTCCCCCTTCTGCCTTGTTAGAGGCTATCAGATGAGGAGTCGAGCGGCTTGGCGACAAGACCCCATGGCCACTGTTTGGTGGACGGATAGTTGCAGCCAACGCGGTGCTGTTAGACGGGCAGGCGGGTGTATGATGAAGGGCCCTGTTGGCTGCAGATGTCGCATGTATGGAACAGTATGGAACAGTCGTACTTGTTGGATGTCAGTGGACCAGCAGTCGAGGACTTGTCTTGGGACGAGCACGCGAAAAGGCGGTCGGTTGGAGGTTACGGAGAGAGCCCGGGGCCAATCAAGCCGGCTCGGCGGGCCATCAAGGGAAGACGCGAGAAGCAACGGTGTAAGAGGCGGGCCAGACGTGTTTGATGGACAGGACCAGAGAGGGAGCAAAGCATGCGAGTTGGTGGTGAGAAGAGAGAGGGAAAGAAGAGAAGAGAGGCGACAAGATGATTATTATAAAATGGGGGACGCTGCAGCGAGGCCAATCAACCCACCTGGACGCCTGTGCAGCCCCGTCCCTGTGTGCGGTACAAGCTTGGCGGCGCGAGGTACCTGTCGGGCGGGAGGAAGGCACAGGGTGCCAGGAGGAGAGTACAAGAGGCTACCTGCGCATCGCGCGTGTCTCTGACCCGGGCTCGGGGGCACGGCGAGTACCCCCCGTGTGGACGCAGGTCCGCTCAAGTCTCCCCTCTCCGTTGCCAGGTACCTGCGAGACTGCTCGGGCGGGCAGGCTGAGAGGCGCAACGAGTGCTGCCGGTACTTGCAAGCCGGCGCAACGAAATATGCTTTCGACTTTGCATGCTATTAATACCTCCTACCGGTACCCGGCGTTGCACTGTCTGGCGCCAAAGGCAGACAGACGTTGGCACCGCCTCCCCGTTCTCTGGCCGGGCACTGTGCTGGAACCTTACATAATACACACGATGATGCCCTCGAGAGGGGGTTGATGGGGGTCCAGGCCGGGATCCGTCTTGCTCGGGCCAAGCAAGGTTTCCCTCATGGTCGTATTCGGTTTCTCTGCTGTCCCAGAATAAAATCAAATCAAATGAAAGGGAAGAAAAGCGCCCGACGGAGGCGGCATGAGCATGAATGTTGTCGGCGCGGCAGAGGACCGGGCGGGAGGGATTGGCGCGGCGGGGCGTGCGGATGCTCCAGTCCAAGGCGTGGCATCATGGTTCGGCAGAGCGAGAGCGAGGGATGGATCGAGACGACGGTGATGATGCAGTGGTGAGGCGCAGGCAGACACGACGGCTGGAAGGGACATGGGGGAGGGGGGGGGCAATGGGCTGGGCTGGGCTGGGGAAGAAGAGAGACAGAGCACGATGGTGCGGGGGGGAATTCGGGAGGGAGGGACAGGGATGGCACAGATGAGACGACGTGGGAAAAGAGACGAGAGAGTCGGGCATCCGCTCTCGCTGCGCTGCCAGCGTCGAACTTAATAATACAGTACCGTACGGGACGGTGGTCAGCGGTTGTGGTCAGCGACGGGGTCAGTCAGTGGTCGGGCCCTCGAACTGCCCGCCTTCCCGAGCAGATAGCAGATGCCCCAGCAGCAGATGCACCAGCAGATGCACGATCCGCGCCCCGGGCGTCGCACTGTGTGCGGGAGTCTGCAGTGGGCAGCCAGCGCTATTGCGCTACTAGCCCGTCAAAAGGAACAGGGGACTCGGGAGGGGGTTGACCTGCAGCACTAGCCAGGGCTGCCCAGCGCTAGGCACCCTGCCGGGGATGAGGGGTTGCAGGGGAGGGCATGCCATGCTCTCTCGTTCTCAGTTGCTCATGATCCCCTTCCTTAGTACTACTACTACTAACTACTACTAACTACTAATTAGCAACAAACGGAATCTGCGGAGCATTTCGCGCTCCCATCACCGCAACGTCCAACCAAGACACACACACACACACACACACACACACACACACACATACGGAGTCCAGCAACCATGGCACGACGACTGCTTCTGCACATACATACATTCACACCTGCATACATACACCCGCCGCGTCCCATGTGCCGTGGCGTACACCGGCGGCGTCAGCCTCCGTGCCGTCGGGGTTCCATTCGAGCCTGGTCGTCGACACCCTCCCTCCCTCCCTCCAGGAGCAAGCAAGACCTCGGAGAAACAGACCATGGGCGGCTGGCCGATTAAGGTTTTGCATGCCATGCTCCTCCTCTGCAGCCGTCTTCACGGCCCTACTCCGTATTCGTACTGGAGTCGGTCCCAGATCACCGCATCGCACGTGCCGTCTCTCCCACATACCACCTCTCAGCATGCACCATGCCGCCTTGGCTCACCCACGCCTACCCCCATCTTGGTTCCTGTTGGAGTCGGCCCGCTGGGATCGAGTGCGAGAGCAGACGAGGACACGATGCCACGTAGCATCTGTCGTCCATGTGTGTACACGTCTCCGAGTCAACCCTCTCAGATCTCATTGATCGTCACTTCAAGGGACATGTAATATAGAGGTGATGGTCTACGCAGATGACTGCATCTCTTTGGCAGACAGCCGAACCCCGGACATGCGGCATTGAGACACGGCACAAGCAATCGGCCGCATCAAGACAAGAGGCGGCGTCCACAGCCACGCGCACAAGGCGGCCGGCCCTTGACTCGGGACGGGAAGCCAGATTCGGACCTTTTCTTCTGCATCCTTGTGGACTGCCTACAGCACTGTACATACAGCCCCCATGTGTGCGCATGCATGTGCGTAGAATATATCATGGCAAACTCTGGAAGCAACGGCATCGCAATCTTCCATTGTGCGTCCAATGACACATGTGCGTCTGCAAGTACCAAGGGTAATGCCGTGTGTGCATTGCATCGTCCAGCAGGGTCCTCTCTTGCCGTCTCCTTTTCAATATACGCAATGCTCTGGTCGTCCACTCGCAGCGATGACATGACATACACAGACAGACAGACAGACACACAGACAGACACACACACACACACACACACACACACACACACACACATGTGCTCATGCATATATACCTCCCTAGCAAATAGTAAGTTACCAGCTCGACTAATGGGCGGAGCATGCGCAGCTCAATACCCGCCTCGCCCAGCATCGCCCCACGAGCAAAAGCCGAAGTCTCTCCCCCCAAGAAAAGAGGTGGAGATTGCCCTGCTGTTGGCTCGAAAAAAAAAGGGCTGCTGACGGGCTGGCTGACCTCAATCTTGACGGTGGGACCCCGGTTCCCGGGGGACACCACCACCACTCGCTGCCAGGCGGACGGTCCAAGGAAAGGGGTGGAGGAGGCGTGCCCTGGTTTCGATCCACGACTGGGCTTGGAAGGACGAGGACGGGCCGACGTCGTTGGGACGGCCATGTACATGCTCCCTCTCTGCCGGGTTGGAGTATCATTGTCAGTGGGTTCCTTGGTGAAAACTCCTTCTTCTTCCATCCTGACGCAGTCGTCGCCACCTCATGGCGGCGTTGCTATTCCTGTACCTACGTCAACATCAAGTCGACGAGCCTTGACTTGGGGGTACGACAAGGGGTAGTTTATAGCATGCAGTCTCCAGGAAAGTGAGCAAAGTCGACAGATGCTTCCGTCGCACCGCCCGTTAAGTTGCACGATAGGGCTGAGGCAAAAAGCAAAGGCATCGTCGGCAGCAGCTCCTCGGCGTCTACAGATGTTCCGGGCCCATCTCGCACAAAGAAAGTATAGTAGACGACAAAAGGAAAAAGGAAGACGAGCACGTGTCGCGTCCCCATGTGGTGGCAGGACGAGGAACAGGTGGTCCGACTCGACGGCAAGTCTATTCTGGCGGCTCCGCGCGCCGGTCGGCGGTTCCGTTCCGAGCATCCTGCTTTGTTCTTGCGTTGTCGACGTCTGTTTATTACTTTGCATGGGCACAACTTGTGCGTGCCTCGGCGACGGCCTCTTGGCCGCCAAGCAAGCGGTGGGGGCTCAGATATGCCGCAAGTACCGACAATACGAATACGCACACATCAGGCACGGCATAAGGCGCAATCTCATACAATGTCTAGAAAGACGAGTCAATGAGGTGCGAGCGCAGGGTAGAGAGAAGAGAGCGGCACACAAGCTCCGGGGCCGCAGCGACATCATGCCATGCACGGCGGCGGTCATTTTGCGGGATGAACCATCCCACTCTCATCGCTCCGTCTCTACGAAACCCAACCGTTTACCTAACTTTCTTTTTCCTCCTTTCCTTCTCTTCTTCCATCGATCGTACAGTGAAATGTCTCACGTGTTAGCCTGCGCTAGGGCGTGCACGGGCAGAGTGCATTAGGCACTAACAGATGCCGCATGGGCCAACGGCTCGGCTTCCGTGGCCACTGAGAATCTCGACAGAGCGGCGCTAGCCGGCAGCCAGAAGCCAGGCGCCGCGCGGCAGTTGCAAGGCCCCGATCCGGCGCCTGCGTGCCCAATCGCAAGACACTCACTCGGCCCGGCGCCTGGCGTCGGGTGCGCAGTGCGCAGTGCGTACTGTGTGGACAGGACCCCGAGCATCGCTAGACGCACTGTGCGGCGCTTTGTACACACTGTACACATATCGTAGACTTTCGACGGCCCTCGGAAGGATTCATCAGGACATTGTCCAACAGCCCGTTACTTCGGGGACCAACAAGACAAGACAAGAAGCAAAAGGGCCGCGGCGGGAGTGCGGCAACATCCGAGACTCGCCTCTCCAAGTGGTGAATATGCGTCCACCGCCCTGCGTCATCAGGCTAAGTAAGACGGCGCCTCTGCTTCTCGACTCATGCACACACACACACACGCATACGTACTGGTTGCATGTCGTGATTCCGAGCACCCTCTCCCTCCCTCTCTCTCTCGGGAGAAGTGCGACCGAGGAAAGACGGTCGGAATCCTTTTGCTCACGGCACCCCGGCCCGGCCGCAGCAAGCACTTGTGCCACGAGCATGGCGCGAGACTCACTTCGACGCCTTCCAAAGCCTCCCCCTCCTTCTTCCCTCTCCTCATGCCACTTCTCCTCGCCTGGTTGCCTCGTTCGGTTTTCGGCATCTAGAGCGTGGCCCCGGGGCCGTGCGCTAAGCCGCCGGCTCTCCCGGGGGCGGAGTAAGCCGGGACGGGGCAAACCCCCGACCAAGACCGGCAAGGCTTTCCTTGAAAGAAAAGGGGTCCAGCCGTTGTGCACACGCAAACATACGGTAGATAAACAGGCACCATCCAACAAAGTTGCACGCCCGCCAACCTTGGTCCGGGACAAGCGGCTCTACAAGGACAAATCATACCCTCTTCCTCTCTCCCCTTCCCTCTCAAACCAACGCACACTCACACACACTTCTCACCTGCCCATCCATAATGGCACCCCCACCCCCGCTGGACCTCCAGAGCAGAGCCCGAAGAGCGTGCAGAGCAGATCTGCCGTCCCACGCGCTCGTGGGAAGGGGGGGGGCACCTCTCGCGCTCTCTCCTGCATGAAATGCGACGGCGCAATGCAGGCTGGCTCAGGATATCCGCCATTGCATTCATGCATCCCACATACACGTGTGCATCAAGGGAAAGAGTGAAGTAGGTAGATGACCTGCATGCCTATATACCTACCTACATGCGTGTGTATCTGTCTATCCCTTGCCGTTCATACATACTAAGCACGCACACCAAGGCAGCTCCGCCAGTGCCGTATGCCTACGTATGTATGTATGTACGCACGGAACCGAGGGCCGCTTGCAGTTTGCACTCGCCTGGTTCCCGTGCTCTGGCCAGGGCAGCCAGCAGCAGTCGTCCTGCAGCCTGCCTATCTGCATGCAAGCCAGTCCGTGCCGTTGGGAGTCTTGTAACCCGAGAGGCGACCATCGACCATCGACTACTGCACGACGAAGTGGCCAAGGAGAGTGACGAGAGAGAAGACCAAGGGTATACAGACCAGACAGGGCTATCTGTAACTGTCTACCCTTGGTCTTCTCTCGGGCTCTTCGGGGGCCAAAAGGTAAAAAAAGGGGCACCAAATACATCCCTTTCCTTGGACGAAGCCCACCGCTAGGCTGCCGTGGTGCGCATCCATCCACCTTGCACGAGCCTCTCGGCAGCCGCACTCATCAACCGCCTTGTAGGCGCCTCTCCGTCGCTCGATGCTCGCCAGAGTCTACAAGCACCCACTGTGCCATGACCAAACACTCGAAACCATGCTTGCTACCGTTAAACTTCTTAGTATTGTGCGGTGGCCTTGTGCCGCCCCTCATTCTAAATCTATCAATACTATTACGATCTGCGAAACGCCTACTGCTACTTCTCGCACTTTTCCCGCCCGACAGTCTTGGGAAATCGGTCCCAGCATCAACAGACTCACCTCGGCAGCTGGGCCCGTTCACGGCAACCCGGCTGCATATCATGTTGCTCGTCGTGAGCTCCGCAGCGCCAGACACGAGGTGCCCGACGGCAGCGGTTGTTGCGCCGCAGCGCTTCGTCGCCGCAACCTCCTCTACGAGCGACAACGACCCCTCATCCCCTGTCGAGAGCATCCCCGGTTCCCCCTCATGTCATTGGGCTCCCTGGTCACGCTCGCCGAAGCCAGAGCCGCCAGTCTTCTTCTCCCCACCCGACGAGTCGCTGTCCTCGTCGATGCCGACGCCGCCTTTCTTCAGGTAGCTACCAAAGGCGCGAGTCTCGACGTCTTCATTCGAGTGGCCCGGCGTCTTGCCCCAGTGACGGTAGTAGACTCGCTTGGCCCATTTCCAGGCCTCGATGCCGAGGAAGAAGAGGAATGCCTCGACAAAGACGATGCCCCACTCCCAGCTGATGCCGGCGTGCTTGAAGACGACGGTGTTGAGCGTCGGAATGTAGATGATGGGGAACATGGTGACGAAGCCCGCAATGACGGCCCAGAACAAGAACTGGTTGCGCCACACATCCGTCATCCACTGCGTAAAGTACCGCTTGCTCTTGGGCTGCATGCGGAACAGAGACCGGCGCATGTTGACCATTTCCCAAGCGAGGAAGAGGGCGAACCAGGTGAGGCAGGCAAACGTCGTGGCCCGCGCTCGGAAGACAACCTCGCACCCGGCCGAGTATTCGTTGTTGCAGTTGTCTCCGATGTCCGCGGCGCCGTTTCCAAAGCCGTAGAGAACAAGGACAAAGGACGACAAGCAGAGAGCAGACATCCACAGGCCGTAGACAACCATGTCGAGGAGCAGTTCGGGGGTAAAGACTCCTTGTTTCAACTATACGGATTGTCAGTCACGACTCCGCTTCAACATACACGTCCCACTCTCTCGCACCGTCTGGATGGTCGGGTCTCAACGTAACGGGGGGATAAACTCACGTTTTGGGGAGGCCGCTGCATAATGTCTGGTGCGGCAATTTCAAAGCCAAGGCCCATGTCTGGCATTCCCGAGGTGACCATGATGATCCACAGAATCTCAACTGGTGCCAGCGGGAAGACGGAGATGCCGCGCTTATCCTTGAAGGCGAGACCAATCAAGAGGGTGCACGCCTGCGCAATGTTCTCGGCCAAGACGTGCAGGATGAACTTTTGAATGTTGTCAAACATGCGGCGGCCCTCCTCGACGGCATTGAGGATCGAGGCAAAGTTGTCGTCGGTCAGGACAATGTCGGAAGCCTCCTTGGCAACGTCGGAGCCGGCCTGGCCCATGGCAATGCCCACGTCGGCCCGCTTCAGGCTGGGCGAGTCGTTGACTCCGTCGCCCGTCATGGCCACGAAGCACTTGCGGCGGTGGAGAGCCTCAATCATGCGAACCTTTGTCTGGGGGGCGCAGCGAGCGACGACAAGGGGGAGAAGGGGAAGGCCGTCGATTTCCTGGTCACTAAGCTTATCAAAGTCAGATGCGGCCATGACCATGGTCTTGGCTACGTCAGAGGCAATCTCGTTCATTCTGGGCGGCAGGATGCCGACTTCGAGAGCAATGGCACGGGCAGTCTCAGGGTGGTCACCAGTCAACATGTGGACACTGATGCCAGCTGCGTGGCACATGCGGACCGAGGGGCCAGACTCGGGCCGCGGCGGGTCGTAGAGTCCGATGAGCCCCCGGAAGACGAGGTCTTGCTCAAAGTCTCCGCGCTCGAGCTCGGCCTCGTTCTCCCGGACATGACGCATGTCAGTCCGGCTGGCGAGCGCGAGCACGCGGAGGCCGAGGCGGGCCATGGCTTCCATGTTCCTGAGGACATCGGCCTTGACATGCTCGTCCAGCGCCTCGACGTGATCGCCGACAGCGTACCGGGGGCACGAGGTGAGAACCCTCTCAACAGCCCCTTTGGTGAAGAGCCACTGCTTCTCCGTCTCCTTGTTCTCGAAAATGACGGACATCTTCTTCACGTCGGAGTCAAAGGGAAACTCGGCGACCTGGTGCCACTGAGCGCCGTCACCCGACGCGAGGCGCTCTCGGTTCCAGTTGAAGCGAGAGGCAAAGACTTGGATGGCAATCTCGGTCGGATCACCGCGTCCGCGCCACTCACCATCAACCTGATTGACGGACGCGAGATTGGCGAGCGAGGCGATGTTGAGGTACTGTCTGAGAGTGGCATCCCTGGCCACGAGCTCTGGGCCGTCGATGGTGTCACCGTCGGCGTCAGCGCCGCGGAAATTGATGTCCTTGGGCTGAGCCGGCGTGAGCCCCAGAGGGCCCTCGGTAGGGTTGAAGGGCTCGCTGGTGGTGCCGACCGAGTAGGTGCCGCGGCCGGGGATCCATGCCTTCTTGACAATCATGGTCCCCTGGGTCAGGGTACCGGTCTTGTCGGAGCAGATATCTACGGGCAAGTTAAGCGATTGACGAGATGCGGGGATTTGCGACGCTTACTAGAAACCGCACCGAGCGCCTCGAGGCTCTTTAGGTTGCGGACAATGACGTTGCGCTGGACCATGCGCTTGGTGCCGGCGGCCATTGTGATGGTGAGAACGACGACGAGGGAGGCGGGGATCATGGACAGGCCGGTGGCGACGGCGTAGATGATGACCTCTTGCTTGGAATCAAACATGTTGGCTGCGAGGACGATGATGGCGCAGACGATGGCAGTGGCGAGCAGGATCAGAGCCAGCTTGGAGAGCTTCTTCTGGAGGGGGGTGCCGACGTTGACGCCGAGGAAGCGGCCGACGGCATCGGAAAAGGTCAGAGTCCAGGCCTGCAGCCAGCGGCCCAAGGGCGTGGTGCCGTCGTCGCGACGCTTGGGCTCGCGGCGACGGGACGTTTTGCCGCGGAGGGCCGCCGCAATCTGGCCAATCTCGGTGTAGAGACCGGTGGCGAAGACGACGCCACGGGCGCGGCCCTTTGTGACGGTGGAGGAGCTGTAGGCGACGTTGAGCCGGTCACCTGGGCCCGTGTCGGGGGCAAACGTGGGTGCCGTCTCCTTGCGGACGGGGAGGGATTCGCCGGTGAGGAGAGCTTCGTTGGTCTCGAAGTTGACGGCCTCGACGAGGCGGATGTCGGCCGGGATGGTGTCGCCCGTCTTGAGCTCGACCACGTCGCCAGGCACAATCTCGGCCGTGACAACGGTGGCACTGTTGCCGTTGCGGACGGCCTGGGCGGTGGGAGAGCTGAGAGAGCGCAGGGAATCCATGGTCTTGGCGGCCTGGAGCTCTTGGAAAAAGCCAACGACAATGTTGAGCACGATGACGGCGGTGATGACACCGCCCTCGATCCATGACTGGATGCCGAAAGAGGCGGCCATGGCGAGGATCAGGACCTAGTAGTGATTGGTTAGCAGGTGCGACGTGTCTGTCGGTGAAGAGGCTGCTTACGAGAGTGAGGGCGTTGGCGATTTGGCCGATGAAGATCTTGACGGGCTGCACGCCCTTTTGCTCGCCAAACTCATTGCGGCCGTGGTCTTGCAGGCGCTTCTGGGCCTCGTCGTCGGATAGACCGATTTGGACGTTTGCCCTGAGCTCTTGGACGACCTGGTCAATGGTCAAGGCGTGAGCGGGAGCCGACATTGGCTTGTTGGACTGGCCGGAGACGTGCTCCTGGACGCCATCGTCTTGTTTGCCGCCCATGGTGAGCGAGGGCATGCAACGAGGATGCAAGGGCGAGTTGATTAATTGTTTAGTTTTTTGCTTGTGCTTTTCACACAATGGGGAGACGAGAATCGAGGCTGGCGAAGAGTGTCCGGCACTGGGGAAGCCCAAACTTCGTAATCGAGAGGAGCAGAGAGAAGAGCGAGGCTTGAAGAAGGGGAAGGATGGAAGTTTAAGGACGGGGGGAGGGATGGACGTCCAGAATTAGACTTGCTGGCAGCAGACCAGTGCGAGCTATCGGCGGCAGCACGAGTCGCCAATAATTGTGGTGCCGTGACGCGGATCCAGAGTCGTGGGCCTTGGCGCAAGGTCGGCGCGTCTTGGCGGCTCTGGCGCGGCGTCATGGCGGTGGATAGGACATGGGCTGCCTGCACGAGTGTCGCAAAGAGACGCTGGGCTGCCGGTGATGAACGGTCCTGGACGTCGGTCGTCACAGACGGACAAGTCGTGGGCGGCGGCGCTGCCAGGACGAGCGAGAAGCGCCTTGGCATGCGTCTCAGTTGTCGGGGAAACAGCCGAGGGCTGGCATTGTGGGGGCTGCCGTGAGGAGAGGACGACGGGCCTCGGTGCCCACTGCCCACTGCCCGACGCCCACCGGGGATCGGCAAGAGAAAGGCGGCCATGCATGTCTCCGGCGCTCTGGACCTTGACGATGCCGCGGGCTGGAGGTTGGGTGAGGCGTTGCCATTAGCTAATCAGCGGCGACGATATTATTGTCGACACGATAACTTATTAATACGAGCCACGAAAGGTGGTCAATTGTTCCTTCTTTGGTTTGATTCCACCGCCGACCCCAACGTGCGTCTTGGCCACATGTACCTGCCCCCAGCTTGTCTTGGCTGCGCGACTGCTAGCGACGTAGCTGCCAGGTCGCGCTTGATCTTATCCAAGTACCTGTGCGGCAATCCAGTGCAGTCCGGCACAGCCAAGACTCCGGGCACTACTCGCCTCTACTCCCCTCGATAACAAATAGACCAAGCCAAGGAGCAGCAGTACTTGCCCCACCCACTGCCAAGAGTCCTTCCAAGGCCTGGAAGAGTAAGAGTGGCGTCGCTCATGCTCAGCCACACGCGGGGGTGGCAAAACATCCACCGAGTCTTCGAGAAGCCCCAGAAGTTCGAACAAGTAAACAAACATCTTCATGCCTCGACTAGCTCTCATGCACATGCCACCACTTTCCCCCCGTGATGCCGTCGATAGCAATCCACGTCGCACGCTTCGCAGCAGCGCAACGTGGTCGACTCGCCAGCCCAATCGTCAATCCTCCATACGTGTCCGACGCTCGTCTGCACCCCGTGACGAATGCGCATGCCTGGACTTCCGTGTCCAGAAATAGAGACAACTTGACAAGGCATTTGGAGCAATCCCCATCCCGGTTTGCCGTTCGACCCTACTTCTGTATATTGTCCATGTATCGGGACCCTGCCTTGCCAAAGACGGACCTTTATCGATCCCACGCCCAGGACGCGATCCCCACGAGTTGATCCGGCACTGCGTACATGTATGCACAGTTATGCACGCAACGCACCTTTGCCTCACACCCGCATCCACCTCCACTCAAAGGTCTAGCCCAGATGAGTCGACGGTGCGTATTATAGTGCAGACAATCTCAAAGCTCGTTGAACCGTCCATGCACAGTACCGGACCCAAATCTTTCCATCTTCACGGGGTAAATTAGTATAGCCCTTGGGGAAGCCAAGTCACTTGAGAATGTCCTGGAATATGCCGTCTCAGGTCCCCTGACTGCGCAGTTGTACTTTCAAGGGGCCTTTTTCACCGAGTTGGACGGGACAGTCTCGAAAGAGTTGACAAGCTCCACAGACACGTGCTTCGAACACATCTATCTCCCATTAGCTGTCTTCAAAACAGGTGCTCCAGGGTCAAGCCCACCGGACGCCAGGCAGCTGCGAGACAATGACCAGAGTCTCGACCAGATTGGGATCCCACCAAAGCGCCACCAAGTCCAACCTTGGACGCAGTGCAACCAACCATCCACAATATTCTTCATGTGAAGTCGGCTACATGCACGGTACATGCAACCCGTTCAAAAGACTCCGAGACTCTGAAACCCCAGAATGGCACAACATGGGACAAATCTACGTCCTGTTAGCAGGTCTGGACTCCTCCATGGCCTGTTAGCAAGTCTCGCCATTTCATTTTCAGGCAAGGACACCATGGGGTGAATACACCGCGTTCCATCCAAAAGTCCCAATGCCGCCTCGCAGTGGCCTTATTTTCCTTGGTTGAGTGCTTGAAGTCAACTTCCCCTTCCTGGAGCCCGCTGCAGTCATCTCCACACGCAATCGTCGGCCATGCACGGCAGCAGCTGCCGAAATTCAATTTGAGACCGCATGATCATGTCCGCATTTTGCAGCACCATGGAACTACTTCAATGCCTATACTGGTTGCTGGGCTGTTGGAGCAGCCATTATCTAGTACATCGACTCTCTCAAAGCTTCTTCTTCGCCGAGCTGCTTCTACGTCTAGATTCTTGGTTAGCTTGGTGAAAGTCGTCGACTTTTTCATCTGACCGGGGTGCAGCCGCGAGGATTAAACAGTTCCCGTCTCAAGAAGTTTATGGCTCTATGTTCGCGAGAGACTTTAATGTTATTTCAAGAGAAAATAGGCGCAAGTCTTCGACAAACCATAGTTCATCAAGACTTCATCAAGGGATGAGTTGGTAGGAAGTTCTACATTATGGCCATGATAATCTAAATCCAGCTTCAGTTACTAATCCCCTCGCGGCGGCAATACAAGGTAAGAATGAACTCAAGCACCAGCGTAGCAAGCTTGACGAAAGCGAGGCAATTTTAGTACCATCCCCCGTAACATGTCCAACCGCACACTTTCAGCTATAGGTGTCGTTCAAATTTCTATTCTTATCAGCCAGGGGGACTAGAACCCTTTCTCGGGATATTCGTCTATACTTAGTTCAAAACATTAGCGTTGAGTACCTATAATTAGCTTACTTGGAAAGGTTGAAACCTCGATGGTCTGCAAGGGACAAAGCGGCCTAGCGAGCACGAATTGGAAACTCAGACGAAACCGAGGATATGCTTTACATGTGTCACCCTATCAAACGCTCTCCATTCCCATGCCCCGCCGTACTAGTGCTACGAAATTTCAGCACACACTCGTCGGACCGGGCAGTGGTGGTATAGACCTCGGTAGTCAAAGCCATTGTCTGCGTGAGTAAGTTGGCTATATCCGCCGATACGCCTCTTAGCTCGCTACTTCAGACATGCTATTCTTGTTTTGCCGTTCAAAATACGAGAAAGTATCTCCATCTAGGGTCTTGTAATGCCGATTCAGATTCTCAAGGGAGTTGGAATTCGTGAACATACTGCGAGTCAGACCTACGAAGGGATGCTCAGTCAACAGACAGTCGGATGCAGACTGAAAGTCGACAGCGCAGCGTTTTCTTTGTCCCCGCTCTCGTCGCCAGAGGCACCTATGATACAATCAGAACAGGAGTCTAGACTAACACTTGGCATTCTCAGGTCGAGCTGTTAGTGAGGTATGGCCAAGGCGCTGCCAAGTTCATTAAACCTTGAATGTCGTCCTTAAGTGACGCACCACCGCCTTCAGCTCAGCATTTACGACAAGCTCATGTCCAGCGACTCACCGACAAAGGCCAGCATGGGCCATTCGTTGCATGATAACCACCGGAGAATTCCGCGTTGAATGCTCTTGTCCAAGAAGGCTGGCCTAGCAGAAAGCCAAGGCCTAGTCCCCAGGCACCAACTCCACTCCCCTACCGAGGAAGCCCGGCGACACCGAGAGCCCCTTGGCAGGGCTGAGAGGGCATCCGTCAAGGCAGCACGTGTTCCACCGCGTGCCTTTGCGGGGTGATTCAAGAGCGATGTGAACGAACCCGCGAGCATTGGAAGAATTGACTTCAAAAAGGCTGGGATGAGACATTTAGCCGTGGTCCCTGAGCGGCTCGCCTTATCAACCCCGTGTGTCAATCCCACGTTCCCCGAGCCAGCGGCGCAAATGCTGAGACCGTAGACAGTATTCAGTAATCCTCGAAGTCCGAATCCGAGGCTCCGGCACCGGCCCCCAAGAAGACAGGAGGAGACAGGGAAGCCAACTAAACAAGACGCCAAGCTTGACCAATAGGGGCAACTACAAGGGCAGGATGAGAACGTCGCCGCTGTCAAGGAAAAGCCTCCGATGGTGCGGAATTTATGAGCCTGACGACGATGTGATGAACGATGCTGAAGAATACACAAGTACACAAGGCCACTTCATGCTCCAGCCACGGGGAATTCCCCGTCTTCTTGGTGTGCCTCACTGCCTAGTCTGCCCTCGGTAATACCTTTTGGAGTTCCTTGTGGGTCAGCAGGCCGTGGATGGACGGGGCCGTAACGCAGGGATGACCTTTCTTTTTACAACTTCGTTTGCTGAGATTCTTTGCGTCTGCAAAAATGATAGACCGCCGGACAAGGCTCCCTTGCGAAGAATCAAGTGACTAGCGAATACACGCATGACGAGACGCGGTTGGAGAAAATTTCAAGCATGGTATTTGTCCGTACTCTGCGGACTTGGGGAGAGGCATTTTAACTGTTGAAGCCAGCATAATACGTGGTTGAGTCTTGGTCATATTACACTAAGTTTGGATGGAATTCCGAGGACGACGGGTAATAATGACAGCCATATCTATAATAGCCAGACAAGCAGTAGGGTCTAGCCTGCATATTGTGTTCCAGAATGTTTCTTCCCCCACAGAGCACCACGGGCAACTCCGGCTCTCCTACACTCCGAGCCTATGTAGCGTTACAATAGTAACAACGCCAGGATGCCAGCACGCCGCACCGGTGCAGGTATAGTACCAACCGGAGGACGATCTCATCGCCGATCATCCCAGTGAAACTGAGATCTCGATAGCACGCATTGAATGAAACATTGCATGTAGACGTGTAGGAGCTGCACCCGCTTCATGGGCGCCGTTGACTTAAACCGATGTGTAAAGCCATTCAGCTGATCGTGCCAGCCATTGCTCGATCGCCACCTTGGGAGCAGAGTTTAGCGATTGTCGTCTGACCCTGTAATATCAGAGCAGTCCTATGATTTGTCCCCACGTATTCCGAGTGCCACCGTTCATCGGCCCTAATCATACACCGGCTAAATTGAAGCACCACGTCCTTTTTTTATTGGAACTCTATGTGGCTATTGTTCAGTATGTTTTCTCCACAAAATTTTCTGCGAGGGATGGGCTAGCTTGACAAGAAGCTGGAGAAGCTTGTTAGCAATACTCTATATTCGTCTGTTTTGAACTTTAAGTCGTGCCAGTGTTCCACTGCAGTGAGAAAAGGGTATAACGGTTGACGGCTCTCGCATCTCACGAGGTCAAAAGGGCGATACGAGCTACCGGATGTGAGCTCTCCTGATGTAGGATGGTACGAGATCAGACTTAGACACCTTCAGGGAATACATGACCTGCTCTCCGGTGCTCAAAATACGCGCACATGGATATTCGGGTTCATACGCCTTAGAGCCGTTTCGCAATGGCATGCTTGTCTTAAGAGAGACCGCCCGCGTATATTGCCAGCGTGCAATGGATACCTTTGTTCAGCAGTCCATATCCGGATGCACTCGGCTATACATGTTTGTCAACAACAAAGCCTTACCGCTGTGGCTTTAAGAGCTCTGGCCATTTCGGTGACTTGCTGGGCAGGAGCGTTAATCAGTCCAATCGTCCAACTCAACGTCACGGCGTGGGTTGCCACTGACATTGCAAGAAGCCTTGTCCGAGGAAAGAAGCATCGACCATAAGTAAAGCGGCTTCTTTCTTCCCCACACGGAACTGCCCGTGTCAGCCAAGATTCAACAAACCTGACGAGAAACTACCGTGCCGGGTGGAGAAGACCTGAGCCTATTCAATGACTAACCGCGCGTCATTACATGTTTTGCTTTCAACGCGTGCACTGAATGGCGTGAGTGCCAAGATGGATTCATCGAGAGGGTCGAAGGCCTCGGCACATGGACTGCATCACTCTGACTGCGCGTTCGTGTCGTAGGCAAGTCGTCAGGCCACGGCAGTGAGCTGATAGTTCCGGGACAACAGCTAAGTTGTTCGAAATTTGTATTTCCAATCTTGCTTGTGGGTGTGTAATCTAAGAAACTCCAATCGCTTGCTCAATGTGAAACAAGATTGGCTCCCCAGAGCTTATTGGGCTGTGATATAGCCAGCTGCTTCCTCACCGACAGAGACTACTTACGGAGCATTCGTATCAGCAGATTATGATACATGATCTTGGGGTATTACCATCATCCTATAACAAAGAGCATTGGACGATGCTGTACGACGGTCAATGCCGGATTGGACCACGACATCTACGTTGCTTAGTGGCAGTCGAGGTGTCGTTTATAAATTCTTGCATGTCCTCTCCCGTTTCGTCGGCTACCCCGGCATCCTCACTCTCTGTTCACCTGTTCTTAAGACTATTCTGGTAATCCAAAATTTTAATGCCCAACATGAAAATTACATCTGCTGCTGCCGCCCTTTTCGGGCTTGCCCTCAGCAGCCCTGCGCCACCACCCGCTGGGGAAAAGCAACCTTGGCTCGAGACAGACTGGGACATCGTAACCAGATTCCCGCCCGAGGATCTATGGAAACAGCCGGAGAACGTCCAAGGCACCTGGCTCTACTGCTCGCGCTTCGACCACCCCCTCGAGTATCGGCCGGTTGGGGACTACACGAGCGCCGCAGACTGCAGAGCCAAGCACTACAAGGCTTCCTGGCGTCCGGGAAATCCTCTCTTACCGTGCGACAGAGCCACTGGCTACATCCTCGAGAATTGCGGCAAATATGCGTACTGTAAGCAGTACGACGTGGAGGGAGATAAGCCTGTGCCCGCGTTGTTCGACAATTCAGAGCTGTGTAACAACTTTTACGAATCGGGGCCGATCACGGAGGACAGTTAATAGTGCCGAGGGCTGTCGAGACCATCACCATGGCTCAAGGCGAAGAAGTCAATCAGCTCCTGTATAGCTACCTACATTCAGTTACCTGGCCGGGATATGTTAGGGAAAAGCCATTGATTAAGTCTAAATGGATATGCGTTAGCCTGAACATATTTTGCAACGTCCTGGCGGCCTTCCCTGGTCTATTGAGCGGGGATTTTGGTATGATGACTATTTGAGAATGAGCTTGAGCTGTCGTAGACTCGTAGCTATCATGTAGTTTTACTTCCATTGACTATATGTCCATTCCAAGAGAGGTTGTATAGAGCTGGCGAAAAACCATATGTTGATGCAGGACCCGAAGGATCCCCAAGTACCCGATATTCCCAAGGGCTGATTTCCCTTGAACTGGACGTGGACCGGCTTATGAGACCGCCCCTCTCACCTGTGAGGGAAAATGATCAAAGAGTCGCGCGCGAGACCGTTCCTGTTTGCATTTTAATGAACAAGCGGCATCGAGGACGCTTGAAAATATGTGCTGCCCTCGTCTCTGCCATTCGAAACTTGAGTGGTCCGACAATGACACTCAGGGGACTGATGCAGCAAGCTACTGAGTTATATGTGTCCCTTAGTTATGACTATCTATCTGGGTTGACCTGTAACCGGCGACAGGCGACGGAACATCAAGACGGGCACGTTAGGGTACTGGGGTTAGGATGTACAGGCCATCCCTTTGGCTGTCATGAGACCGCACCTATGTCACGGGCCCCAAGCGAGGTAGCTACAGTGCAGATACGGGCCACGGCGGCTCAATAGCAAGACAGGGATTTCGAGCTACGGACGCATTTACACCCATTTCGCAGCATAACTACGTCTAACGGTCAAAAGGCTCACTCTGCGATACTTAGCAAGGCTTCAAGGCTGGCTGGCTAATAATTATCACGAAGTCATGGTACGCCGCTTAGTGCAGCCAGCGGCAATACGAAGGGATGCGACGAGGGCAATGTAGCTATTTGTATAAACTAGTTGTAAATTGAAGTACGGAGTACAGAGTACACCCCACTAGGATTACAAAAACCCTTGCAGCGACAAGCCCCACAGACATAAATTTGATCGGCTATATCAGCTATAAGTCACTTCTCGGGCTAGCTACTAGTAGAGGTACCGCCGGCTTGATCTAATCTTTTTCTTTAATACTACTTTGGGCTGCTTATGAGGCTATTCCGGAACATTTACTTAAGAGACTAGCTCGAAGCATGCCCGCCCGCCCTCACGATGTAATTCAGAGTGTGGGCAGCAGACGAAGTAGCAGCAGGGACACCAGTACCTATTTTCCCACTGAATTAACTAGTGTTTTATGTCTCTATACTCTTATACTACTTGTGGGGCTTGTAGTTGCAAGGGTCTTTGTAATCTTAGTGGGGTGTACCGCTGACAGCGCGACGCTCTTATTGGTCTATATCCCTGCCCGGAACCTACGCGCGGTCCTGGGACGCCCGGGGGGAGCACGTGACTGCGGCTCCTCGGGCAGCCCCATTGCTGGAAGCCGGCGATTGGCCCGCGGTGGGGCCGGGCTGCGGGCCCGGGCTCAGGTACAGATCGAGTGGCCGTGTGGCCGTGTCTTAGGTAAGCCGCTGCACGCAGGCTGCCCGATCGACGATGTGCAAATCATGACTTCATCGCCCTCACGGCCTCTCGAATCGGGCGATTCTGTCACCCATCGCGCCCGGGCCAGCTTCATCGCCCGTACATGACATGAGCGCGTCCTCTGGTTGGTAGTTACCCGCCTCCCACCGCCCTTGCTCTCAGGCCTCCGATTCCTTCGCTCGCTCTACGCATCGATACAGCTTAGAGTCGCACCCCGACGACAGCGCGGCACGCAGCCTGGGTGCCATGACGTACCAGCAGCCGTCATCGGTCCTGATCTTCGGATAGAAACCTCCGCCTGCTCGCCTGTGCTCCCCAGCCAGACAGACACCTTGCAGCCGGGGGTCTCGCAACTCGACGTCCACTTGTGCAACCAGCAGAGGCCTCGATATAGCCAGCCCTTGCGCCATCGCCGCCCGCCTAGATAGGCCTCTGCATGCCTCCCTCCCGCCTCCATTTCCATTGCCTGTGTCGCCAACCGCCGTCGTCGTCAAGTCTTCCAGCCAGTGCCCAATTCGCAAGCGCAGCCATGCCCCCGAAGCGAAAGAGGACCGGCCCCCAGCCTCGGCAGACTCGGTCCCCGCCAACCCAATCCGACACGCCGAGGAGGAGCAGCCGAAGAACGGCAAAGGGCGCCGAACAGCAGCGAGACGGCCCCTCCAAGTCCACGGCCACGTTGAGTTTGAGAGAAGCCGTCGAGCGCGCCATGCAAGACTTGAGTCAGATAGAGCACAAGTTGCACAGCGACGCCAAGAGGCAGCGTCTGGCCGTCGAAAGTTCCGACTTGAGCGTCTTGGCCGAGGCGGGCACTGCCGATCAACCATCAAGTACCGCGTCCACCATGGCGGCGGCGGCGGCGAAAAATCGCCCTCACGACGATGCCGCCCCTGGCGTTGCAGGCGCTGCTCTGGATGTGAACGCCATCTTGCCTGGCCTCGCCTCCGAAGGGGACGTCCAAGAGAGGGGTGCCAGACGACGGCCCCCCGTAAACAGTGAGAAACTGCCTCTACCCTGGTCCGGTCGGTTGGGTTATGTGAGAACGCCTGGAGAGCAGATTCGTGGCCATGCCGCCCGTCTGACACGCTGCATCCATCTCGAGAGAGCTGACTTTGGGCCCAGGCCTGTCTCAACACGTATCTGAGAGCCGCAAACCCACCGGTGTTCTGCTCGCGGACTTGTCGCCTGACTTCGATACTTGAGCACCGGCATCCGTTGCTGGACCCTTCTCAGCCTGAGCACGCCACCAAGAACCGCCCCGACAAGTCGCAGCCGGCCGACGTCAAGCGGGGCCTCGCTTATATGCAGGACATTGGCTTCGCCAACGCCGCCGACATTGTCAAGATGATTCGCTGGAACGACAAGTATGGCATCAAGTTTATGAGGCTAAGCAGTGAAATGTTTCCCTTTGCAAGCCACAAGGAGCACGGCTACCGTCTGGCCCCCTTTGCCTCGGGCGTCTTGGCCAAGGCCGGCAGGGTGGCCGCGGAGTTAGGCCATCGCCTCACGACGCATCCTGGGCAGTTTACGCAAATCGGCAGCCCGAGGCCTGAGGTTGTTGAGGCAGCGATGCGCGACCTGGAGTATCATAACGAGATGCTCTCCCTGTTGAAGCTCCCTGATCAGCTCAACAGAGACGCTATCATGATCTTGCACATGGGTGGCACATATGGCGACAAAGATGCCACGCTTGCCCGGTTCCGCAACAACTACGCCAAGTTGTCGGATGGAGTCAAACGCAGGCTGGCACTAGAAAACGACGACGTCTCGTGGAGCGTGCATGACCTGCTTCCCATATGCGAGGAACTCAACATCCCGCTCGTGCTCGACTTTCACCACCACAACATCGTCTTTGACCCGAGCATCCGGGAAGGAACCCATGATATCGTGGGCATGTATTCCCGGATCAGGGCGACGTGGACGAGGAAGATGATAACCCAGAAGATGCACTACAGCGAGCCGACGGCCGCGGCCGTGACGCCTCGTGACCGCAGGAAGCACTCGCCGCGGGTCAAGACCCTGCCTCCTTGCGCACCGGACATGGACCTGATGATTGAAGCCAAGGACAGTGGTGCCGCATGAGCGTGACGATGAGCCCCGCAAGGCTGTGCTCAAGAAGACTAAGGTGAGCAAGAAGGCAAGGGCCAATGGCGGCGAAGCAGAGGAACTGGTCGAAGTCCCGGCGAGAGAGGTGAGCCCCGACAGCTTTGGCATGGGCGGGCCGGAGAACAGGGTATACTGGCCCGAGGGCATGGAGGAGTGGTTGCGGCCCAAGAAGAGAGAGGCGAAGAAGAGCAAAAATGATGATGTGAAACGTGAGGAATGATGTATATAGTACAGACATTTTCGGTTCACTCTTTTGTATGATTCAGAGCGGTCGTCCAGGCGTGTCTCGGTGGTAGAAAGTGCTTGGCCAAATTTTGAGACTCAAGACTCGATAGTAGAGAGGTGTATTGCAATAATTTGCTGTTGAGTCGACGGACGATGCCAAGCTGCATCTGTTGCAGCATGTAAGTTAAAGAAAGCAGACCAGACCATGGGTGTACGGACGCACAGTGCAGCAGCTGGCACCCTGCGCGCGCTAGTGGTGAGTTGACGCACTGTGCATTTTTTTCACCCCTTGGGGGCATCCGCTTGGGTCAAACGTCTGCTCACCATCAGCGTCCAGCCAAGTCAATGGGCCTCCAATTGGCATCGAGCAGTGTCAATCGAAGCCTTTGAGCGTTGTCCGAGATTATCTCTGGCTAAGATGGCTTCGCCCGCCTTTTGCAGCACAACGGCAGCCTTTGTGCACTGGTTTCAGTCTCTTCCTGGCGCAACATTTTCCAACTCGATCGAGATCGTCGACTTGCGTTCTCGCAATGCCGGTCGTGGGATAGGTGTGTATGCCGTGCGGCGGCGAGTAATGACCTGCTAATCGCCGTCAGTTGCCATCCGCGACATTCCCGCAGACACCACCCTCTTTACGATCCCGCGCAGGGCCATTGTCAATATCGATACGTCGACGCTGCGCTCACAGCTTCCGCATCTCTTTGAGAGCCAAGGCGATGGAGACGATGAGCAGGAGCTGGACTCGTGGAGCGCCCTCATCCTGGTCTTGATGTACGAATACTTCATGGGCCCGTCGTCTGCGTGGAAACCGTATTTGGATGTCCTTCCCGATGCTTTCGACACGCCCATGTTTTGGTCCGACGAAGAGCTTCAGGAGCTCCAGACCAGTCCTCTGCGCTCCAGGATTGGCAAGACCGATGCCGAGGAAATGTTTCGCTCCAAGCTACTGCCCGTCATCCGGAGCAGGCCGGATGTCTTCCGTTCGAGCGAGGACTACGGCGATGAGCTTCTCGTTCAGCTCGCGCACAGAATGGGAAGCACAATCATGGCGTACGCTTTTGATCTCGAAAAGGAAGACTTGGACTTGGACTTGGACGACGACGGCTGGGCTGAGGATCGCGACGCCAAGTCCATGATGGGCATGGTCCCCATGGCTGATATGCTAAACGCCGACGCCGAGTTCAACGTCAGTCTTGCCTCTGTGACTCACCGGCGAAGCTGACATGACGCAGGCTCACGTGAACCACAGTGACGAGAGTCTGACTGTGACGTCGCTGAGACCAATCAGGGCGGGCGAGGAGATTCTCAACTACTACGGGCCTCATCCAAACTCTGAGCTTCTTCGTCGCTATGGCTATGTCACCGATAATCATTCGCGCTATGACGTAGTTGAGATTCCCTGGGACGTTGTCGAGGGTGCCGCGGCAGCCCAGCTGAACATATCCAGAGATGCTTTGGAAGCGGCGGTAGGTCAATCGATGGACGGCACAAATGACCTGAGTGCTCGCTGACCGTACCAAGCGTGGCCGAATTGGAGAAGACGAGTGGGAAGACTCCTTTGTCCTGGAGCGCGAGGCGGGCGAGCCGAACTCGGATGGCACATTAGCCGGCGCGGCGTCCCTGAACGACATGTCGGCCGAGTTGCAAGACCAACTGAGGATGTTTCTCAAAGCTCTGCAGGAGATTGATGACAAACTCGTGCAAGGCAAAAGGAGCCGGCAAGAGGCTCTGCAGCTCATACTGCTCCGGTCGATCCTGACCATAGAGTCGCAATACCCGACGACCATTGCAGAGGATGAGTTGCTCCTTCACAGAGACGGCCTTGGCCTGCGCAACAGAATGGCTGTCCGAGTCAGGCTTGGGGAGAAGAAGCTTCTGGAGGAGGCCAAGGGGCTCCTATCAATCTCGTCGGCAGACGACGAGCCCGACAGTCAATCGATGCCTTTCAAAAGGCCCAGGCGGAGCAACTGACAGCGGCTCTCAAAGCGACAGCTCTCTAATCGCCGAGTCCGGCCGGCCCCAGTCGACAGCTTTTGGGGATGATCGGAGAGGCAGATGAGGCAGCTGCGCAGCCCTGGAACTAACTACGCAGCCGTCGGCTTATGGTGAAGAGTCCGGACGGACCCCTGGCTGTTTCATGGAAGTTGCCCCAAGATACTCAATACATGGGCCGGAGTCACATTTCACCGAGCCTGCTTCTTGCTCATCGCCCATCACACACAATCCTCGGCTGATGCGCCCAGTACCAACTCTGGTGGACCTTGACAGCCTTTGTGCATGAGAGTTGGCTAGGCATGCATGGGCTGGGAGCACCAAATGGGGGCATGCAACAATATCACGCGACCCTTGGGCTTCAACAAAGGTTTGCTCGTGGGCAAGAGCGGGTCTGCCGGGATGAAGAATGGATAGCCTCACTTTTGCTGACCGGTCCAGAACATCATCCGACTCTCTTTGGGGTTTTGTTCTGGACTCGCCCTGCTCCCCTCGACGAGCCCGTCGTTGCCTCTTCTTCAAACGGGATGCTCGACGAGGACCTAAACGGTGGCACTCCATCCCAGACACCGGGCCAATCAGCGCAAAAAGTGCGTGAGTGGATTCGCCTGATTGCTGTCACACCGACTCCGAGCTGGTGGCCGCATTCCAAATGCTGTGTAACACAGCAGCAGCAGCACGTTCCGTGTTGCATGAAGTGACCAAACACTGCCCGTGAAAGTGACGAAAGATGACATGGGCTATATAAGCTGGCTTCAGCAGCGCCCTCGCCACTGGCCAACGACGACGAGGACGCTCTCATTCGATGAGGACCTTGCGCAGCACCCGTCCGGCCCTGTCGCTCTACCAGCCGTTGTTGTCCGTCTCCCAACGCATCATGGGCGCAACCCCTCTTTCCATTGCCGATCTTGCGTCCCCGTTGTCCATCTGCGGCGCTCTCGAACCGGCCAGGCATGCCGACGTCTCTGGCGTGGCTCCTTGTTCGCCATTTTTGCTCAGCAAAAAGGACTCTCCGACATACAATACACAAATGCTGAGGTTCAGATGGCTTGCTCCGCGATCACGCCAACGAGCGGTGGTTGACGGTGGCTGCATGATCTGACATCTCGGCCGGTCCTCGTGAGCTCTATCAACTTGGCAAGTCCAACAGCCGTCCTGCCATGTCACCCCGGTCATTGCCAATCAAGCCCTCGTCTCGCGCGCGGCTACTGCTCACACGGCCAGGGTGTCTTGCGCGCTGCTTGTTGCACGAAAAGCCTAGACTCGTTCCCGACGTTGGGGCTTCTTTTCGTGTCGACGTGGCCTATGGTCTTGGACGGATAGTAAGAGGCTGTCGATAAGCCCCCGGACACGGCCGTAATCGTCGTTGACAGCCCGTCGCTAAACTCGGATGCAATGCCGACCTCGATTGGTCCACGATGACTCTCTGGCCCTTTGTTGATGGGACACCCTCAACCCCACTGCCCATCGAGCTCTTCATTCGCCGCCAAACCGTTGCCTGCACATCGACGTCTCCTGGGCAGAAGACGTGGTTACATGCATGGCCAAGTAGAAGTCATGGCACGGCTGGCCGGTACATGTCAGAGAGCGGGAGTGGCCACGGTCCCACACGTGACGGTTTCGTGGTCGTGAAGTCGACCCTCTGCGCTTGACTCTGGAGAACGCGAGGGCCCGAGCCGTGCAGCTCACGAGGTAGCTCCCGCGTTGACAACGTACTGTATGTACTACTCCGACGGCCAGGTCTTGCATGGAATCTGGCGCCGCTCCCCCCTCGCCCAGGAACAGGCTGCTGGCCAGGCTGCTTCGCCCCCCTTGTCTGCCGGCCGACATCAACACCCGTGCCAATTACAGCCCAGAAGCCCAGACCACCTGCCGCGGCCACCTTTGGGGTCGAGAAGTCGGCCGACCAGGTCGCCGTGTCTGGACGGTTGATGAGGCCAGCTTGACGCTATTCGGACTTTGTTTTCGTCTTTTGGTTTGTTTCAGGTGTCGGTGCACAGCATCACGGCCTAATCTCACCGACGGTCCTCTTGGATACTCGACCTTGGGCAGCGATACCTCTGTTGACCGCGAGACGTTGGAGGCGGAGATGGGCACCCGAGGCACGATATGTAGCCCGGGCCCCCTGCAGCTGCTCTGCGTGTATCGCCTTCACGGCCGAGTTTCGTGGCTGAAGAGCACCTCCGGAATATCTCCCAGCGTCGCACTACGACGACATGTCCTCCATGCTGGACGCCTATGTGCGTGTATCCCTTATGGTGCGGTTCCTGTTGAAACTCGCTGATGCGCCTCGTCCTCCTGCCGCAGACGAGAGGCGGTCGATCTAGGAAACAGGCGGACAAGCACAAGACCGGCAAATCCAAGTCGAGCTCGAGCAGCCCGCCCGTCGGCTTCCTGTTTGTGGTCAATAAGCTGGACTTCTACCGGGGGGAAACTTGTGATATTAATAGAGACACCTGGCACAACACCTTGCCACCGCGCAACTGCTTGGGATACGAGGGCGAATCTCCCAGTCGCGTCATGCGGTACGAGGGCGGCCAGGTCACCGAGGCATGCGGCTACCAGTGGTATCGGCCAATGCTGCGACAGGAGGGCTATTGCCTCGACCCGACCCTCGCGCCCGTCGAGCGCCACAGCCACGCGGCCGTCTTCTCGTGCAACCCGCACCTGCCCGTCGTCGTGATCCCCGAGGACCCGACGACGCTGCCCGACCAGGAGCAGACGATGCACGCGCTGCACTTTTTCCACCCGCTGGCGCCGGGTCTCAAGGGCGTGTCGCAGGCCACGACGGTCGACGCCAACTACCTGCCGACGGGGGGCGGGCCCCTCAAGTACGTGGCCGGGCGCAACCCGAGCTGGATGCCCGGGCTGGTGCCGCAGACGTACGCCTACCCGGGGTCCGGCGGCCCGCCGTCGCGCGGGCTCGGCGGCCACTTACCCATTGTGCTGGGCCTCATGGCGTTCAGTGGCCCGCCGGACCAGGTGTACATGAGCCGCAGCGAGTCGGGGCATCGCGGGTTCTGGCGCGATGGCGTCTGGACGCACAACTCGCCCCCGGCTCTATGTACGTTTCTTCCCCCCGCCCGGACCCCTGTTCATGCATGGAATTCAGTGGCTCGCCGTTCCGCGGACTTTGTTTTGCTGGCGCGACGTTTCCTGTGCCTTTCAACGTTGCTACCCGCCCCTCGGATAGATCCTGCTAACACCGGACGCGCCCCAGATCCAAAGACCGACGGCAGCCCCCGCGGCTTCTATGTCGCCGTCTTCTACGACCCGGAGAACCCGGACGGCTCGATGCCCGAGCGCATCCGAAGCTTCGAGTGGGACAGCCCCGTGGTCGGCGAGTATCCGCCGGGCTCCTCCTCCTCCTCCTCCGCCGGCGCCTCGTCGTCGCGGAGATGAACAGGGAATATAGCAGCTTACCACCACTCTCCCCTTTCCTTGCCTCGTCCGGGCTCCCCCCCCACCTTTCGCCTCCGTGCCACCCGTCTCCGCCGTCTCGGCGAATCTCCCCTCTCCTACACTTCTCCGGCCCTGCCTCTCTGCCTGACGCGGGCGCGGCGTTCCTTGTCCGCGTGTCATCAGGGGAACATGGGGGAAAGGGGCAAATGGGCTCCCCCGCGCGGAACGAGGTTCGCTCTGCTGGGAGACAAAGTATTGGACAGAGGTTTCAAGGCCGAGTTGGAAGGCTTCTCGCGGAGACATAACCCTCGTGTCGTGGGATGGGGCCTGGGCACATGCCGGCGTCGTCTTGCCATTTCACCATCATTTCATTTTTTTTCCATCTATTCGGATCGGTCTTTTGTTTTCCAGGTTTCCTCTAGTCCCTCATGAATTGACAATGCTCGCTCATTCGACGACATTCCTTTGTCTCCTCCGCGCAACACGGGGTCAACCGACCCCGTGCTTAGCCACCCCCCCCCCCTTACAAGCACGACTGCACAGCTCTCCCCGTCATGTCATGGTGCGGCTGCGATATGTGTGTCCCTGTGCCCCGGAGCCGTGCAGCTCGGGCCGCCTGACGATCCGTGGCCATCCCATCCCGCAGCGTAAACGGTGTGCCTTGCTTTTTCTCCCTCCTCTTGAGTGTGTGCGTGCGAGGGAGAGAAACATCCGTATCCAGCACGCACCGCCATGTGTACGACCGCGGACACTGCGCGGCGTCGGGGCTGGACTACGTGCACGAGCCGGCAGGCCCTGGCCTCGTCGTTCGACAGCCGGGGCTTCAGACAGCGTCGGGAAGCCGGACGGCAATATCGCCCGACTGCGTAATGTAGCGAACCCACGGCAGGGAGGGATATTGAAGCTGCGCCGCAAGTCAGCGAGGCGTCGGTGGCACAGTATGGGGGAATAGCTGAAGCCACTTACCTTTGGTTCCGTGATCTTGAGGTACCGCACTTGAATGCCGCTCGTGGTGAAGTAGGGAATCTCAAACTTGACCTGAATGGGCCGCTTGGCGCCCTTGCCCATGCCACCGACGCCGCCCATGCTCCCGCCGAAGCCGCCCGTCATGCCGCCGCCGTGCTCGTCGTCGCCCCGGACGCTAGGCAGGCCGAGCTCCGCGCGCATGAGAAACTCCTTTTGGCCGCCAAACTGCTTGATCTTCCAGACAATGGCGCTCTGCTCCGGGGCGTAGTGGACGGAGCCGATGTTTGTGCGGAAGCGGGGCGAGTCGGCGTCGTCGGGGACGGGGACGATGATCTCGACATTGTTTGCGGTGCTGCGGCGCTTGAACTGGGCCTTGGCCTTGAGCATGTACTCGATGCGGGAGCCCGAGTGGGACTCGACGACGCATTCGACCCAGATGAGGGGCTTGACCTGGGTGTTGAGGCGGTACGACATGAGCTCGAACTCGCCGTCGGGAGGGATGAAGGAGATGGTGCGGTCGTTTTCGAAGCGTGACAGACGGACGCACTGGTGGAACTTGACGTCCTCCATCTCAATAGCCTTGCCGCGCGTGGTGCGGCCCGTCGTCTCGAACATGACCTTGTCGTTGAGCCCCAGGCGCAGCTCGGGCATGCCACTCAGGTAGCACTTCATCTTGATGGCGCCGAGGATCTCGCTGCGCAAGACGTTGCCGTTGGAGCTGACGAGCAGGTTGAGGCTCTCGACGACGTCGAGGAAGACCTCGTTTTTGCGGTAGCGGATGCCCTCGGAGCGCCAGGAGACGGCGTTTGTGACGGCGATGGGCGGGCGGGCCTGGACCTCGAGTTTGTGGGATTCTTGGGTGATGTACTCCTGCAGGATCTTGGACTCGGTGGTCTGGGGGTAGCCAAAGTCCATCATTTCGTCGAGGAGCTCATAGATGATGACGAAGTTGTCGCGAATCGACTCTTCTTCGAGGGCTTTAAAGTACTCGGTGAAGACCTCGACGATCTTGTGGAGGAAGAGGAGAATCTCGGCGGCATTGGTGTTGCGCTTGGTGAGGGCGAGGAGATAGAGGTTATTGTGGCGGATGTAGAGGTACTGTCGGCGCGCCGTCAGTCTGCTGCGCGCAAGGAGGGAGGGGGAGGACGCACGTTGACGCCCTCGTGGGAGAAGCAGGGGGGGACGGCGGACGATTCTTCTTCGGCTTCGGAGAGGAGGACGGGGAACTTTTCGACGGCGGACATGGGGATGTCGCCCCTGTAGTTGCGGGCGAGAAGGGTCTATCGGGGGGGCAGGTTAGCCGTTGGCCCTGGGCCAAGGGGAAGGGGGGGGAGGGGTCATTTGTTACCTTGCCCTTGAGGTCTAGAAAGAAGAGCGCCGAGGCCATGGCTGGACGATGGCAGCCGGGCGAGGCAAGCGGGAAGCAGAGGAGGAGAGCAGCGGCGGAGAGAAAGCCGAGCGACGGGCGGCTGTTGCGGCCAAGGGGGGTGGTGAGGAGACAGCGAGAGGCGGAAGCGGTGCCTTTGCCATGCGCGGGCCGGGGGCTAAGGGATGTTGTCTTGTCGCGCAATAGGGCGGCGTCAGCGAGGAGTCATGATGGGGAAGCTCGGCACGCGAGAGTTGTCGAGCTTGCTGGCTAGCTGGCGGTGGTGACGACGGCGAGTCGCTAGTTGAGCCCGGCCCAGGTTGACGCGGCAAAACCCCGGGCCATCCTCAGGCCAGGTCTCAGGCCAGGTCTCAGCAAAAAGGGTCCAGATCACGTGATCCCAGTTGACGAAGGGGCATGTAAAGAAATTTTCAGCACCGCTTTTCCGCGTCCCCTTCTTCTCCTTCTTTTCTCTCTCCAACGCGCCCATTAGACAGTGCAGCCCGTCCTCTAGCCCGCGCCCGGGTGGCATTTTGCCGCTCGGGATGCGGCGCCGTGGACGGCCAGCTGCGATTTGGCGGCGCGGAGAGCGGAAGGATCACACCTGATGGTTCCATTAAGAGCTGCCCAAGCCTCCTGTTGTTGCAACAGCACCGTGGCTACGGCGGCGTCAGAGGAGCCGCACATTTCTCTCCCAGTCCCCTTGTGAACGCGCAGTCGCCTTGTGTGATGCTCGTCCTACCTCACGCCCCCCCCTCTCGCGGCGTGACTGGACGGCGGCCTCCGGCAGCGCATGTCCGCCGCCCGGTCCCCAGGGCTCTCGATACTTTTTCGAAGGCCGCCGTTGGTCCCGTGCCATGGCGACAAAGGCCCCCGTCCGAAACTGGTCAAGCCGAGGAACAGAGTTTGTTCAGGCTCACAGGCACGATGGAGCTGCAGGCTAGCTTTGACGGAATCCAGGGGGCTAGCCCATCGGCCATGCTCGCAAGGACGTCATGTGTCACCGCTTAGCAATCACCCCGTGCTTTGATGAGCTGCAGGTGACAAGAAAGTAGACGAAATCGCCACTCTCTGTTCTCGTCGGTGCGGGAGCACGGCGGCATGCAAGCACGACTTGGCAAACGGGCCAGTCGGCATCGGCAAATTATGGTGGTGGGCAAATCCTCCGTACGGAGTGCTGTACAGTACAATGCGTTACTTGCCGGGCGAGGCAGGCGAGGCAGCGGCCACGATGCCCAGTGATCCGTCGGGAAAGATAAGCACTAATGGCCGGGGAGGATCCGGACCTTGGGCATTTGCGAAGCCATCCTCGACGTGCATGACAGCTCCGGCGGCCGCTCAGCCTGAAGACGGCCGCACCCGGTACAAGCTCAGGCCGACGACGGAGCACGGTGCACTACAATGCCAAGTGCCTCCCGAGATGGCGACGGAGGAGAGCGATTTCAGGGCCGGATCCGGGATTCGCAATGCCAATGGTATTTTTTGGGGGGGGGTTGCATTCCGTCGCCTCTCCTGGTCACGCTCGGCTCCGAGAACACCGGGGCGGAACGGAGCACTTTCGGTACATGGAGATGCACTTCCAGCTTCAGCAGCCAGACCTTGATGTCTGCCTCTCGCGGTGAGCGCCATGTCAGCATTGGTGGAAGAAGTCGGACGATGCACTGAGAGCAGTAGCATCTGCCTACAATGACGTGAACACTTGGCACTCTTCTCTTCTGCTGCCTCCTCTTGCGTCTTCACATGCCGTCCGAGATACGAGCGAAAGTACCGAGTACATTATACCCGCCTCGCCTATGGGGGCCTGTCGACATGTGCCCTGAACCTCCCCTGCCAGCAACAGCGCAGCATAGTACCTACCCAGTACTGTACCTCTAGGCCTCAGCTGGTATCTGCATGCGCTGCAAGGCAAACCCCCAGGGGTCTCAAGTACCCAGTACACGCGAGTCAGGGCGGGGCCCGGCGCCCGCCACAACATTTCGCCGACACGTGAGACTGGATGAAGTGGCCCGCAATCACATGCTGCAACGGCCGCCCCCCATCGTGAAAACCGGGAACCCCCCCCCTCTCTCTAACTCTCTCTCCCGCCCCATTTGCCTCGCACGGAATCAGGATCCATTGTTGCCCTCGGGGCCGCCGCCACAAACTCCTCCACATCCAACACCACATTCCTCGTGCTGCTGCATATTCGTACATGCCATAATTCCCTGCGCATCGCTGTCGACGGCCGACAACCACCTCCGCCCGAACATCGCAATCAGGCACATGCACGACGACGACAAACCCGCCTCTTGGCTTCCACACACCCACGTTTAGCTTTCTCTCACCGACTGTCTAGCCTCTCCCCTAACAAATGGCCTCGATGCAATTCTCGCCGCCCCCCGACATCGACCCGCTGCCCACCAAGCTCCCTCCCCTCAAGAGCCATGATCGCGACACCATGCTGCCCTCCCTCAGCAGCCTGACTGCCGACGTGCCGCCGCCGCCGCCCTCGAACTGGCCGACCCTGAACAGCCCGCTGGCCTACCGCCCGCCCCAGTCTCTCGCCTACCAAGTCGACAGTCCCGCCACCATGGATCTCGACGCCAGCAGTGTCGTGAGCACCGCCACCTCGGACCGCCAGTTCGACGGCGCCTCCAACACCGGCCTCACCCTCGACGACCCAGACGTGCGCTTGGCCGCCGAGGCCTTGGGTGACTTGAGAGCCGGTCAGTGCCTAGCCAACTCGCCTGCGCCATGTGCACCCCTTGACTGACCTGGCCATGTCCATCGCAGACTTTGTCTCGTCGCCCCCAGACAGTGGCTCTCTGCCTGCAATGAGCCCACGCGCCAGGAGCGCCCAGCCCACGCCCCACTCACGAAGACCCGGGTCGCCTCAGCATGAGCCTTTGTTGTCCTTGCTCACCACCTCGCATCCGCTCCTGGCAAGCACCATTGGCGGCGCCAGCTCGGCCTATGGAGGAGCCAAGAACTTTTCGCCCCGCTTCAAGTCGAGCGCTGAATACGTCGAGGGCTACCTGACCCCCATCGCCAACACCGTCAACTCGGTTGGCCGTGTGACCGGTGTCGAGGGCGGCGTCAGGTGGTTCCTCGGCGCCAACCGCCGCCATGCCTCATCCTCGGACTCGGATCTCGGCGGAAACTCCAACAAGCGACGCAAGGTGGACAGCGAGCGAGACATGGCTGGCCAGGACCACGCAAGGGGCATGCAGAAACTCTGGGCTGAAGAGTCGTCCCAGTTCACTCCCAGGACCCCACGTCGCCTGTCCTCGACGAGCACCGTAGACACCCTGCCTGCCTACGACGAGATGCGATCCCCGGCCTACACAGAAACCACGGGCCCGCAAAACCCCCCGCGATCCAGTCCCTCGGCCGCCCCATGGCAGTCCCGTCTCATCATGTCCACGTCGGGGCTCAGCGTCGCCATGAGTGCCGAGAGCTTGCGCAGCCTCAAGTACTGCCTACGCTGGCTCCGCTGGACCAACGACCACATGGGCCGTGTCATTGGAACCCTCAAGTCGACCCTCGAAGAATACGAGAGGACAACTCCCGAGAGGGCCCGCATCCAAGGCTCCGCCGGCGAGGCAGGCTCGGATGACGAAGCGTCGGAAGCGGCACCGGAGCAGTCTCGCGTCGAGCTCGCCAACAGGATTAACTCGCTCAACGGCGACGTTCTCAAGACGCTCCAGGATGCCATCAACACTGTATCAAAGTATGCCGGTGGCGCGCTCCCCGAAAACGCCCGGGTGCTCGTTCGCCGACATCTCACCAGCCTTCCTCAACGGTTCCGCGTGGCCACCATGTCCAGCGCACCCGAGGGCGGTGATGGGGACAGCGAGTCGGCCATCCGCGACGGCGCTCAGAAAGTGCTCGTCCTGGCGAAAGAAGGGCTCGACATGGTGACGCAGATCAGCGGGGTTGTCGACGGCACCATTGTAACCGCTGAGGAGTGGTGTGAGCGCGTGGGCAGGAAGAGGCAGAACTCAGGCGAGGAGGAACAAGAGCCTGCCGTCTGCCGGCAGGAGCCGGATGGCGATGTCAAGGTGAATTGAGTCGAGACGCAAGGAAGCACGTTCTTGCCTCGGTCGGCTTCAGATACGGCGACGACCGGAACCTGCCCTGTGGCGTGAAATCGTGACCAAGGTCCGACGGGCACGGCACACGAGATTGGGTCTCCAACACACGCTGGCCGACTCGGTCTGGGGGAGAGGCGAGCGCAGCGTGAGGTGTCGGCGAGCGCCATGCGTTCCTTGGTCCGTTGTGAGGACACGACCATTTTTCTTTGTCCCTTTCCCTTTTCTCGTTTCACCGCATGTCATTGATGAGCAAGCGTTTTATCCGTCCTGGGTTATTCTTGGAGAGCAAGCGGCACAGAGCACGAACTGCATTTCCCGGGAAATGATACCTCATTTGCGTTTGGCTCCTTGGGCCGGGGATCGGATTATTGTTCATTTTCAAGGGAACGGGAGCATTGCCACGGCCGCCATAGACGAGGTTCGCTGGCCCGGACATGAGGATGGCTGATGCTGACAGACCATTCCTTGACGGCTGATTTTGCTTTCTTTGGGTTCTCCTTGCTTATCATCTAGCTTCTGTGTCTGGCGTTGATGGCGGGCTTGGCAGATGGGCTTCAGTAGACGACGCTACAGCTTCTTCTTGTTTGAAAGCGTTTGAATCAACTGGCTTCTCGAGTAACAGCCAAGATGGGCTTGTCTCATCGTAACGGCTTCCTGGACTTGGGAGTCTGCACAGGATAAGCCCTTTACGCCTTTCCATCGCTCGAAATGGACCTACCTCTCGTTCGGCGTGTTACTTCGAGGCCTCGGCGGTTACACGCGTGCCTTGTCCCATTGCGGCCGGATTGGCATCCTAGTGATGTGCGGGGAGTCGACGTTCGTGTCTGGGGGCAACATGGTTTTGAAAACGCACCGCTGGCAGGTCGGATGACCAAACAGAAGGGCATTCTGGAGCCTTTGGACTCCGGCAGACAAGTACTAGTCGCACAGCTCGAGCTGCCTGAAGGAGGATATTGAATATCATCAACCTACGTTCATGGCATTTCGAGTAGTAGTTGTGAGTGGTCATAGCCTTTAGTTTGGAGATGCCCATGATGGGCTGGGCGCACATCTGGCACCTTAGCGGTGTGTTCCATCGCACATTGACAGGAGTGAAGCGAAAGAGCATGTGCAAGACGCAGTATGAGAATGGAGAGAGATCTTGATCGGAGTGAAACGGTGGCAGGAGAGCCCTCGTTGTGTCAAGTATCCAAGGGCCTTGCTAGGGAATAGTCCGACTACATGGACCTCACCGAAAGATCATAATCTGCAGGGTGAGGGCCCTTGGATGAGACTTTGGGTCTTTAGCATATCTCAATCGGGCCTGTTGGACGCTTGTGGCGCAACGAGTTTGAGCAGATGGTGCACTGATAGAAACTTTGAAAGCATCCAATGCTACGTTGCTGCGAGGGAACTATTCCTCAACTGTACATGTGCTCCCAACTCCCATACTTGGCTCTCCACGAACTGGAGTCATCGTGGGAGCTGAAAGAGACCCCATGGCGCCGAGTATCGTGTACATTATGCCGGCCTATGTCACTGTCCATTCATGTTCTCACCTCATGCATCGTGTGATTTGCCGGTGACGTTCTTGCCAGCACGGTGGGCTTCCTTATCCCCGGCGCTTGGCTCGGCCGATCCGCGACTCTCAACCAATCGAGTGCTAGTTGGCGATGGTGCGTTCCCTTATAAACTTCGTGGCTAGACGCCACAGTCTAGTCAGTCTTATAAGCCGGCGGCCTCTCTACATGTAGTTACCGTAGCACGCGATCCTCCCGTGTCCAAGTTTACCTTTCTCCTCCTTCCCGTAGCACGTCAACATTAACCAAGTCGGGCTCGGCTCGGCTCCAGTGGCGTTTCTTTCAAGCATACTTGCCCTCTTCCCTTTCGAAGCTCTCCGCTGACTAGGCCGTCAAGAGAAGCCGTGAAGAGGCTAGCCCTGGCTAGAGGCCGCCATGGATCGGTTGGCGGCCGGTGAGGGTAGTCTGTGCTGGCAGAAGGCCGCCGGTCAAATCTTTTCAAGATGTTCGTAATGGACGTCGCTTGATCACCGGGTCCGAGGGCGGTTGGATTTTCTGATCGGTGGACCAACCGGTGGGACGGATGTGCCCACGGTAGTTGGAGTAGTGAAGTTGACGGCGTGAACGAGGTGCTACGATAATCGAATACGACGTGCCGGGGGTTCGCAAAGTCGGTCACTATAAAGATGGTCTAGCCCCTTTCCCTTGCCAGATGAAATGGCCAGCAGTCTGTCAGAGTGAAGACCACGCTCCAGTTTTCTTAACAGACAAGCACATTCTCTCGCCCCTCAAGGCAACAAACAATGAATCAACAGCCTCTACGATCAACCATGATGAAATTTGCCCTCCTTTCAACCTTGATGCTGTCTTCAGCAGCCTTCTCCGCGCCGCGCCAGCCCCGGGAGGCCGCGGCCGTGATGGAGAACAAGATGGGCAGTCTCATGGGCATCAAATCGTCTCATTTTGAGAAGAAAAAAGCCGCCGGTGCGTTTGCCAAAGACAAGTACAAGGCCATGGGCGCCACCCCGTGCAAGGACGGCAAGGCGGGCGAGTACAGCTGCGAGAACGTGGACCTTCAGGCTTTTGTCACCCACGGAGACATGGGTAGCCAGTCCCGAGCGGGAAACGACATCTGGGGTGAGTGAGAGGCATTGCCGAGCGATTGCCTCATCCCTTGGCAGTTTTGCGCCGATATCATGGCATGTATTCAGCATAGCTAACTGTGTAAAGGCTGGACTTCGGACGACGGCCGCGAGTTTGCTCTGGTCGGCCAGACAGACGGGACAGCGTTTGTCGAGGTGGTCAAGAACGGGTCCTTGAACTACGTCGGCCGGCTTCCAACGCAGACCGAAGACGCCATCTGGCGAGACATCAAGGTCATTGGCAACCACGCCTACATCGGAGCCGAGTCGAGGGACCACGGCCTGCAAGTCTTTGACCTGCGCAAGTTGCTCCTCGTCGGCGGCAACAGGACCAAGAGGTTTGACGTCAAGACGGACCTGGCGGCGCTGTACACGGGCTTTGGCAGCAGCCACAACATCGTGGCCGACGCCGAGACCAACACCATCTTCGCCGTGGGGGCCTCGCGGGACGCGGCATGCAATGGCTCCAACGGCGGGCTCATCATGCTCGACGTCGAGGAACCGTCGAGGCCGACGCTGCTGGGCTGCGCGGGCGACGACGGCTACGTGCACGACGCGCAGTGCATGGTGTACCGCGGCGTGGACAAGAGGTATGCCGAGCGGCACATCTGCTTCGCCTTTGACGAGTCCAAGCTCGCCATCATGGACGTGACGAACAAGACGCAGCCGGCGGTGCTGTCGCGCACCTTCTACGACGGCTTCAACGGAAAGGGGGCCTACACGCACCAGGGCTGGACCGTGGACAAGGACATGCGCTACCTGGTGCTCGACGACGAGCTCGACGAGCAGATGCGCCGCAACGCGTCCCAGGACACGCACACGACCACTTACATCTTCGACCTGGCGGACCTGACGTCGCCGCGCTGGACGGGCCGGTACAAGAGCCCCGTGCGGTCCATCGACCACAACCAGTACGTCGTCGACAACGCATTCTCGTACCAGGCAAACTACGCCTCGGGCTTGCGTGTCGTCGACGTCGCCGGCGTGCCCGACGACCCGACGGGCGGCAACATGAGGGAGCTGGCGCACTTTGACTGCTACCCGGAGGACGACGCGGATCCGCAGCCCGAGTTCAACGGCGCCTGGAGCGTGTATCCCTGGTTCAAGTCGGGGACGGTGGTGCTGAATTGCATCGAGAGGGGGCTGTTTGCGCTCAAGGTCAACACGGGCAAGTAGATGCTTTGAGTGCCTTGTTGTTTGTGGCTTTTGGTTGTTTGATACCCGGCAATAGAGTTGTTTTCCTGCGTACATCTGTCGGGGCTTCTCATCTTTCGTTGCGATTCTAGTACATATATGATTTCTTGTCTGGCCGAACCCGTATAGTTGGCGAAGCCGTCGGCAGCTTAAACGTTTCTCTACCCGATACAAGCCTAAATGTGCATTACAAGTAGGCAATTTCATGTCAAGCCATGTGAATACATGATGAAGTTGCCGAATAACCCTATTTACAACTATGCCTTCACCCTGAGGAGAAAAACACTGTCCTTGCACCAATGGTCCAAGGACCAGTCTGGTGACGCCAATGCAGGAATCCGGCCGCCGTTGAAGGATCAAAGCAAGCGTTGCCGGTGAAGAAGGGGAGCTTGACTATACACTTAGCTGGTGGTATTTAGGCATGGTGTCGAAAACCTAGCATTCGAGTGTATTACTCGTGTATAAGATTATGCAGCGACTTACATGCTCTAGTAGACACCTATCTTGCATGAAGCGTCTATGGCTGCAACTGTTGCTACCCCTCTCTGTAGTCCCGGCTACGTCTTTAGAATGAGGCTTCTTCTGGAAAATATTCAAGGTTTGAATCTGTCTCTTTTTTCTTCTTCGTCGTAAAACGCAAGGCATTATCACACCTTCAAGCTGGATGACACCAGCAGCCGATCCTTTCGAGAAATGCAAGAACGCGGTCGAATGCTAGCGCAGGAGCTCTAGTTTCATATTTTCCTCTTACTATATTGTCCAAGTTTGCTGCAAAGTTGACATGAAACAGTCCGGTGCACAAGTTCCGGCCTCCCACATGCCCCTCCTCCGCCTCCTCCGCCTCCTCCGCTGAGGCACTACAAGCACTTACACTCAATACCTGATTTGTGCTCAGCAAGGCCCATGGTCTGAATGTCACGGCCGAGTCTCCGGACATGCCGCCGCCCCACGAATCGGCCTCGCTCCATACCCAACCGTTAACCGTTTGGCAAGGTCAAGCACTAACTTTGTCCCCTGTACGGTTTCATCTGTCATCCGGACCGTCCGTCTCTGGTACGGGATTCCTTTTCATCTATCCTCATGTCCCCCCAGCGGCGCAGTCGAGACCAGGCACGATCCATGGATCCACTGCAGCTGAGCTGGCGTTCATGCTGCCCCTCAAACGGCGAACTCTCCCCTGTCAATGCAGCGGTTGGCCGATCCCGAGGGCACCTCCAAAGTACAGTGGTTAGCCAAGCTGGAATTTCCTATGGGAGCATTGCATTCGATTACTCATGAGGCTACAACGGCTTCCTTCGCTTGCGTGATTGAGTGTCAGAGAAGGCTGATACTCGGCGCACACGTCTGCTATTGACGCTTCAGACGAAGAGTCGAAACACAATCCCTGCAGCGGCCGTCAATGCTTTCGCACATGATCAGACGGACAATGTTTCGCAGCATCCGGAAACAGGGACGTTCGACCGAAGTGGGCGATATCCAGTGCTCTTATAAGGGTCGTCACGCTTCCACCATGGAAGCTGTTGATCATGTTCGTCAGGCATCTGATATTCGTCTACTTCAATCGTTCTTGCAGATATATATATATATTCCATTCTCTACAGTTTGTCCGCCAGCCCAACTTGCGGTTCCCAAGCGGCAAGCCGCCATACAGAGCCATTTTGGGATCCAATAGGCCACCGAAATGCACTTCAATAGAGTCAGCACCCTAGCCGGCCTGGGGCTGGCCATGCTCGGCAGCGCTCTCAGCAAGCCCCTCATCTTTGGCTACATGCAATTCTCGGACAAGGCCAACCTTGAGCTCGACTTTAGCAAGTATACGCACATCAACCTGGCCTTTGCGATACCCAAGCCAGACGGGTCCTTGGCCTTTGACGGCAACGCGACACTGCCTCAGGCCGTTGACAAGATTCACGAAAAGGGGGCCAAGGCGCAGATCTCGATCGGTGGCTTCCTGGGCTCGGCCAACTTTTCAAACATTGTCAAAGACCAGGCTCTTCGCAGCACGTTCACTGAGAACATAGTCAATTTCCTAAAAACCAACAAGCTTGATGGTGTCGACGTGGACTGGGAGTTCCCCGGCAGAGAGGGCGATCCGTGCAATGTCGTCGACAAGGAAAACGACTCGGCAAACTTCCTGATATTCTTGACCGAGTTGCGCCAGAGGTTTACCACGGAGTTTGGCAAGGACAATATGCTCATTACCATGGCGGTTCGCGTGCAGCCGTTCGACGGCCCGGATGGCCCGATGAGCAACGTCTCGGCCTTCGCAGCGCAGACCGACTACGCGTTCCTGATGGCGTATGACATCAACGGCCCCTGGGCCGCCGAGTCCGGAGCCAACGCCCCGTTGAATTTTGAAGTGGGCAAGGGCGCTCAGTTCTCCGCCAACTCGAGCTTGGATAATTGGCTGCTGGCCGGATGGCCGGCCGAGAAACTCGTGCTCGGTGTCCCCTTTTACGGCCACGGGACACAATTGGAGAACTCGACGGCAAATGCCACAAGCATGTACCAGGCGCAGTCTACACAAGCACCACTGGGCGATCAGGAAGACGCCGTGTCGACGGATGCTTGCACTGGAAAGAACGCTTCGTCGGGGGCATGGAGGTGGAAGCACCTCCGGGGCCAAGGGTTACTGGACACTGCGACGACGGCCAAGGAGCCGTGGGTCAGGCAGGTGGACGCTGCAGCACAGGTGCCGTGGTTGTACAACAAGGAGAATCACCAGTTCATATCCTACGACGACCCAGATAGCCTCAAGGCCAAGGCCGAATTGGCAAATCTTAAAGGCCTGGGCGGCATGATGATCTGGTCGATTGATATGGACACGAACGACTATGAGTTGACAGATGTGATAAAGGACAACTTGAAGGTTGACCAATGCGGTAAAGGACCAACATCTTAAGGGGTGATGACGGACCGTGGGATGCAGAATACATTTCCATGTATAGATCAAAAATACTGGATTTCTCCACGCCATATCGGGCTCTACATGTAGCCGGTCTCTCTACACGTAGATGGGGCCCATCGTGCGTGTGGATGACCCTGGCACAGGCCTCTTGATTCATCGACTGGTGAGATGGATCAAGAAGAAATCATGTCCGTATTTGTACCAGTTGCCCAAGTCTGGGACAGGGCTCGCATGAACTTGAATAATCATGGTTCATGAGCTTGCTTATATATCGGTAGCCACTTTGATTAGATGGGTGTACCGTTTCCCTACTTCTTCCTTGCCGGTGGTACTGAAATGGAGTTTGTGGCCAGGTAGTATTTGATAGTGGCCGAGCCCAGCCTGTTGGTTCCGCTCGACTCCCCAACAGGTACGGCTCCTGCCCTTTATTCATCAAGCAGCAAGCTTGGACTATGGAGTATGGACAAGGTGAGGGGCTTGAGCCGCCTCTTGATTTACAGACCTGGAGAGCCATGGAGTCCTCCCGTCACCCTGCTCTCGCGCTAGGGCTGCGTGCGTCGGTCATGGTGACGGCGAGGGTGATGAATCCTCGGACAAAAAGGAACGCCGAGGCGAGAATAATTGGGTCCAACGGATCGGCCAATGTGGCCAATGCCCAATCGCGGCGTTGCTGACCACGTCAGGCCGGCCGGCAGGGGCCCGAGGCCGTATTCCTCGCGTCCAGAGATCCCCGATTACGACGAGTCCAGGCGGTCAGATTATTTTCCCAAAGCGGTTACAACCATGGAAGCTAAGACCTGTTTGCTGTCATCCGATGACTTGGCCCCTTGCGGTTTTCAAATCCGCCAGGTTCATGTCGGCGGTCAGCTTCGGGACTCGCTGCCATTGGCGATTCGACATGGGGCAGCGTAGGCGGCAGCGTGAGGGCTTGGGATGTGCTTAGATGCCTATCACGGTGCATTGGCGCATTACTTGAGGCTATGCTGGCCGTTGACGTTGGCCATTGCGTAGGTATCCCGAGACTTCGCTGAGTGATGATGGCGTTCATATAAAGAGGCATAAGTAGCCATGCATGCTGGGCTCTCGCATGGATATAGAATCGTTCCTCAGCTCCTTGGGTGAACAGAGTTGAATTCAGCAGCAACAACATGAAGTTCCTGACCCTATCGTTGGCACTTGGCCCCTGTGCTGTCTCCGCGATAGCCTCATTGCCCCCTACCGCCACCATTGACACCGGCCCCCTTGTCGGCGTCACGACCAACTTGCCCGGTGCTCTCGGGCCGGTCAATAAGTTCCTCGGCGTTCCCTACGCTGCACCCCCCGAGCGATTTAGCCTCCCCCGGCGCCCCACGCCATGGACCTCTGCGAGGAATGCGACGGCTTTCCAAGCCTCTTGCATCCAATACATGGTCGACGCTGGTAAGTCTTCTGCCTCGAAGTGTTCTCGTCTTTGTGACGGTTGACCAACTCTCTTCCTCTTCCTGGAGATGTCGGTCCTGGCCGGGACGTCATCGATGGGCTTTTTAACACGCACCCCCGAGAGAGCGAAGACTGTCTATACATGAATGCTTTTACGCCGGCGACGCAAGGGCCGCCCGAGGGTCGCGCCGTCGTGGTCTTCATCCCCGGAGGTGGCTGGCAGTTGGGAAATGGCCTGCTGGACCTTTCTGGGTTCGCCGGCTACGAAGACATTGTGGCCTTTACCTTCAACTACCGCACAAACAGTACGCTGGCCCCTGTCCTCTCTTTGATATGTCGCTGACGTCGTTTGTTCCTCGTGCTCAAGTTTTTGGCTTCCCCAATGCCGCAGAGATAGGCCTCAGCCAGAGGAACTTAGGCCTCCATGACCAGCGCCGTGCCCTCGCCTGGGTGCAGGCCAACGCGAGAGCCTTTGGCGGGGACCCAAAAAAGGTCACCATCTGGGGCGAGTCGGCCGGGGCTATGTCCGTCGACCTTCACATGCAGGGCTACGCACAGGCGCGCCCGCCTCCCTTCCGGGCGGGGATCATGTCCAGCGGCCAAATGTCCTTTGGCTTGCTTTCCATCACGAACAGCCCTCGAGACACGCGGAGCTGGGACAATCTCGCGGGAGAGGTTGGATGCAGAGGAAACAGCAGCCTGGCCTGTATGCGGAGAGTCCCGGCCAAACAGTTGGTCGAGGGCATGGCCAAGGCAAACATGACAGCCCTTCCCATCGCCGACAACTTGACGGTTCCCGCGAATCGAGCGGCGGCCTGGAGGGACGGGAGAGTCGCCAAGGTGCCGGTGTTGATGAGTACCATGGCCCAAGAAGGACGGGCCCTGGTGAATCGCAACATCACGATGCAACAATTTGTCGGGACGTACCTCCCCGAGACCCTGGTCACTCCCAAGCAGCGGGACGCCATCGTGTCTTTGTACCGAAGCAAGCCAGGCCTTGAGTCCGACTTTGACGTGGCCGCCGCCATCTATACGGACTTGCTCTGGCAATGCGTGAGTCTTGGTGTTCCTCGAAGGGGTTAAACACGAACTAGAGCTGATACCAGAGATGGGCGCGTAATTCAGCCGCAGCAGAATCTGGCCAACGTCTCGGCATCCACCGGACTCGCAGTCTGGCGCTCGTACATCAACGCCTCGATCGCCGAGCTCCTCCCCGAACAGTTCCAGTTCCTAGGCAAGTTCCACGGGGGGGATGTCGTGCTACTCTTCTCGACCCCGACGTTTGAAGGCGGAGGCGGCGGCGACGGCTTCAAGCTGACGCCGCAGCTGTACGCCTTTGCCAACTATTTCCGGGGCGTCATCGGCACCTTTGTTCGGAACCCGCACGGCGGTCCGGGCTGGCCAGCTGTAGGGTCGTCGTACGCCCCCTTTGACGTTGTGGCTCTCGGCGACGTGGGCGAGCAGCGCAGCGCCGGGGCCACGCCCGTGAACCAGACGACGTTGGACGCGGACTGTGCCGTCTTCTCAGACATTTACCCGCTTGTCGAGAAGTTTCTATCCGTGTCTTGAAGGGAATAGTACGGACGCGAGTGTATCTTGTCTCACTTGTATATTATATATTTAACCTGTGCCTAATCTGTATCTGTCCAACTTCTCCGCGTCCCTGTCCTGCCAGCCACCGCCCGCGGACTGTTGCTTATGGTCAGGATGACAACACTTGGGCGCTCGGTGCAATGACTTTTGCTCGAGTCTTGTAACTTACCGCCAATCAACTTGTAGAAGATGTCGAGACAGACCGAAGCAGAGATTCCGATGCCAAGCCCGGGCCAGTCTTGGCGCCCGGCCCGTTGCGGCATGCGGTGGCGGAACCTCGCGTGCACCAATGGGGATTCCTCCATCATCGCACCAGCATCCACCAGTATCGTGTGGTGTTGCAGAAGCCGTCGTATGTAGTCAAAGATTCATTCGACACCAAGGAGGAGCCCGTTGGACCGACGGCTCCCGTTAGTCAACAATGGACGACAAGTGTAGGACAAACGTAGGTTTTCATGCCTCTAAAGGCTGAAGCTGGTGGCGAGGGCGTCGCCGAGTATAAGACCGGCATTGCCTGCCGACATACAAGTTCATGAACATATCTACTGCACATATAACACCTCAACCAAAAACCGCAATCCCATTCCCGCTTCACACAAACCCTTTTACTGACCGCATTGGGCTACCTAGACACCTTCACCGGCTTCTGTGTCGACGGGCCGGACTCGTGGAGCAAATTCCACAAGGCCGAGCTCAAGCCGAAGCCGTTTGGGGACCACGACATTGACGTTCGAATCGACGCATGCGGCGTCTGCGGATCCGATGTTGACACTTTGACGGGAGGGTGGAGAATATATCAGGGCTCTTTCTGCGTGGGACACGAGGTCGTCGGCAAGGCCGTCAAGGTCGGGCCACACGCCAAGGGCATCAAGGAGGGTGACCGCGTGGGCGTCGGTGCTCAGATCTAGGCGTGCCTCGAGTACGACCTATGCCGTGACAGGAACGAAAATCACTGCCCCAAACTCGTCGACACATAAAACGCTCAGTATCCAGATGGCTCGTGGGCTCACGGCGGCTTTGCCTCACATATACGCACCCACGAGTATTTTACCTTCAAAATCCCAGACGCCCTAGACATAAACATGGTAGCTCCGCTTCTGTGCGCGGGTATTATAGTCTACTTACCCACGGTGCGTGCTGGCGTCGGACCGGGGAAAAGGGTAGGCATCGTCGGCATCGGCGGGCTGGGCCACATCGCCATGCAATATGCCGTGGCCCTCGGAGCCAAGACGGACGCCCTGACGCACTCGCCCGGCAAGGAAAATGACTGCAAAAGGATGGGTTCCAAGGACGTCATCGTGACCGGAAAGGAGGGCTGGCAAGAACCGCACAAGTTCAAGTTTGACTTGATCCTCAACTGCGCCAACGTGACGGACCGGTTCGACATTCCGTCTTACTTTTCGCTCCTCAAGCCCGGATCTGACTTCTACATGGTCGGTCTCCCTGATAGAGCCCTGCCATAGATCATGGCGCAAGACTTTGTCGGCAACGCGCCCCAGCTGAGCGGCAGCCACATTGGCAACCATCAAGAGATGGAGGCGCTGCTGAAGCTTGCTGCGGAAAAGGGCGTGAAGCCGTGGGTTGAAACAATTGATGTTTCGGAAGAGGGTTGCAAGCACGCCGTCGAACGACTCGAGGACAATAAGGTCGCCTACCGGTTTACGCTTACGGGTTTCGACAAGGCACTTGGCCGGGCATAGACGTGCTGTTTAGCGGGGGTTGGAGGCCGGGAGTTGGGAATGTTGATCAGCGTGGGCGATTGATGCAGAGAAACCGGAGTCGAAGAAGAGAGTGAAGAGCAGCATCATTTTCATAATGCACAATGCATTCTACTATTTCAAAGCCTGCATCGATGACATGATGTAAAGAGTCTTGGAGTAAGCAGAATTGTGCAGCAAGAGCTGACCCATTATCAAGGGCTCGGCGACATGAATGAAGGCAACTTTTCCAGCGGCAATATTCGGTTCACCAGCGAGACCTCTTGAAAGAGGATGGAGATGCTTTGGTCGGACATCGAAAAGGCGTCTTGCGGCGCATTCTCCGCCCGCCTCAAGCCAAGTTGCTGTCCCAGGACACGTGTGGTCGAGTTTCGATGCCGTAAGAAATGTTTTCCAGAACAGCCCCCTGAAAACACACTTATTCAGCGTTGCATATCGCAGTCGAAAATCTGCCTTTGAGTTCAGGCCGGCTGGACCCAGTCTCCAGTGTGTCTCGAGCGGCGAAATGTCATAGCCGTATAGGTATTTTTAAAGTGTCGCCCCGCATGGTGTAAGGTTCCCGTAGCGGAGTGGTTACCGCGTGACTCTTATAAAATCAGGATGCTTTTGGTTTTATGGTTAGACATGTCAAGGTCCGGGGTTCGACCCCCCGCGGGAACATTTTTGCCTGCTAGACCTGGTGGCCGTGCTCTTGATGGACATGTCTTTTTTTGTCCTTGAATCAATGTTCTTGCTTTCTTTTGCCTCTGCTATTCTGTTCAAATTTGCGTGACGTTACTTTCCAAGAGGCTGGTCGAGCACGCGTGCTAGAAAACCCCATGCCCGCCATGCGTCCTCTCATCCCACGGCCGGACACGCACGATGCATCATCGCCTTTACTTTTCAGTTCCCCTTTTCGCCCTTCTTTTGAGCATTTTTCTCCCCTTCAATCCGTTCTTGACAGCCAGCCAGACATGGTTGCCATGACTTACCTTAATACGCCGAGCTCAGACGCCTGTTGTGATGATTTCACATTAGCCAGACTCGACTTACGGCCAAGAGCCTTCATTATAAGCAAGCATCAACCTACCAATGGCCCTTGCAATGGCCTCGCCGACCCCCTTGGCCGAGGCAGGGTTTTGGCCGGTAATGATCTGGCCATCGACAACAATCATCTCGCCCCAGGGCGACGGCGCCATCTGGAAATCGGCGCCAACTTCAAGCAGCGACGTCTCGAGCAGCAGCGGCATGGCGTCGTCGAGCTTGACGTCCTTTTCCTCACGGTTGGTGAAACCGGTGACGCGGCGGCCCTCGACGAGCGGCTTGCCGTCAATCTTGGCCTTGTAAAAGACAATGGGCCCGTGGCACACGGCGGCGACGGGCTTGCCGGCCTTGTAAAACTCCTCGATGAGCTGCAGCGAGTCCTTGTCGTTGACCAGGTCGTACATGGGGCCGTGGCCGCCCGGGTAGAAGAGGGCGGCAAACTCGGACGCCCGGCCGAGGAACTGCTTCAGCGGCGTCGTCTTCTCCCACACATCCTTGTGCTTCTTGAGGAAGTCGGCCGACGACCTGTCGTTGGCAAACATCTCCACGGAGCCGGGGTCGAGCGGGGCGACGCCGCCCTTGGGCGAGGCGACGACGATCTCCGTCTTGGGGCTGAGGACGTCGTAGGGGTGGGCCAGCTCGGGCTGCACACGTCAGCCATGGTCACACATGATCGGGACTTCTCTCATAGTAATTATGCAAGTCGTATGTCCGCGCCGGCCTCGGAGCGGGGATGCACAAGGTGCCCCCGGAGAGGCCGGGCCGGGAATGCTCACCAGAAACCAGCCCGTGGGCTTGTCGAGCCGGTCAATACGATCATGGCTGGTGAGCACGACTAGAACCTTGGGAGCCATGGTGAAGTATCGTGGTGAAAAGGCTGGAATAGGCCTGTCTTTTCGAGATGGAGGTGGGGGGTGGAGGGATCATGTATGATGCAATGCAGGCGGTGCGGAGTGGCTTCGTTGGTTATACGTATACCTGTGTCAATCAATGCCTCGGCTGGCAAAAGAGGGGGAAGCCGATTATAAAGCAGGAAAGGCCGAGCATGAAGAATGATTTTGTGTCTCAAGAGGCCAAGCAGGCTTTGTGCCGGCGATGCCCACGAACGGATATCCGGCACCACGCCAGAGGAGGCTTTATACGGCCAGCTGTTGCTCTTCGATGTCATGCTGGTCTTTTAGATCCGTCGTGGGTGTTCACGCGTGGCAAAATTCAGTCGTCTGAATTATAACATGCACGGCCACCAACTATCTATATAGGCCACGGCACTGCCCTTACTAGCATGAATGATTTACACGCAATCCATACACGCATGTGCGGTTGCAAGGGCTCATCCCAAAGCGATGGGACTTGGACACTTTCTCAGCCAAAAGCCGTTGTTCTCTCGAGAACAGACACAGTGCCGTGCTCTGTTGGTCCGGCACAAGCTACCCACCCCGTGATACTGCTGTGCACCTACAGCAACCCTGTTGCCCTGGAACGTGTGCAAGCACAGACTCCGGGCCTCTCATGTCGTTGCTGCCGCCCTCGGAGGGGAGGCCCCATCGGTACTCTCCCTGGAGGGCAAAAGCGTTGGAACCCCCCCCTTTTCTTTCAAGCCCACGCACGCTCCAGCAGGCGGCCAAGTCCGAGGTGCTTGCCGCAACTGGACCAGCGGTGATATCCGTCCACAGGCCTTCGCGGTTGGTCGTTGGCCCGTTGGTCGCTGTCTGTCCAGAACCCCTGAGCCACTACGTCGCATAAATTCGAAATTTGCCCTTGCCGTACGAGACTCCGGCTCCGTGACCCTGTCCAGCGTGTCAACTGCGTCAAACTGTACCAGTAGCTCTAGGCTTTACCTTCTATCCATGCGCTCGGTAACGGCGGCAGAGACTGGATCCAAATGATAACGTATGCTCCGGGGAGACTGGAGCTCCGGGCTTGTGCGAGTCTCGCTGCGCCATGCCACCTATATCGTCGTGACTCTCTCTCCCGATCTCTCTTCCAGGTCTTTGCTGGACTCTTCCTCCTCGAGGGCCAGCTACGTCATCTCGACCATGTCTCCCAACAAGCCTGGTGCCGAGAACAATCCTCTCCTATCGACGACGACCCCTTCCGATGCCGACGACTACGACAGCAGCGACGCGTACGCAGCCGAGAAACATGTCCTCCCGCGCCGCATCACCGTCGTCATCCCCTGCCTCTTGCTGCTGGTAGCTATGGAGATTGGAGGCACTCTCGTCGGCGTGCCCATGAATCAGATCCAGGAGGGCATCCTCTGCCGGCAGCGGTACCCCAACGTTCTGGACACGTCGACCGATGCGCGGTGCAAGAGCAGTAATGTCCAGTCGGCGCTCTCTTCCTTGCAGGGCTGGGAGCTCACCTTCAGTCTCATCCCGGGCATCCTGACTGCCGTCCCCTATGGCATCGCGGCGGACAGATATGGCCGCAAGGCTATCCTCGGCCTGTCGCTGTTGGGAATTTTTCTCGTACAAGCCGTCGACATTGTCGTGTGTATGTCAAGTCACGGCCTTCCGAGCTCCTGAGCTACTCGGTCAAGACTATGGCTGACGCGTCAACCTACTTCCAGGCAGCTTCCCCCAGATCTTTCCCATCCGCCTGGTATGGCTCGGCGCCATGTGCAGTCTGATAGGCGGCGGCCCTTTTGTGTACTCAGCAATGGCCTTTACCATAGCCAACGACATATCCACTGACGCAACAAAGTAGGTCAAAGATAAAGGCCTTTCCCCTTTCCCACCGAGCAGCCCGGGCTCGGTCGTTTGGACATCAAAGCTAACTTTGACCCGCTGGCCATCCATCTTCTTCTACCTGTCGGCCGTGCCGATGGGATGCGAGCTGATATCCATGCCACTGGCCTACGTCGCCATGCAGCGCGGGCCATGGTTCTCCGTCTTCGTCGGGCTCGCGTGCATGTCCACGTCGGTCCTCATCGCCCTCATCTGTCCCGAGACGCGCAGCATGGCGGCGCCGGAGAGTGACGCCGAAGGCGTGGAGCAAACCCTGGGCTGTGGCCGGGTGGCGCTTAAAGACTTGCGACCACGACTCTTGACTCTCGTGGAGCAGGTGACCACACTGTTCCAATCCATGTTCTTGCAAGATAGGCGTCTTGGAATACTTCTTTCTAGCTTGTTGTTTACCACACTTGGAAGATACGCATCGACCATTCTCATGCAGTACACGACGAAGCGGTTCGGCTGGTCCTGGTCTCAGGTAAGGAGCTGCAGGGCATTTTCTTTCTCACTTTGCTCTGAGCAGCGGTATCCCGAGCGACGCCCCATAAAGTGTTCATATACTGACACCTCTCCAAACAGGCCGGTATCATGTCCTCCGTCAGCACCCTGGTAAACCTGATCCTCGTCGTGGCGATATTGCCCCCTCTAAGCCACGCACTCCGCTACTATCTCGAGCTCGGGCCTATGATCAAGGACCTGTGGATCGCGCGGGCGAGCATCTTCGCCCTCATCGCCGGCTCTTTCGGCATTGGACTGTCTTCCACCTCGCCCATGCTGATGGGAAGTCTCATGGTCTACGGCCTGGGGTCCGGCTACGGCGCCGCCATGCGCGGGCTCCTGAGCCAGGTGGCAGGGAACAAGCACGTGGGCGCTCTCTACACAACCATGAGCGTTGTCGAGAACATGGGAATGCTCATCGCCGGCCCGTTGCTGGCTGCGACCTTCAGGGTCGGCCTCGGCTGGGGGACCGCCTGGACTGGCCTTCCGTTCTTCGCGGCGGGAATCCTGTTGGCGTTCGCGGGTGTCATTGTGAGTGGTGTGCGGCTTCAGGGGCTGGAGAAGAATAGGAATGAGGAGGAGGAGGAGGAGGAGGAGGAGGAAGGGGAGGAGGTTGTGGTGGTAGAAGAGGAGAGATTGGGAATCCGTCTTGCTTGATGGACTTGAGCCTGCTTGTGCAGGTGGTGAATATGATGCACGAACATCGGTACGTGTTTACTGCAAAGAAGCTTCAACGCTAGAAACTGGGCTTGAGCATTGCGAGAAGAGCATATACATTACGGGCCCTAGCCTACATGTCCTCAAGCTCTCACCACATCCGTCTCCTCGTTGGCCGAGACAAGCACACACTCGAATACGTTTAAGGGAGACTTGCACAATCATATTTTGGCGGCCTATACTCAAAGATAGACCGCTGAGAATACGTGGCCTTTTCTTCCTCACTCGTCCCCAGCTCGGCGACTGAAGTCTGCAAAGTCTCACCTAATTGACATGCCTCGAAGCGATATCAGGACTGCGTTGACAATTGACATAACCCCCCATCTCCCCCTTTTCCCCAGTCATAAGAGTAATAGCCCGCTTAAGCCAACTGGCGACAGCCAAATTGACTCGCAATTTTCATGCAGGTAGAAATGAACTGGTCGCGGCAGGAAGCGGGAGCCCGCGTGGGAGAGGATCAACGCTCATGTTGTTGGTTGGAGGTTCGACGAGGGCCGAGCCGCCGTCAATAGACTCAATAAGCCGCTAGGCGCACGGGGCCTGTTCTTCTGTCTCTTCATGTCATGCCCATTTGAACTGAAGAACTGCTCTCACTGTGCAGATTTCCGTCGTCAAGTCTGGCCGCCGGGACCAAGCTGTCATTTAACGCCAGGGAGGAAACGGTAAGCGATTGGATAGTGCAGCCCAACGAGGCGTTTGCCTCGAGCCTCACTCCTTTCGGCTGCGTGCCGCATGGGTCTTGTTCGTGTATGCTTCAAGGCCCTATTTCGACGCGACGGCGTTCCGAAATGACGAGAGCCGCGACTCCGGTCCTTGCCGTGGTCTCGACTGCCAACCTCGCGCCCCCTTCCCCCGAGCCAATGTAGGCAGGATGATGACATGGTCCAGGGGGTATTGGCCTGCCCGTCCCGCAAGCCATGTGAGAAACCTTTCCCAAACTCAAGCGTCGGCTCGCCGCCGTAGGGAGGCATCCCCAGCCATGGACTCGCCGGCGGCTATGACTGACGCCTCGTTTGGTCCGCGGCTGTGGCCAGAGTTTGACTTTACCCTGCTGTTCGAGCAAACGATACTCACCATCCTTCCATCGGTCTTGCTGCTGCTCGCCGCGCCGATCCACATACGCGGCGTCGTCCGCAGACCCGTCTGCGCCAGACCGGGACTTCTCCTCTGGGCTAAGCTAGTAAGGGCAGCTCTCCACCTCTCTCTCCCCCTATACGCTTCCATCCGGAACCTCTTTCCCCGCCTGTTGGCTGAAGCGCTCCTAACCGTGGTCACACAGACCGCAGCTCTCGCCCTAGTTGGGGCGGAGTTCACAAACGTGCTCCTCTGGAGCCTTGCCGCCGCTTCCGCTCCCGCTTCCAGGGTCTCGCTGGCCGCTGGCGCCGTGTCATGCGCCGGTGCCCTCTGCATTGGCGCCGTGCTTTATGCAGAGCACCGTCATGCTCTCCGGCCGTCAAACCTCCTCGGAGTATTTTTGACCCTGGCTGTGCTCTTCGATGCCGCCAAAACCCGTTCGCTGTGCCTTCGCTCCGGCCTACCTATCGAGGCCGGCCTGGCGGCAGTCGTCACGGTGGTCAAGGTTGTCCTTCTCTTGTTGGGGGAGGTTTCGAAGAGCTCTTTGTTGTGTGAGGACTCCTCGTCATCTGACGCAGCAGGGCCAGAAGCCACCGCAGGATTTTGGAACAGGTCACTGTTCATATGGCTCAACTCAACCCTCCGGATGGGCTTCCAAGGCCTTATCCGCATCGACGACCTGCAAAGCATGGGACCTTCGTTGAGCTCCGAGCGTCTTCTCTCTAAATTTGAAGTTGTCTGGGTAAAAGGTCAGTCCTCTGCGTCTTTTACCATACCAAGCAGTCTCGCCCCCTTATTTGAGAATCGATGAGTTTAGTAATGGCACAGAAACGCCGTCCAAAGCTGATGTCTCCCACAGCAAACAAAATGTCAGCCCATTGCCTGGCCAAGGTGTGCCTGCGCGCACTCAAGCGGCCCTTTCTGGCGGCTGTACTTCCTAGGCTGTGCTTGATCGGATTCACATTTGCCCAACCGTTTCTTCTCCAAACGGTGGTCCGCATCATCGGAGAAAGAGATTACCCCCACGAGGTCGTCGGCGGCCTTGTTGGTGCCACCATTCTTGTTTACCTAGGCATCGCGGTACGCTCGACATCTCGCCCGGCTCTGTAGCTATTTCACCTACAACCTTGACGGTATGTACTGACGATGGCTTTAGGTGGCCAAGGCTCACTACATGCATAAGACCTATCGGCTCATGACCATGCTGCGCGGGGCCCTCATCTCGGCCATCTTCAAGAAGACTCTTGGCTTGGAGCTTTCGGACGCTAGGGGTTCGGCCGCCATGACCCTCATGAGCGCCGACATTGACGGCATACAGACCGGCCTCTCCGTACTACATGATGTCTGGGCGAGCGTCATTGAGTTAGCTCTCGGTATCTACCTGCTCGCCACGCTTGTTGGTAGTGCGTGTGTCCTCGCGGCGTTGCCGGCACTTTGTGAGTCTTGCCTTGTCTTGAGCTTCCGTTCTTGAGTCAGCCGCTGCTGAGGGCCTGCATCTAATCGTCAACAATTGTCAACGACATATAGTCACCACGCTGGCTTCCTTCGAGATCGCGAGGAGAATGGGTCCCGCCAGGGTAGCGTGGAACGAAAAGATACAGACGAGAGTGTCGGCCGCATCAAATGTCCTTTCCCAGCTCAAGAGCATCAAGATGAGCGGCCTTGCGCCCGCCGTGACAGATTATCTTCAGGAACTCCGCGTCAACGAGATGAAGTACTCCAGGAAGCTCAGAGTGCTCTTCATCGCAATGCACGTCATTGGTAAGGCCTCTCCATTCCGCGTCATGTATGGGGGAAGCACAGCCGCTCACCGTGCGCACAGCATCCCTTTCCTGCAGCATGACTTCCGTCCTAGTCATAGCCGGCGGACTGTTTTGGACCAAGCTTTTCGGCCCCCTCAGCGCTGCCGAGGCGTTTACGACTCTTTCCATCGTTGGCCTCGTTTCGCAACCCGTGACCATCTTGTTGGTGGCTTACCCACAGGCGGCGAGCACGTTGAGTTGTTTTCATCGCATTCAAAAATTCCTTCTCTTGCAAGAAGTGCCGCAGCACCGCAACGTCGATGGCCACCCCGACAGTCAAGATGCATCCACTTCCTGTGCCGGGTCATCCATGCACAAGGAAGCACGTGGCGGATACGGTCAACAAGGGGTCCTCATGGAGATGGATTCGACATCGACTCTGAGGGTAGGTGGATGTGCTGCCGAGCTCATAAACGTGTCGATAGCGTCAGAGAACAGATCCAGGGTAATTTTGCGAAACCTCAATATCAGGCTCATGCCGTCCAGCCTTACGGTGGTACTCGGGCCCGTCGGCTCCGGAAAGTCGACCCTATTAAAGGCATTTCTTGGGGAAGCGCACCTGGTCGAGGGCTTTGCATATATCGAGAGTCGTAGCATGGCCTTCTGCGACCAGCTGTCCTGGCTTCGGAATATTGCCGTACGCGACAACGTCAAGGGTCAAAGTCCATACCACCGCGACTGGTACGAAGCCGTTCTCCACGCCTGCCTGCTCGATGAAGACATGAGGGAGCTCCCCGAAGGCGACCAAGCCATCGCAGGGAGCGGGGGGGTGAATCTGAGCGGAGGTCAGAGGCAGAGAGTTGTATGCCATACCTTGGTCCCCGCAGGAGTGTCGTTCTAAACCCATTCTTTAGGCTCTCGCGCGCGCAGTCTACTCACGAAAGTCGATTCTTATTCTCGACGATGTGCTCAGCGCTTGCGACGGCCGGACCTCGACTGCCATACTTGCCCGGCTATTCGGCAAAGGCGGACTGTTAAGAGACTCAGGAGCGGCAGTGGTCATGACCACTCACTCACGTAAGCACAGTAAGGTCTCGGTGTAGGATAAGAATACTAATAAATCGCCATCGAGGCAGTTGAGCCTCTCGCCGTGGCTGACCAGATCATCGTGCTCAACGGAAAGGGCCAAGCATCGGAGCAGACGGCAGTGAAAGGGAAATGTTTGAGTGACGACAACTCGTTCCAAGATTCGCTACAAATCAGTTGCGATGGCATGCGAGAGAGTGGCTCGAGCAGTGGTTCCAAAACGGCATGTCAGTCCGCCACTTTGGCATCGAAACCGCTCGCAATCTCAGAAGATGGAAGCAGTCTTGAGGTCCAAAGAGGAGACATGAAACTGTATTCGTTTTACCTCGAGTCCATAGGCAAGGTGCTCTTTGCCACCTGGCTCTTGACCGTTGCTGTGGCCGCCGTCTCGGACAAGATGCCGCGTAAGTTCATGCGGCCAGTTCGTCCCTCGCTCCGCCGTTGTCAGCTTTTCAGTCTGTCAGACTTCCAATGTTAGCTGACCTTTTGATGCAGAGATATGGATCCGGGTATGGCTCGAGCAAGATGCAAAGGACAATCGCTATTTCGCCGGATACGCCGCTCTTGCTGGGCTGAGTTCTGTCTTGATCTTGATCACGCTCACGTAAGTTGGGAGAGTCCCTTGAGCCTACAGTTGACGCGAAACATGAACTCACCAAGCTCCAGCTTCTATATCATAAAACTGGTCCCCATGTCAGCGGAGAGACTTCACCAGATGCTTCTGGAAGCCGTCATGAAGTAAGAAGACCCGCCGCCCTTTCAAGAACCCGCCTGCTGACGAGACTCATTCTAGAGCATCCCTCTGGTTTCTCTCCTCCACCGATAATGGGTGCCTTCTCAACAGGTTCGTGGTTTTCGCCCCGGGAGTAGCGGTGTCGAAGCTTGCTGAGCACAGAACGCGTGCAGGTTCAGTCAGGACATGACACTTATCAGCCAAACTCTGCCCATTTCAGTTGCCAATGTTGCGTACCGTATGCCACGTTCCCTCTCTTTATCATGAATCTTGCTGTTCCCAAGGTCAGCTTCCGGGCTAACCGTTGTTGTGGAGTCTCCTTTTCTGCCCTCACCGATATCACCATCATCGCCTCGGGAGCCAAGTATGCCGCAGCCAGCATACCCGTTATCGGCATTGCGCTATGCTGTCTCCAAAAGTTCTACCTGCGCACTTCGCGCCAGATGCGGCACCTCGATCTCGAGGCCAAGGCACCCCTATACACCCAGTTCACCGAGACGGCGGCAGGCGTGCAGCACATTCGGGCCTTTGGCTGGCAAGCTGATGTCCTAGCCGAGAGTCTGAGGCTCCTGGACCGTTCCCAGAAGCCGCACTACTACATGTTTTGCATCCAGCGCTGGCTGATGCTGGTACTGGACATGTCGGTTCTCGTGTTGGCGGTTGTACTCGTGGCCCTGGCCCTCAGCTTCCACAGGACGACGACGCAGAGCGCGATTGGCCTGGCGCTGGTTAACGTCGTATCCTTCAGCGAGAGCTTGTCACAGCTTATCGAATCATGGATGGAGATGGAAACCTCGCTCGGAGCCATTGCTCGACTGAGGTCGTTCCTCGTGCAGACACCCATGGAAAAGGAGCCGGGTGAGGGGGTGGTCGAGTTGCCAGAAAGCTGGCCGCGGCATGGCAAGCTTGAGCTGAGATCTTTGAGTGCCACATATAGGTATGTCTGTGCTACCAAGCACTCTGCCTTCAGGATTGGTAGGTTTTGACGCTCACACGTTGCTAGTGGTGGTGATGGCCACGAAGCCCGGAGGCCAGTCCTGGACGACGTGTCGATCGTCATCCAGCCCGGACAAAAAGTCGGCATCGTGGGCCGCACAGGGAGGTAAGGAGTCTTGCCCACCAGACAAGAGAAACGGGGACAGACGAGCTCACCACATACATGCATTATGTGAAGCGGCAAGAGCTCGCTCATGCTCACGCTTCTCAACATGCTCGACCACACGGGTTCAGTGGTCATCGACGGCATAGAAGTGTCGCGAGTAGCTCGCCACCAGCTCCGGTCCCGCATCACGACGTTCCCCCAGGAGCCCGTCGAGCTTCCCGGCACAGTGCGCAACAACCTCGCGCCATCGGATGCTCGGCAGGGGGGTCTCGGCGACGCGGTCATGGTGCAGGCGTTGGCCAGCGTCGGCCTCTTGGCGCACATTGCATCACGCGGTGGACTCGATGCACAGCTTGCCACCGTGGGTCTCTCGCATGGACAGAAGCAGCTGCTGGGCCTGGCGCGCGCGCTGCTACACCACGGCAGCTCGGGAAGCCGGGTCGTGCTGATAGATGAGGCGACGAGTAGCTTGGATAAGGAGACGGAGGCTTGCATGCAAGCTCTTATGAACACAGCGTTTGCGGGCTGTACGCGGATAATTGTTGCCCATCGCCCCGAGGCGATACGGGGTGCGGATGTTCTCGTGGAGCTCGTCGCAGGCAGGCTTGTCCAGGTAACGAGGCACTGACGATTGTGTCCCAAGAACTCGTGATTCTAGATGGTAAAGTCGACGGAGAGGGGCACAGCGCGTGTAAAAATATGCATTTGATGCATTTGATAATGCGATGATAGTCCAAGTTATATCTCAGGTGCCATGACAAGGCCATTTGCTTCATCTGCGTCGTCGTCAAGCAGTTAACCATCAAGGTGCCTACCTACCCTAGACCTCAGACCAACATTCCGGCCTCAGCCACACCGGCACCTCAGCCTTATTCAGCACCGCCTCTCCTCACTTCAGCATAAGCATCAAGCAACCCCTCCTCCCATTCATCTCCTCAGCCTCGCGCCTGGAATCGCCAATCCGCCATTTCCACCAGTTCCTCGCGCGCTGCGTCACTGCGCGCCCCCTCAAAACCCCATGGCGACCGACAACATCAAGCCCAAGCTGCTGTGGAACTCGGAGAACGTTAAAGACGTGGCCGAGTCGGTCGGCATCAGCAACCTCAACGAGGAGAGCCTCAAGGCGCTGACGCAGGATGTCGAGTACCGCGTCGGCCAGGTCATCATCGAGGCCCTGCGCCTCATGCGTGCCGCCCGCAGGACCACAATGACCGTCACCGACGTCGCCCTCGCCCTCAAGGTCCTCGACGTCGAGCCGCTCTTTGGCTACGACTCGACACGCCCTCTGCGTTACGGCGAGGCCAGCCTGGGGCCGGGCCAGCCGCTGTTCTACATTGAGGACGAGGAGATTGACTTCGAGAAGCTCATCAACGCGCCCCTTCCCAAGGTCCCGCGCGACATGAACTTTACGGGTATGTCTTGGCTCGCGTACCGGCGTCTGTATGGTATGTGCTGACCGTCCACTCAGCACACTGGCTTGCCATCGAAGGCGTCCAGCCCTCGATACCCCAAAACCCAACGACGGTCGAGTCTCGATCCCAAGACCTTTTGCCCAAGGGCCCTGGCACCAACCCGTCCCTAAATGCGCTCGCCGGTAACGACAACCTCTCGGTCAAACCCTCAGTCAAGCACATTGTGAGCAAGGAGCTCATCCTGTACTTTGACAAGATCCAGGCTGCTATTCTCGATGACAACCCTGACGAGGAGGTGGTGCGCCTGCGACAGGCCGCGCTGGGCTCCGTGAGGGACGATCCGGGCCTGCACCAACTTATCCCCTACTTCATCAACTTCATCATGGATCGCGTCACGCACCACCTCGACGATACCTTTACCCTCAAGCAAATGATGGAGCTGACACACGCCCTCATCGAAAACAAGAGCCTCTTCCTTGACCCGTACGCGAGCTCGCTCTCGGCACCTGCCCTCACCTGCCTCATGGCGAGGAAGCTGGGCACCGACGACGGCACCGACGTCCTCCGGGAGCAGTACGAGCTGCGCCAGCTGGCCGCCTCGCTCGTCGGCCGCATCGCCCGCAAATACGCCGCCTCTAACACCCTCCTACGCCCCAAGCTGACGCGTACGTGCCTCAAGTACTTTTTGGACCCGACGAAGCCTTTGGCAGTGCTGTACGGCGCCCTTTACGGCCTGCTCGAGGCCGGCGGGCCCGAGGCCATCCGCGTGCTGGTGCTGCGGAACCTCAAGGTCTTCGACTCGGGCATCCTGCAACCCCTCAAGGACAAGTCGGACGGGAGCATCGACTACGAAATGCTCGTGCAGGGGCTCGTACAAGCAGTGGCGTCGCTGGCCCAACGCGGCGAGGGCGACTCTGCTACCAACGGGGTGGGCAGCAGGGCCTCGGACGTTGAGGCCGCCGAACTCATTGAGTTTATCGGTCCCACCGTCGGCCAGAGGATCGCCTCGTCAACGAATAATCGGGGTCTGATCAGGACGATCCTGGACGCTCGGCTTCTAGAATGAGTGACGTTGTCGGCGCGGTTTGGATGGGAGGTCATGATATCCGGCAAGAGGCGAATGGCGTTTTCGGGAGCAGATACCAACAGTTCAAAAGGGGTATGCCTGGAAGAGGGCCTTGGGCGAACGGGGTTCTTTATTGCGCGGAAGTTCGAACATGACTTGCGTAGATTGGAGGTGCCACCCATAGTATGGGTCAAAGCTCAAAACAATGTGGCCTTTCTACGAATGTTCCATGTTGGAACTCTTTATTCGAAGCTTGGAAGCAGACACCTTGAATCTGCCGTGTAACCTATAACCGTATCACCCTTGACCCCTTATTGCACCTAGACTCGCGAACAATCGTCCCGTAATCTCGCGTCCCAAGTACCCCTCGTATCAAACGACAACGTCTCCATCCTACAAGCCGAAGGCCAGGTACAGACCGCTCAGGATACTCGACACCCACAGGGCAATCTCGCCTCTCTTGATGGTGGGCTTGGAAAAGCCTTTGCCGAGGTCGTAGACGAGGTGCTTGATGCCGTTGATGAAGTGAAAGGCAAAGGGAAATCCGAGTGCGAACTTGACGGCGCCCTTTGCGAGGAAGGGCAGGCCGGCAAAGGCGGCGGCGAGGCTAGCACTCTCGAGGTGGAGGCCGAGTAAGGGGGCGACGAGGTACGAGGCGAAGTAGGCGTATGCGGCGCCGGAGAGGGCGCAGCCGGTGATGCGGGTCCAGGCCGAGGCGCCGAACCACGTCTGCTCCATCTTGTAGATGCCGAGGTGCGGGGAGATGGGACGGTTGAGGCGCTGATTTGCGAGGATCTGGTGGCCCTCGTCGTTGGAGAGCTTGGCCGTTGCGACGAGGCTGTTGATGGTGTTTGAGGTTCGGAGTCAGCCGGAGGGCTTCGGGAGGGAGAAGCGGCGGAAGATTGGGGAGGCATCTGCTTAGTTAGCCGGGCGCAAGCTTACCGAGATTGGGTCATGGAGGGGCTCGAGGCGAGAATCAGCCTGGGGACGGTCTGGTTGAAGAAGACATTGGGTTTCGTTGCGCCTGCGGGGAGGAGAGAAGCCGTCTCAGTTAGCGAGCCTGTTTGTGGAGGTGAAGCACAGGGCGAGGGACATGGAGCAAGGAGCATGCAATGGAGGCAGCAGGACGGGAACATACCTCTGCGCATGGCAGCAACGCCGACCCGTTGAGCAATCATATCGGTCAGGGGATGACGGTGATGAGTCGGCTGGGCTGGGCTGGGCTGGCGCGCTTCAAGCTGTCAAAGCCGCGCCGCGTCTTGGTCTCGTTGTTCAGTCCTGTCCTTGAGAACAATTCCCCAGTCGCGGCCGTAGTCACCGTCGTCGAAGGCGTCGGTAAGGAGTTGCGGTTCGCTCGGCAGTTGGATGTGTTGACGAGGGCGCTGACGACGTCAACGATGATGGGCGATGATGAGGGAGACGGCAGCAGGCGACAGCTCGGCTCCTCGGTCCAGCGCACCAATCACTGCCCGCCAATTCCTCATCTACCGCATCACGTGAGGCCCATCCATCGCCTATATGACCACATCACGTGCGCTCGGCACATCCCCCGCCGGCATTCCGTCCATACAAATTGAATGAAAAATCCTCTCGCCTTTCTGCTCGTCTTCTTCTCCTTTCCTCTCCAGATAGCCACGAGCGCCCGCCGCCACGCCGTCGTTCCCGCACCCCCGTGGGCGGCGGCTCTGGCTGGCAGGGGGATTCACGTCCCTTCAGGGCAGTCGGAGAGGAAACCGGATCCTTCGTTAATCTCGACACCTGGTGTTTGCCTTTGCCCCGTCTGGGTGTCGTTTCATTCTGAGATCTACATTGTAGCAGCACTGGCCGTCACTCGCTTGCTTTTATGTCTTTGCTTACATTGATGAGCGAGTGGGAGCACTGGTAGTGTGCATGGCCGCGTGCTCAGGTCCTACTGGCCGCAGCGAACAGGCACAACACAGAGCAGCCACATCGTGAACTCGCCCACGACCCTCAGCGTCTCGCAATCGCACTTCCAGCTTCGTGAGGCTGCTGTTTCTGCACGCTCTCCACACTCTTGTACTCCACGGCCATGCAAAAGTGAACGCTCCCAACACGAACTCGCAACACCATGTCTCCGTCTCGCATGCGGAGCCCCGTCTCATTCAGGATGCTCCTCGTATAAATCAAAGCCCAGCCCCCTTCTTGCAAAGCCTCTCGTCACATCCTCTGGTCCCGTTCTATCCACGGCACCGGAATTGTTTGTCCAACGCCATATCATGCCGTCCGTCCTCATGGCTCTCGAAACACGTCGACGCCGCACCACCCCCGCCAGGCCGGCCGGTGCCGCTTCGAAATCCTCGGTCGTTGTACGCGTCCTTTCCGACGTGCCTCCGACTCACCTCGCCCACAATCCTCTCCGCCGGCTCCGCTCTGAGGGCCGCGGCGACGGCGGCACCAACATCTCGAAGCCACGAGTAAGGAAGAGGACGGTGAGAAGAAGGTCTCCACGCCCTGCGAGCCTACAGCGCTGGCGGCGCCATCGGCATCCGCGCCCCCGACCCGCTTCCTTGGCGGACAGCAAGTCCGGTGGCCCGGCCGAGAACACCGAGCACGACGCCCAAAATGATGGAAAAGGGATGTCCCGTACCTTGTCAACGGGCGATCGCCACGACTATGTTAGTCTGGCGGGGGCGCCCTTCATGGTTGAAGTGCGCCATGGAGTCCTCTTTCTGAGAAAGCGTCCTTCTCAAGCACCTGCACCCAAGACAGAAGAAAAGAGCCAGTCGGGGACAAGCAAGGCGGGATATATTGCGAGGTGCACTTCGCGAGATGCGTGTTGGCAGACGGCCCCCAAGGCAGAGGAGCAGCGAGGCACAGCGTAGTAGAGATTGCTGAATATATACGGAGTATATCGAGAATGTCATGCCAAGTGTACAGTGACGGACCCGCTCGCCCACCCAAGCAGGCAGGGTCCATCGGGTTTTACATCAAATGTTCCTGTGAGAGGAGACGCTCCCTTCTCCGTTTCTATCCGCCCAAACGCCATCAAAAGCAGAAGCATGCGAGTTGGCGCCCAGCGCCGTCGAGCCCCGCGCCATTTTCCTCCATCTCGTCTGTACGTATGGCTCTTTCCTTGCTGCCCAACTCTCGTCCGGTTGCGGCTCTGGAACCAATCATGGCTGCCTCAAAATGAATCCGGGATTCCCCTGTTCACAGCGCGCTCGGCCCCCACGCTTGGTACGTTGCCCAAGCCGAGGCCGCCAAACATGGCCGCCGACAGCTGCTCCCCGCCGTTGCCCACCATGTCTCCAAAGACATCCCAGTTCAGCGACGCCATGTCCAAGTAACCGCCCAGGAACGGGTCCATCTCTCCGTTCTGCTGCTGCTGCTGCTGCTGCTGTAGGTTCAGCTGGGACGGCCGCTGCTGATGCGGGTGCGGTTGTGATGATGGCAGAGTCGGAGGCGTTGCCGATGACTGCACCGACGAACGGCCGTCGTGCGACGTAGGGACGAGCTCGCGCAGGCGAAGGATAAAGTGCGGCGTCTCGAGGGCCTGGCCGGCCTGCATAAAGGCCCTCTCGCGCGTCTTCCAGGCCTTGACAGTGAACTGGGCCTGAATCGAGTACTGTTTCTGCGACATGTCATACAGCTCGGCATGGTGGCTGTAGACGCGTTCCGTCACGGCCCACGCCCGATCTGCGAGGCTCCCGGTGGGGCGCTGACACAGCTGGCCCGTCATGACTGCGAACATGTCGAGTTGAAAGTGCAGCTTCACAAACCAGAGGAATCCCGTCTGCTGCAACTTCTCAAAGGCGTCCATCCGCTGCTCGTTGCCCATGATGACCACCTTGAAGAGGCTGTCCTTTGGGCCAAAGATCTCGGTCCCCCACTCCGGCTGCTCGCGCACCGGCACCAGCATCTCGCTGAGCTTATTGGTGATCATGGGTCGGATGGTGAGGGCCGCCTTGTGCACGTTGCCCGCATTGACATCGACGTACTGGTTCTCGAGCTCAATCAACTTGTGCTCGAGCGCTTGGGCTTGCACCCGAAACTTTGTCAAGGCTGTCTGGTGCGTCGAGGTCGAGTCACTGGCGCCGTCCAAGTCTTGTCCCAGCATGGCAGCCTCAAACGCCGGCGCATCGTTGGCGTTGTCTGCGGCCATCTTGAATTTGTAAATCTCGTTGAACATGAGGCAAAACGCCATCTCGGTCGGGCCCTGGCGCGGCTGGACGGGCTCGGTGGAGCCTGGGATAATATCGGCGTCGTTTACGTTTTGCGGCATCTCGGTATCCCAGCGATGCGGGAGCATGGTGTGTCGGAGCCCGGACAGCATGGCGTACTTGGAGTCTTGGATGACGATTTGCCACCAGACTCTGCGTCGCATCTCCGTCTCGAAGGGTTCCAGGTGAAGCTGCTCACCGTCTCGATGATAGCCCATCTTCTGCGCGATGCGGACAATGGTGCCACTCAGGATCCACGCCGCGTGCCGGTCGTAGCGCCCTTGCAGCGAGTACTGCCTGATTGTTAGCAAGGTTAAGAGACGGGGTGTGGCGAGGACCCGTACCAGGTACAGAACCAGAGCCTGCAGGACAGACATGTTGTAGTTCTTTAGAAAGTTGAAGCGCGACAGGGCAGCCTTTGTGCCGGCCGTGAACCTCTGGATGGCCTGGTCCCTGGAGAAGCCAAAGGTTTGGACGCACTCGGCCTCGGAGAGGGAGATTACGGCCATGTTGTAGATGGAAAATAGAAGCGCCTGGCAGTGAAGGGGGACGTTTCTTATGCTGGTCGCCGCCTCCATGACGTATGGCTGGACGGTGGGCGCATGGATGACCTTTGTCAAGGGGTTGACGCGGTCGAGGAAGAGCTGCCATAGCTTGAAGCCGTGGATAGGGTCGGGCTGGAGGTCGTCGAGGTTGACGGTGGCGAGGTTGCCGGGAAAGAAGAGGTCGGTGTTGTTATCTGGCGTCAGGTCTTCGGAGCCGAGAATGCTCGAGTCCTCGGGGTCGTCTGTTTCGACAATGTCACGCATGGCTTGAAGCTAGAGAAGTTAAGAGTCAGCGACAGGAACGGGGGGGTGGAAGCTGTTGGCCACTCACCTCCTCGTAGACGCTGGCCCAGATGTAGCTGTCCATGAAGCGGGCGCCTCCCTCGTCGTTGACCATGATGCACGCGGGCTTCCAGCTGTCCTGGCTGTCGGAGCTGATGGGTGTAGAGTCCGACGGCTCCGACTTGACGTGGCCGACGGTGGGCGTGGGAGGCGATTGGCCCTGTGGCGGGGGCGGCGCGGCGCCGTTGGCATACTGCTTGAGCAGCTCTTCGCACCGCGACAGGCGCTCCTGGAGGTCTTGATTCGGACGGCGGCGCTTCCGGGCCGGGGCGGGCGTGCTGGGGGTGCAGGTGACGTTTGCCTGGGCCGAGAAATGACGTCAGTAGAGATTGCAGAGAGACAGGGACAAGAGCGTCGGCGGGGAAAAGAAAGGAAGAGGAAGAAGAAGAGGCAGGCAGACAGACCTTGATGCAGTTTGCGCAGGGAAAGTTGCGGTCGCATTTGATCTTGCGATGCTGGCAGAGGACGCAGGCCAGGACTCGGGCGTGCCTGTGAGGCGGCACGGGATTGGCCGACATTGTCTGCAGTGCGGCGCTCGCTCTCGCATGCCCGTTGGCAAGCGAGGATCCGGAGGCTCTCTCGGCGGGCGTATGGGACCCAACGGGGCGCAACGGATGGAGGAGACACTAGATAGGCGAGGCGGGCGAAGAGACACGGCAGCAATGGATTGCGCTTATCCAGACAGGCAGGCGCAAGGCACACTGGCTGGCTCTCCGATATGTGAGGATGGGTCTTGAAGGAGAGACTGGAACCAAAAACTGGGACAGATGGGGTAGGAATCACGGCTGAAGGGAAGTGGTGGAAGGTGAGGCGTGGAAGGGTGAGGCGTGGAAATATGCCAGCGTGGGGTTATTAAAGGTTGGATTTAGGGGTTGCGGCAACGGGTTCCTAATGAGGCAAGGTATCAATGGAAGCCTGCTGCTACGTGCTTGGTGCGCGTATGTACATAAGAGATACGAATTTAGGTCGTAGTACGCAAGGCTGGCCATGGGGGGACAACGCTGGCGATAAATCAGCAGCCCTTCTTGGCCTCTTCTCTTCTTTGGCTTGTTGCACGCACAGAGCGCAGCGAAGCGGCTGAAGACAACTCGGAGATCGGCCAACGCGGACGTGTGCTGGCCGGGGATGCCCGCTTACCTAACGCACTCGACTCAGGGCCCAAGTCAGGGGCGGGGGAGGGGCATGTACTGGGTACCTTTGACAGGGCCGTCTGCCTATCGGTACCTACGTAACCTGGGCGAGGCGGAGTAAGGTAAGGTACCGAGGTAGGTAGTGGACGGAGCGGAGATTGTAGCGGAGGTGGACGCACAAGCGGCGGAGCTGAGCGTACTCACTCGTCTTCAAGTGACGCCTGGCCGCCCTTTTTCCAGGCTAACGCGTCGTCAAGTCTTGTTGGGCTTGCAGAGATAAGAAGCTGCCGGGAATCAAATGTCGGACAAGAGTCCTCCTAGCCACCTCCGTCTCAACTGCTCGGACAACAAAGGTACCGAGTACCTGTGATGGGCGTCCCCGTGACTCGGTGAGTCCGCAGGCAGGCTTTTGGCGTCTAAACGGCGATTGGCTGCCAAACGGGGCCAATGTCGCTGGGTCAGAGACTCGGCAAAGTCTCACCCTGCTCACACGGGATGACTCTTCTCTGCACCTGGCCGAATTGAAGACGCTGCTGCGGCACAGACGAAGCCGAGGGTCCCCGTGGCAGATGAAACCCAGATTGCCTAGTGTCTCCAAACTTATCATCATGGCCCAAACCATGAATGCGTGTCATTCTTGCTTGATGCCTGACGTACTGTATGTGTAGTCTTGACTAACTCGACATCTACCAAGGTCGGCTATCGCGCGATGCTACCTCTGTTGATGGCGAGTCCTGCCAGCCTGCTTGATTCTTCTATGTCTCCTGTCATCTTCTTCTTCCACACAGACACATCCCGCCCTACTTGGGTGCGCGGCCAGCTCACCGCCAAAATGCGGCGTGTGACTCAGAGGCCAGATGCCTGGGTAGGACCAGAAAGGAAAAGAAAAGTGCTGCAGGGCCAGCAACGGCCTCGGACACGCCCCATGGCGCTACTACACGAGCCCTGGCGGCTGACGGGTGACGCAGCCAGACAAGGAAAAACCATCATCCTGCTCAACAGCAGTGACTGATGTGCCTTGCTGTCCGGGCTCGACTGCTGCAACGTTGTGTGCATTCGGACCTGCAGAGACTGAGAGAGTAGGCGGCCATTGAATGACGCATATCGCAGATAAGATAAACGGAATGAATAAGCGGGTGGGGCCTGGCTCGCCAATCTTAGCGGGCCAATGGCGGCCACGCCAATTCTGATTCAACAATCGCGGCCAACCCCAGATTTCGATACGTATCTCTTTGCCGAAGTTCGCGCGCCATCGTTACTGTCAGAGGGAGCAGACTGACGGTCTAATCCGCACACGTATAAACTCCGGTGAAAGAGGCAGGTCAGACACAAGGACTTGAGTCAGGTATCGATACAGTAGAGGAACATTGCCCTAATCGGGATACACGGGAATTGGCACTGATTCAGGGCCACCACGGGTCCCAGATTGGTATCTATTCGTATAAATACCCCCTCAATGTCGCACAGATAGATAAAAAACATGCATCATCGTTTGGACTCAATTGTGCCTGCCCTTATCCTTCCGCCCGCGCTCTCAGCTTGCTGAGAGTTATGAGCCCGGTTTGCGGTGCTCTTTATCCTTCGCATTCCTCTACCAACTGTGAGGCTATCACGAATCTCAACGCACCATATATCCTTCACCCTTGGGGTTGACGCGAGGAAGAGAGCAAAATTCAGGGCAACACCCACAACTACGCAGAGTCAACGTGACGCGTGCATCCTCGCAGGAGGTAAAACACACGATGACACTAGGCCCCAATATCAGAAGGGGAGGTGTACATCACCACACTCAAGGAAAGCCTTGACTGGACCCCATGGATTAGGGTATCAAATCATGGGCTCAAACGCACCACATCTGGGAGTACGTTAACCCAGAAGGGACCGTGGTGCTCGAGGAGCCCCTGAGGCCTAGCTGGGAAGAGCTACTCGAGAAGGTAGGGCAGAGGCCCCACTGAGGAAGCTTTCCCAACGAAGAAAATAAGTATAAGGCAGCAAGGGAAGACTTCAATGAGAAGCTTCAAGATGCCAAGGACCTCTTTAGGTACAAAGAGAAGACCTTCCAGGATCAATTGGACCGCTTCAAGGCTAGAGAAAAGCCATGATGCAGATCGAGGAGGTGATCAAGAAGTCCATCAGTGAGGGGCTCCAGGGCGAGCCCCTGATACAGCTGACGCCCCGGACAAGATCAAAGAACTCAAACAGAAGGTTCTCCCTCAGCGGAGGAAGAAAAGAACCTTATCGATGAAAGGTATCACCAAATCATCAACAAGAAAGGAACCCGGGACTGGAAGGCCTGGGCAGAGCAGCTGGGCCAAGTCATCCTGATTCAAGAGACCTAGCGGTCTCGACTATTAATGACACAAAGATTCGTCAGGACTTCCTCAAAGGGACCGAAGAATGGGACCCTAGCTGGCCCATGACGATTAGGCTGCTGGACGCACTCCTGGAGAGAACAGGACTCCCAGCAACCCCTTTGCGCACCCTGATTGCCGACTTTAAAAGGGAGGTTGGATTCAGGAAGAAAGGAAACCTCAGAAGACCCCAGGGGTCAACAACGCAAACAACGCTCCAAGATCATCTGATCAGAGGACTAGGAATGGCCCAGAGGGTCACACAAGTGCCCGGCATGTAAGCAACACTGGGTCAAAAGGATGAGTGGTGGGAAAGCTGCTGGACCTTTAGAGCGATGTTCCAGAAAGACCCCCCCGAAGGATGGATTCCCAGGGACCACCTTAAGGAGGCCATCAACCAGCACCTTAAGGAGAACCCCTTGACAAGACCAAAGCCATGGAGTGGAAGCCAAAGCCAAAGACATCACAGTCCCGCAGAATAACAACAACTCGAGCAAACAGGCTAATACAGTGTCGCACGTGCATAGCACTAATACGAGTGAAGACTCTCTCGAGGACAAGGCCATCTATGATTCAGGGGCTAGCGTACATGTCTTTAACGACCTACGATGGTTCGATGAGGATACCTTCACCTGGGGATCGTCAGAAGAAGTCCGGGCAGGAGAAAACTCCCTCCAAGTCAAGGGGGTAGGCATGGCCGTTATCCCAGTGAAAAACGGGATCAATTTGAAGCTTGAGAGCAGCTACTACATCCCAGAGATGCCAACAAGTGTGTTCTCAGCTCGTCAGGGGATTGTTGCGAAGATCTATTGGAACCAGGTTAACGGCACACTCTACCATGAGCCCACAGGGCGCACTCTGGTCAGTCTGCAAGAAATTGAAGACCAATACGTTATTGCAAGCCTCTCAAAGCGGCCCCAACACAGCGTCTTTGTCACAAGCAGGGCTCCTAAGCCACCAATGGGTGGGCAAGCAGACCTTTGGCACAGACGGCTAGGACATCCGGGGCCAGAACCCCTTAGCCACCTAACCAAGATGGGGGGACCGGCCACGTGTGAATGCGAGGTCTGCGCAACAGGCAAGGCAAAGAGGCAGGTCTCCCGTGAGGAGCCCACTTTACGACCCAGAGGGGCCGGAGCTCAATTTAGCTTCGACTTACACCCAGGCCCGGTGGCCGGATCTGGGGTGAAAAGTACTTTGCGCTCTTCACATGCATAACGACCAGGATGAGGTTTTATTACGCGTTGAAGAGCAAAACCGAGGTCCGAGATGCCTTCAAGAAGCTAACATCAATGCTAGAAACTCAGTACGGGATAAAACTGATCAACCTGGCTTCTGACGGAGAAAAAGCCCTTCTAACAAAGGAGCTAGTCAAATTCATCGAAGGATTGGGCATTCGGGTCTTCCAGTCAGCTCCATCCACGCCCACGCAGAATGGGCATGCAGAAAGGTCCGGGGCCGTGGTCAAAGAAAGGGCCCGGCTTATGAACCTGGACTCCCGCATCCCGGAGGAGCTCTGGACCGAGACCTACCGCACAGCAGTGTATTTGCTCAACCGTACGCCACTTAAAGGATCTGATCATAGCTGGAGAAGCCCACACGAACGATGGTGGACCTATATGAGGGACCACAACCTCTATACGGCCACATCAAGCGAGTCCAGCCGAGCATAAATCACCTGCGTGTCTTCGGCTGTGTGGCCTACCCAATGACAATCACTGCGTTGGAGCATGTAAAGTCACATAAGACGCAGTCCCCGCTTGAGCAGAGAGCTCATATCGGTTACCTGGTGGGCTACAGATCGACCCATCAATATGTCGTGTGGATACCCTCGATCCGCCAGACCAAACTGATGGTCTCGGCGAATGTACAATTTGATGAGTCAACAATGTACGATCCGAAGAGGAAGAAGACGCGGAAGCCTTCCAGGTCTATACATACGATGTTCTTCGTCAAATGGTGGCGATAGACGTCCCTGACGACGAAGACATAGAGGAAGCAGGAGTGCGCAATTACTCCGATGATGAGACAGATGACGGAATGACGCCGTACACCTCGGAGTCAATTGCGGCACCCTCTGCAGACGAGGCGACACAAGAAGCACCGAATTTGAAGACTTCGATGAGGGCTACAACGGACAGTGCCTATATTTCGCCTCCAAGCACTTCAAACAGTAGGGTGGAGGAAGAAACCTCGCCCTCCCCACCAAGCTCTGTCACCACTAGCGTGACCCAGCAGGAGGTCACACACCACGGGAGTCAGGACCCGGAGGTGGAAAACTCAAGCATTATCTCGAGCCCTACGCGGACCGACCCGGAGCCTCAGGTATCATTAGGCACGCCGATCCTAGACGTATTGAATGAGCGATTGAATGAGCCGCCTGTCGATCCGGGGGGTGGTGCGCTCGAAGAGCCACAATGGTCAGAATTCGAGGAGCTGTCTCTGGGGGGTGGGGAGAGCCCGACCCCAGAGTCACAATCACAACCTGAAAACGACCCGCAAGGCGAGGACAAGTCTCAGGGATAAACCCGCCAATGTGCTTGAGGGCAAGAGACAGAGGAAGCCGAAGAAGGCCTTCATCAATAACATCATTGCTAATGCCTCGAAGCACAGGCTTCACGTTGAGGATATGCCTCCTGTGCCAACCTCCTTTAAAGCCGCGATGGCTTCGGAATACGCCTCCCAATGGATAATGGGGATGGGGCGTGAAATTGAGGACCAGATGAAGCTCGAAACGTGGACCAAGGTGGCCAGAAAGATGGTTGAAGAAGCCGGCCACTTCATAATCCCGTTGCGATGGGTATATGCATATAAACTGGATGAGCAGGGCTACGTCACTCGCTTTAAAGCCCGACTTGTGGTCCGTGGAGACCAGCAGCCGGAAGACAACGAGGACACATACGCGGCCACACTACGAGCAAGAACCTTCAGAGTGTTAATGGCCCTCTGCTGTCTTGAAGACCTTGAAACAGAACAGTACGATGTGAAAACAGCGTTTCTGTATAATAAGCTCAAGCATGCCATCTATTGTCAGATGCCACCAGGCTACCTTGAGCCTGGGCTATGCTTGAAGCTTCTCAAGGGACTATACGGGCTTCGAATCGCTCCAAGGCTGTGGTTTGAGGAGCTCGGCTTCTTCAAGAAGCTGGGCGCTCAACAACTCGTCGAAGATGCCTGCGTGATGACTTATAAAGGAGTCATCATCTTCTTCTTTGTGGATGACATCGTGATGATGTATCCAAAAGAAAAGAAGGCCGAATGGGAAGAACTTCACGCTGCCATTATGAAGGAATATACCATCAACCACATGGGGAACTTCGCTGGTTCCTAGGGATTGAAGTCATCAGGATAGGGCCCAGAAGAAGCTTTGGCTCGCTCAAGCCTCGTATCTCTCGAAGATGGCCAAGAAATTCCACATTGAGGACGATGATCAGATCCTGGCGTGCCCCAGATCCCGATAACGACCGAAGAGCTCAAGCCATACGAGAAGACGGCTACTAGGGACGAGGTTCATCAATATCTCTCTCTAATTGGCTCAATTCTTCACCCAGCGATTCACACCAGACCCGACGGTGCGTTCCCGGTTGGAAAACTGGCACAATTCAGCCATAACCCGGGCCCGAAGCATAGGAGAGAGGCAGGAGATGCCTGGCATACCTCTATCACACGAGAGATCGCTGCATCTGCTTCTCAGTCAAAGAAGCTGAACGCAGGTTCCTCTGCGCTTCTGATTCATCCTTTGCAGACAACCCGGAGACTCGAAAATCCTCACAGGATATGTCTTCTTGTTTCTAGGCGGACCCGTTGACTGGAAGGCTACGAAACAAGCGACTGTGACGACGTCGTCCACAGAGGCCGAATTGCTGGCCCTGTCAAGCGCGGCGAAGGAGCAAATGCAATTTTCCCGGCTAATTAAAGAGCTTGACATCAAGGTAGAAGGCACCAATGAGCTATGGTGCGATAACCTGCAGACCATCAGGCTCCTGACTGAACTAAGCGCAAAGCTCAAGACGAACCTTAAGCACATCGATATCCATCGTCACTGGCTTCGACAGGAGGTTCAGGAAGAAAGACTCCAGATCACATGGATCAAGTCTACGGAGAATCCCGCTGATGGAATGACAAAGGCCCTTCCCCAGCAAAAGCACGAAGCTTTGTCAAGCAGCTAGGGATGCAAGGGAGACCGGTGGCACCAATTGAAGCCGATGCGCCGGAGGACAGTTTCGACAGTATCACCACCCAGAGAGATATAGATGCTCTCGAGCATCACCCAGGCACGGGATGGACCCATCATTTTGCTGGTATTGACTTGTTAAAATGCTCCTGGTCACAACACCAAGGAAGACATCATGAAGAGCATCTCCTCAACGGTAGTAGCCTCACTCGCTGGATATTTGATAAGATTGGATGATTCGTCTGTCTCTTTTGCTTGTTTGCCTCACTCACCCAGTGAGACCGAGGCAAAGGGGTGTGTCAGAGGAGCAGACTGACGGTCTAATCCGCACACGTATAAACTCCGGTGAAAGAGGCAGGTCAGACACAAGGACTTGAGTCAGGTATCGATACAGTAGAGGAACATTGCCCTAATCGGGATACACGGGAATTGGCACTGATTCAGGGCCACCACGGGTCCCAGATTGGTATCTATTCGTATAAATACCCCCTCAATGTCGCACAGATAGATAAAAAACATGCATCATCGTTTGGACTCAATTGTGCCTGCCCTTATCCTTCCGCCCGCGCTCTCAGCTTGCTGAGAGTTACTAATTACTCCTTCGCCGAGACCAGAACTTTGAAAGGCTTTGCCATGCTGCCCAGCCACGGAGACCGTGCCCCTACAATCGAGCCTTGACCAGTTGCCGACCTCCTTCTGCCTCCTACGACTTGCCCCGACGGCGCACCGCCCAGATCATCCGGGCCCCGATGCTGTCTACAGTACGCCCAATGCCTTGATCGTCCCTCGCCCTGCTACCTGGACCATGCGACAGGATGGCTAACCGTTGTTCCCCTCTCCGCAGCAAAGGGCCGCGGCCCGATCCATAGCCCGGGCGCCGGCCCGGCTGCTCCTCTCCCGTCCTCGAATCCTCTCGTCCTCGTCTCCGTCTTCCTGCTGCTGCCGCCATGCCAGGCTGAGCACGTCTCGCCCCTTGCGAAGTACCCAAGCCTCCCCCTCGCAGCTGCTTCAGAGCACGAGCCTCGCCTCCAACCTCGGCGCCGTGTCCGAGAACCCGCAGACACTCACGGAAAAGATTGTCCAGCGGTACTCAGTCGGCCTCGCACCCGGCAAAAAGGTCAAGGCCGGCGACTACGTGACGCTCGCGCCTCACCACTGCATGTCGCATGATAACTCTTGGCCCATCGCCCGCAAGTTCATGTCAATTGGAGCCTCGAGCATCCACGACAACCGCCAGGTCGTCATGACGCTCGACCACGACGTCCAGAACCGCAGCGAGGCCAATCTCAAAAAGTACAGGCAGATTGAGGAATTTGCCGCTACCCACGGCGTGGACTTCTACCCGGCCGGCCGCGGCATCGGCCACCAGATCATGATTGAGGAGGGCTACGCCTGGCCTGGCACCGTCACCGTCGCCTCCGACAGCCATACTAACATGTATGGCGGCGTCGGTTGCCTCGGCACCCCCGTGGTCCGCACCGACGCCGCCAGCATCTGGGCCACCGGCCGCACCTGGTGGCAGATCCCCCCCATCGCCAAGGTCACCCTCACCGGCGTTATGCCCCCCGGCGTCACCGGCAAGGACGTCATCGTCGCTCTGTGCGGCCTCTTTAACAATGATGAAGTCCTCAACCACGCCATCGAGTTTGCCGGCTCTGACGAGACCATGCGCTCCATCTCCGTCGACAACCGCCTGACAATGGCCAACATGACGACTGAATGGGGGGCTCTCACCGGTCTCTTCCCCATAGACTCGGTCCTGACCTCGTGGCTGCGCGCAAAGGCCACCGCCTCGGCCATGCTCAACCCGGACCTCGGCGCCAAGGGTCGCTTCAACCACCAACGCCTCGATGATCTGCTCCAGAACCGCCTCAGCGCCGACCCCGGAGCCACCTATGCCAAGTCCCTCTACCTCAACCTCGCGACCCTCTCCCCCTTTGTGTCCGGCCCCAACTCGGTCAAGGTCGCGACCCCGCTGCGTGACCTCGAGGCCCAGCGGATTCCCCTCAACAAGGCATACCTTGTCTCGTGCACAAACTCTCGCTCCTCCGATATTGCCGCCGCCGCCCGTGTCTTCCGCGAGGCGGCCAAGGACGGGCCGATCCCCAAGATTGCCCCCGGCGTCGACTTTTACATCGCTGCCGCCTCTATCCCCGAGCAGCAGATTGCCGAGGAGGCCGGCGACTGGCAGGTGCTCCTCGACGCCGGCGCCCAACCGCTCCCTGCCGGCTGCGGCCCGTGCATCGGCCTCGGTGCCGGTCTACTCGAGCCTGGCGAGGTAGGCATCAGCGCCAGCAACCGGAACTTCAAGGGCCGAATGGGCTCGACGGATGCCAAGGCGTACCTGGCCAGCCCCGAAGTGGTGGGGGCTAGCGCTCTCAAAGGCTACATTGGCGGTCCTGACTGGTACCAGAAGCCCGACGGCGTGGAAAAGGTCATTATTGGCGAGGGCAGCGGCGACGTCGCAGCCGACACGGCTGCCAGCGTGGGCGATGCCTTGGACAAGATCATTGCCGAGGCCGAGAGCATGATAGCCGGAGCGGAAAAGGACCTGGGTGGTGAAACTGCCACCACCGAAGCCACTGAGCAGGCACTGGAGACACTGACGGACATCCTGCCTGGCTTTCCCGAGAAGATCGAGGGCGAGATCGTCTTTTGCGACGCCGACAACGTTAACACGGACGGAATCTACCCCGGAAAGTACACGTACCAGGACAACGTGTCGACAGAAAAAATGGCCGAAGTGTGCATGGAAAATTACGACCCGGCGTTTGCCACCATCGCGCGGCCCCGTGATATATTAGTGAGTGGTTTCAACTTTGGTTGTGGCTCCTCGCGGGAGCAGAGCGCCTCATCCATCCTGGCCAAGAAGATCCCCCTTGTCGTCGCCGGCAGCTTCGGCAACATCTTTAGCCGCAACAGCATCAACAACGCCCTCATGGGCGTCGAAGTACCCCGCCTGGTCCGCCGCCTGCGAGAGGTTTTTGCCTCCAGCGGCCAAGTCGCCACCCGCCGCACGGGATGGACGCTCGTCTGGGACGTCCGCCGCAGCAAGGTCGTCGTCACCGAGGGCCCGGGTGGCCAGACGTGGAGCCAGAGCGTCGGCGAGCTGCCCCCCAATGTGCAGGAGATAATCGCCAGAGGGGGGCTGGAGAAGTGGGTCAAGGCTGAGATTGTCAAGTAGGGGAGCGGCCATCATTGGTAGAGAGAAAGAGGCGGAAGGGAGCTGCCAGAGATACCCCATGCGACAGTTTTGTCATCTCCCTGCCCAAGGGGGTTACGGCTTCATTTACCGCGAGAACTTGGGCTTATAGAAAGTGTGTTACTCGGGGCTGTACCCATTTGGGCCGAGTTGTCTTGCAAGATGGGTTGATAGATTTGGATAGAAGGGCGCCGGCCATACATGGTCACGGGCCACTACCGAAGCTCAAAATAAAGACGCTATGTTGGGGCTCGACGGCGGCGACGAGCTACCTGCCTCGGCCGGTCCTCCGGGGGGCTCGTACGGCACGAGCGCCAGCTTCTTCCTCTTCTTGATCGCCCTCCGATGGGCCGCGCCCTTGACGTGCCTCGCCCACGCCTGCTCCGTCAACACCACCGTCTGGCAGACATCGCAGGCCCGCCTGTGCGGCGTCTCTGCGGACGGGGGGTCGCCGAGGCTGGTGAGGACCTCGGCCGCGCGCAGCGACAGCTCCGTGGCCGGCGGAAGAGACTCGCCGTGCAGAAACTGCTCGGTAAGCCTTGCGGCGGGCTCGACGACGGCGGGCTCGAAGCGAGACACGTCGGTGCTGTCGAGCAGGTAGAGGCTTTGCAGTGCTTCCGGGCCGTGCTCCCGGAGGCGGCGCATCTGCTTGAGCCGGGTCCACCGTGTCTGGTAGTTCGCGTAGCGCCGCGTGGCGGTCTTGACGTCCTCGAGGGCGTCCGCCTTGAGCTGCTCGAGGGCGGCCGCGTCCTTTCCCTCGTCGAGAGCTTCGAGGTACGGCTCAAACTGCCGGTAGCCGATGGACTGCCAGATACCCTTGGACATATCCACGAGCTCTCCTTTGGCTGCCTTGTCACGCTTGAGACGGAACAGCTCTTTGACCTCGTCCAGAAGACCGGCGCGAAGCATCTTGTCTAGGCGCTGGTTCAGCCGCTCGCACAGAATCTCGCGGTCTGTGTACACCCAGAACAGGAGCTTTTCCCAGGGCTGGGCGGCGACGGCCGCAGCCTTGCGATCCTGCTGCTCTGCGTAGAGTTGCGAAGCGGGCTTCCCGGTGTGCAGGTAGATCTCGAGGGAGCGGAGGATCTTGCGCCTGTCGTTGGGGTGCCAACGGTTAGCCATGACGGGGTCGCATCGCCTCAGCTCCTCGAGCAGGACATCTGTGGGCTCGTCGAGGATAGCAAAGGACTCTTTGCGGTCAAGCGCAATGTCGTCGAGGATGACGTCGGTGAAGAGCAGCGAGTCGACATAGTAATGGGTTCCGCCGACGAGGATGGGCAGGTTGCCGCGCGCGCGGATCTCGGCCATGACCTTGGTCGTCTCCCGCTTGAAATCCTCAACGTCCCAGGGCGGCTCGGCGAGGGAGATGTGGCCGAGCAGATGGTGCGGGATGCCGCGCTGCTCCGGTAGGGATATTTTGTTGGTGATGACGGGCAGGCCATTGTAGAGCTGCATGGCATCCGAGTTTATGATTTCGCCTCGAAACCGAGTGGCCAGTTCGACGGCTAGCTGTACCTCGTGTCATTCAAAAAGGCCGGTCAAGGACTAGAAACCAGCCACCCACCTCTGACTTGCCCGTCCCCGTCGACCCGAGGACGACCAGCAACGGTTCGGCGGGAGCTCTGCGGGTGGCCATTGTAGCGGCATTGCGGCGGAGCAGGGGCTCTAGTTGACGGAGCATGCACGTCTCGAATGGACGGCCTGCTATGATGGCGCGATGCTTTGCGGCGGCCGCATCGGGATCGCATCGGGATGCGGAGGCTGAAGATTTGTTGCTCTGGAGAAGCGGCGGGAATTATTTATTCAATTTTGCAGAGCCCTTCCCTCCTTATCTTATCACAGTATGAAGCATTTGAAGTATTGCCCCACCGACAGGGGCTGACAGAAGGCGTAGGCCTAGCTACAGGCCAGCGATCCGCTTCCCATGGGCTGGTCACGTGGCCAAGGCCAGCGGGCAATTTTTGGACTGGACACATCTACATTTCCGCGCCACGCCAACCATAGAAGCCAGATCGCCGCCAACCTCTCTCCCTAAACTGGCTTCCTCCCATCGGCCTTCTTCCTCCCCCCCCCCTCCTCCTTCTCCTCCCAACCTCGCCTCCCGAGCCCACCACAGCTCGACCTCCTTCTCCCCTTGTTTCCGTCCTTCTCTGGATGAATTGAGCTCCATTCTTTTGTCTCCCCTGTCTTTCCGCTGACCACCGCCAAGATGAGCTCCTGTGAGTTGCTCCCCTCGGGCGCGCTTCATGGGCCTGCCGACCAGCCGTTGGCGAGGCGCGGCGGCGTTGACTGCGCGCCTCGCCGGCTTCTGAGGACTTGCTGCTGACGTGCGCCATGCTGCTGCAGTGCGATTTCTTGACCTGGTCAAGCCGTTCGTGCCGTTCCTCCCCGAGGTTCAGCAGCCGGAGACCAAGATCCCCTTCAACCAAAAGATGATGTGGACGGCCCTGACGCTTCTCATCTTCCTCGTCATGAGCCAGATGCCCCTCTACGGCATCGTCTCGTCCGACAACTCAGATCCCCTCTACTGGCTGCGAATGGTGATTGCGAGTAATCGCGGCACCCTCATGGAGCTTGGCATCACCCCCATCATCTCCTCGGGCATGGTCTTCCAGCTTCTCGCCGGCACCCATATGATCGATGTGAACCTCGACCTCAAGTCGGACCGCGAGCTCTACCAAACGGCCCAGAAGCTGTTCGCCTTTATCCTCTCAGCCGGCACCGCTACCGTCTACGTTTTCACCGGCCTCTACGGCCCCCCTTCGGATCTCGGCGCCGGCATCGTCTTCCTCCTCATCCTGCAGCTCGTTGTTGCCGGCATGATTGTCATTCTGCTCGACGAACTCCTGCAAAAGGGCTATGGCCTCGGCAGCGGCATCTCCCTCTTCATCGCCACAAACATCTGCGAGTCCATCATGTGGAAGGCCTTTTCCCCGACCACCATCAACACCGGCCGCGGCCCCGAGTTTGAGGGTGCCGTCATCGCCCTCTTCCACCTGCTCATGACGTGGCCCAACAAGCAGCGCGCTCTGCAGGAGGCCTTTTACAGGCAGAACCTGCCCAACATCATGAATCTGCTCGCCACCATTGCCGTCTTCGTCGCCGTCATCTACCTCCAGGGCTTCCGCGTCGAGATCCCCGTCAAGTCGTCGCGCCAGCGCGGCGCCCGCGGCTCGTACCCTGTGCGCCTCTTCTACACGTCCAACATGCCCATCATGCTGCAGTCTGCCCTCTCGTCCAATGTCTTCCTCATCAGCCAGATGCTGTACTCGCGCTTCTCCGACAACCTCCTCGTCCGCCTCTTCGGTGTCTGGGAGGCCAAGGACGGCTCTTCGCAGCTGCACGCCATCTCCGGCCTCGTCTACTACATGTCGCCCCCGCTCAACTTCAAGGATGCCCTCCTCGACCCCATCCACACGGCTGCCTACATCGTCTACATGCTCGGCGCCTGCGCGCTCTTCTCCAAGACATGGATCGAGGTGTCCGGATCCAGCCCCCGCGATGTGGCCAAGCAGCTCAAGGACCAGGGACTCGTCATGGCCGGCCATCGTGACCAGAGCATGTACAAGGAGCTCAAGCGCATCATCCCCACGGCTGCTGCCTTTGGCGGCGCCTGCATTGGTGCGCTCTCCGTCGCGAGTGATCTTATGGGCGCTCTTGGCTCCGGCACTGGTACTCTCCTCGCTGTAACGTGAGTCATTTCCGCCTCGTCCCCTTGATCTTCGATCCATGTTGACTGTCGCTAACCGATTGGCAGCATCATCTACGGCTACTTCGAAATCGCCGCCAAGGAAGGAGACTTGTCCGGCATGAAGGGCATGGTCATGGGCTAAGCGCTCCGCTGCGACTGGTGTAAACGTATCTTCGGCATGGGATAACCTACTCGAACTGGAACAGTCTCGACGCCGGATAGCAGAGAGGGCCGTTTTTTTATGTACCAATAGTGGCATGACTGGAGCCAGGGTGGAAGGAAAATATACTGCAAAGGCATATGTGGTTTTGTTCAAAACAGCGAAGAGGGAGCCCCAACTGAGTGAAACTAACGGGCTATCGGGTTTGCGCAATCGCAATGAATGGGCGTCGGAAGCCTGCACTATGGTGGTCACGACAAAATTCAGCTCTGGCACCGCAGAGAAATAAAGGGACAGGATTGATTCAAGATGCTGGTCGTCGAGTCGACGAGGCCCACGAGGTCATGAAAGGGCATTTCGATGTACCTACCCAAGACGAGTTGAAGGCGTGGGCAGCAACGAGGGAAGACGTCAGCTGAGCCAAGGCGTTTTTTGACACTTTAAAAGGTGCAGATGTTCAGTCGGGGAAACAACTCTCATTTTGTAGTTCGTCTTGGAATTTCGTGCTTCTCGCTCCGACAATTTGGTCTACTACCTCTGCCTTCCCCCCTGGTCCTGGAAACGCCGTCCGAAGCCTCGAGGCCTCGGAGAAATCAGTTGAAACGCCAGGGACTGCTTTGCGTCACGAGACGGCCTTGTACGAAGGGTAGTAGAGTTACATCTCTCGCGGACGTAACCCTCGTAATCGACTCGAGAGTCGAGACAGCCAGCTTCAACACCGAGCATTAATTGACAGCCAAGCCAACTTTGGAATCCGCGTTTGATACACTCGTTGGCCCCATCTTCTACGAAGCCGACGGGGCTCCCCATCGGTCGAGTCTTCGAGTCCGGCGTCTCAGATCTCGGGTCTTGCCAATGCCAGCCCCGGTGGGTTTTGCTTAGCTCGTAACGGAGCGCCTGTTTTAAAGTCGCTTGTGGTTGCGGGAGGCTCTGTTGTGCGATAGATTGCAGCTTATCCACCATTGCCTCGCCTTCTACGAAGCCTGCTGCGGATCATTCTTGGTTGGCAAGTTGACACCGGAGAACATGGAAGACTACGGATAGAGAAAGACCAAGCCAAGGCAAGCCTGTTACGGCCTTCAGCAATCGGTTCAGACGGCGCTTCTTGAGATTGTGCCGCCTAAACGCAAGACTTCGGGTAAGCAGATCATGTTACTGAGGGACAAGGGCGGCACGCCCGCGGGGATGCTGCGTGGAAATAGACTGTTGAATGTGGATCAAGGCAGGCATCTGGAGGGCGGGAGCGGAGGCATTAAGACTTAAGCTCATTGTGCGAGGAAGCATGATAGCTAGGTGGTCTTGGGCTAAGTCGAGGTCAGTGCAATGGGACGAGGGGGTGGGAGAGCGAGCTGTTGATGTAGGAAGTTCAAATGGACGAACGCCTTGTCGTCAATTACTGGGAACAACCATCTCCGCCGCCAAGAGCACGCCGACATACGCTCGCAGATACTGTTTCCCTTGTTTTTAAAGTTGCTCGAAATAGACTCAAACACTGGTCCGGGATCCCAGAGTTATGGCTTGACACGTCTCGCCTCTCGCCTCTCGAGACAAGGGGCCGCGGGGACTAACAACGGCGACTTGCTCTCGGCAGGGGCCTGTCCACACGCCGTCGTTCGTCTGTAGTGGCCCGCAGAAGCGCCCTTTGGATGTTTCTCTTGACGGCGCCCGCGCGCAACGTCACTCGGACGGAAAAGAACAGGCCCTGGCGCCTTTATTCGTGGCATAGGTGCCGCTGCGGAGCCCGTGGCCCCCTCGGGGGTCCGAGCGACTCCTGAATAGAAATGCTGAGAGAACCAAGACCAGCAGGGCGTAACCGGCCGACCACTGGTTTTTTCCGGAGCGCTTCCAGATTATAGAGCCGCTCTTTGAAGCCTGGCTTAGGGGTACGTGGTTGCAGGCCGTGCTCAATATCCGCGTGGGCACGAGATCCAGGAGGCCCTTATTTCAACTCCCTCGAGTGGCTAACTTGGCTGCCTCTGTAAAGAAAGGACCCCGAGCTGTTGCAGATGGGGCCACCGGTAGCGCCATGACAGGTCATAAGTTACAAACCCGCAACTGCTAAAGCTGTTTGACAGCTTGAAGATCAGAAAATAGCTCTTCGCACCACACCCTCTCCGCTCGGAACGGCCGTATGAGCCAAACCAATCGCTTTCCACAGACAACATTAGCCTCGAAACATTGGTGTACTGCTCCAATTTTCGTCAATGCTAATTCACCGCCGTGAAACGAGTGTGCCTGGCAGGGCTATGCAGTATGGATTCGCTCCCAGCCACCCACTTGAGGCTGTCTTGCTGCCAACTCCCCTTCCCATACGCGATGCGCAAGCCATGAGTAATGCCAAAAAACGGACAATTCGAGATCCGATAGTGACATTTTTCTTGTCTCCGCACCCCAGTATTCACAATATTCTCCGGCGCTGCTCCATGGTCAGGACTCATAGCTTAATACATACAGCCTCGTTGCCACTCAACCTCATCCCCGCCCTGTCACATCTGTCCCTCAGCCTATCTTATTCACAAAATACGAGAATAGTCACGATTATCGTCATAGGTCCTTTTGGCTGTTCTTGTTCTTACGAGTTTGTATTTTAAATGGCAAAGGGCCCGGGAACTATGCCGGTCTTACCACGTCGCTCGCTCGTTTAGCTTCGTGACAATTATTACTTTACTTTTCTTTCTACTCTCTTATACCGTCTCAAACATTCACTTCTCATGATGCTTTCCAACGCTGGTTCGGTATGAGCTCCATTTTCCGCAAACCCTCTCTCCTTCGTTCTGTTCACCACTAACTATACCAGTTTGGCACTGTCCTTCTTGCTGGACTTGCAGCTGGAGCCAAGACTCCTGGTACATCGTCCACAAATCTCTCGACATGACCAACTCGGTCATCCACTACAACCCTTCCGCTAACGAACCTGTCATCTCAGTGTCACAGGAACGGTTCGACCAGTTTGTGCGATATAGTCAGATTTCCTCCGCCGCGTACCAGAAAAGCTGCGCTGCACCGCCGCAAGGCATCAAGCTGGTGAAGGAGCTGTCCGACGCTGCGACCAACACGGAAGGCTTCATCGCCGTAGATGGAGCAGCCAAGGAGATGATTGTGGCGCTTCGTGGCACGTCGAACTTACCAGACGCCTTCACCGACCTAAACTTTGTCCAGACCGACTACCAAAGCCCGGGTGTGAGGGAATGTAACGGGTGCAAGGTGAGAGGACCGCGGACATATATGAGACAGCTCAACTATTCATACCGCCTCAAATTCTTGGTCTCAGCAAAGATGAAGCCCCAGACTCTACGCCTAACACCTCCGAAGCTGCTCGAAACAGCTCCATGTGCCCACCTTGGCTGACAGCTCTTTTCTACCCAGGTACATGGTGGATTCCTGGCTGCGTGGAACAGTATCGCCAACGAAACCATCTCGACCGTGCAGAGCGAGCTCGCCGCCAACCCAGGCATGAGGGTGACTGTCACGGGGCACTCGCTTGGAGGCGCCCTCGCATCCCTTGCAACCATGTCACTTAACGGCTCCGGCATCGAAACGACGACCTTTACCATGGGCCAGCCCCGTACGGGCAACCAGGCCTACGCCGACTTTGTCGACCAGAAGGCACCCAATTTTGTCCGCATCACGCACTCCAACGACGGCGTGCCGCAGATCCCTCCCCGCATATTGGGCTACCAGCACCATTCCGGAGAGGTTTGGCAGCCGGAGAAAGCGGTGCCCCAGGAGACATTCCAATGCGAGGGCCAGGAACCAGGTGTAAGCAAAGTCCAATCGAATCCTCGAGCGTCGGGGTGGCCATGGCGTACCGTTTCAATACAGAAAGGAATGAGAGACTGATCATGATATTACAGGACTGCAACAACTCTGTCCCGGGGCTGGGTGTCAACCTTGCCCACCTCTCTTACATGGGCGTCCAGATGGGTGACTTGCCCGGCAACGCAAAGATTTGCGGCGACGAAGAGAAGGGCCTGCTGGGAACGCTGCTCGGCTTCGTTGGTGTTGGCACAACTTGAAGACTGTTCCATTCAACCTGGAGCCGAAATCCAAGAGCAGGCGCACTTAGAATACGCTTGGAGGAATGAACGCGAGCTGTCTTGACGATGTTCACAGTTGTTGATGGAATTTAAGCCGTCAGGCACAGCTTGGTTTACTTTACTCATGTTCACGTATGTATTATGGCCGACGAGCAAATGCAAATCGAAAAAGGTATATATTCACCGCAAGTGTCCTTCCATTTTATGGGGAAGGATGCCATTTACCGGGAATTTTCTACCCGCCGGTCTACGGATTGATGACCCGTTGGTCAGATGTAAATTTCATTATAGCTCTGGCGGAAAGGAGCAAAGAGACGTACTGTAGAGTAATCCGAGTCAGTTTCTGAAATGCAACCCTGCGGTAAAGCTACGTGCCTGTACTTTGTGACAGATTCTACGGTACGGGGTCATGGCAAGAAACTGTTGACTGAAGCGGCCACTCGCTGCATTAGATAGTTTCTTTTAAGAACCCCCCCCCTAAGATCATGTAACGTTTTCTCTCACTCCCCTGTCTTCTCTTCTCTTCTTCCCTGGTGTCAAGACACGGACAGCTCCTGCGGTGCGCATATATCGTTCAGCGGGCAGGTGTGCAACGCCTGTATAAGTGGATGAGTCGAGACCAACAGCACAAACGGGCCCAATAAACACTCGACACGCGAGCACAGGAATCCCGGGCGTTTAATTTAGCTAGTCTTTTGGTGTCTCCGTCCGTGAGGCAAATTTGCGACGCCAGCCAACGGCATGTGCAATAAGTCCGCAACTCCGCATGTACAACAGAGGACTGGTCAGCTGTTGACCAGCTTCAGAGCTATTCTTGAGATGGCTGTCGAAAGTCTCCTTGGCAGCAGAAGATGAACTTTTTTGATTGACGTGACGTGGACTTGTTAGGGTTCGTACATGTTGGATCGCAATGGGCAGCAGTTGCCACGGGGACCTTTTCGAGAGCATCATGAGTTGTAGTTGATACGGGAGCTGCTGCGTTTCACCCTGCCGCACCCTACAACTGGCAACGAGCTTTCATTTGGGTGTATATAGTTCGGATACTATTCTCAATTGACTGGCGCTATCCAGGCTGCTTTGCAGCCGTGATGCCTGGTGTGGGACACAGCTGTCCGGCAGCGAGGTAAGTTAGCTATTAAAAGAAGGGTAAATGTAATCTATCTTGAATAACCGGCTGAGTAGTATTCTTAAGCCCTCGCTGATACCTCTTTACTCTTCTTACTCTCGTCCTCCTCGGTACTCGGTACTACAGCCTCTTTATTCTCTTCGAGGCCATAATCAGTGTCTAGCTGTTTTCTCAGCTCCACGTCGCGCTCCGCGCCGACGGCGAAGAAGCTAAAGAGGCTGATGCCCAAGCAAACCCACCAAATCACCCTCAGACTCTGTGTGTAGACGTCGAGGACCTGGCCCCAAACGACGGGGTTGGGTGTATTGTACAGTGCATGCGCCTGACTTGCAAACGAGTAGGCAGCGCCTCCCTGTAGCTGAGACCGGAGCGACTCATTGGAGATGTGATCGAGGTTCTTGTCGAAAACGGCATTGAAGATGACGCCGGGCATAACGACGCCCCAGATATAGCCAAAGGTGCGGACGAGGCTATACGTGGCCGCGGCTGCCGCCACGTCTGTCTCCGGAAGCGGAGCCATGACGGCGGGCAGCAGGGTGGACATGACGAGTCCGGCGCCGGCGCTGTTGACGAGCTGGAACAAGACCCAGGCGACCTTGGGCGTGACAGCGTCAAGACGAGTGAACAGACCGAAGGCCAAGGCTGAAAGACCAAACGCGACGGCATGCAAAGGCCGGTAGACACCGAGAGTGCTGAGCAGGATGCCGCCCAGGATGGCGAAGACCAGCGAGCCCATGGCAAAGGGCAGGAAGAAGGTGCCTGACTCCTGAACCGTCGTGCCTTGGACGGCCTGTAGGTAAACGGGAAAGAAGTAAGAGATGGCCTGGACAAGCACCGACGACGTAAAGGTCAGTAGTAGCGCCGTGGCTGATGTGCGGTTGCCAAATAGCCGCGGCGGCACGCTGGGCACGCTGGCAAGGAAGACCTGATGGGCGAGGAAGGCGAGCCAGCCGATGACACCGAGCACCAGCGGCACGATGATGCGCCATGACGACCACGGGCGCTCGACACCGCCCTCGACGAGTCCGATGAGCAAGGAGACGGTGCTGGGGATGAAGATGAGGTTGCCGACATAATCGAGTTGCTGGGCCCGGGCCGCCAGGGTCCCTCGCCGTGAGTCGGCACTATTATCGACATTGCCGGTCCCGACGCTCATAAAGAGAAGCAGACCGGCGAAAGACAGGCCACAGAAGGGGAGGTTGAGGTAGAAGATCCAGCGCCAGTTGGACGCGGCCAGAGCGCCGCCAACGGGGGGCCCAATGGCAGCTGCGACGCCCGACCATGAGAACAGCAAGCCAAGGTACTTGCCGCGCTCTCGTAGCGGCACGAGATCGCAGCAGACAATGTCGAGCAGGACATACATGCCGCCGGCGCCGGCGCCCTGGATGGTGCGGCCGGCCAGCAGCATGGCGACGCTCTGGGCGGCGCCGCCGAGGGCGCTGCCGAGGGCAAAGAGGGAGACGGCGGCCACGAGCGGGCCGCGGCGGCCGAAGGCATCGGCAAGCTGCCCGAAGAGCGGCTGCAGCACGCACGAGGCGGCGACAAACGAGTTGGCGATCCACACGTACTGCCGTGCTCCGCCAACCTCGGCCGTGATGGTGGGCAGTGCCGTTGTGATGATGGCCACGTCGAGGGCCGAGATGAAGGCGAGCAGGCACAACGACACGAAGATTCCCCAGAAGCGAACGCCGTGCTTGGGCCGGGGGCTCATTTTTGCCTCGCTGTTTGGCTGCGCGGTGTTCTCCCCTGCGCCCTCGTGCTTGATGGTCTCCATCCCTTTTCTTGGGTCGGATGACATTGAGTGCGGCAGGGGAAGGGACGGTAGACAGCTCAAGGGTAGGGGGCGCTGCAGAGAAGCAAGAGGTGGAAGGGTTGAGGGATGGATGCGAGCACGAGCGTCCTTTGATTTTTTGTGATAGTCAAGGCCATGTATAGGACCTGGACCACTAAGAACTTGCTGGAACTGCCGCTACATATATCAATGGGCCTTGGGGACGGCACTTGAAGCCGGGCTCTCCTGCAGTAGCTTTACCAACATGGTCAAGGTGCTCATGGGTTGGTTGATGTGCCTCGCCCGGCTCGTTCAAGTCCGGTTTGGGGACCAAGGATTCAGTCAACCTGCAGGCTGCGCTCATTCTGTACTCTGTCCGAGTTGGGCTGGACCAACTAATTAAAGGCACCCTCAGGGGCCTGTGTTGGTCAGCCTGGCAACAATCTACGTGGCGAGGGGGCAGCCGTTGGCCCAACTTGCATATGCACAGAGACGGCTCTTCCGTACTCGGTAGGTAATTTGCAAGGGTAGTAAGATTGTTTGCTAATAAACTGCGTGCTTGCGTTATGCGGTGTTCAAAAAACGACGCCCCCGTCCGCACCTGTTCTATGAGAGAGGGGGGGGGGGGGTTGTTCACCCCTTGCGTGCCTGTGAGGGAACGATCATGTGACTTTCATACTTTATGAAAGGTCCCGCTTTTATTCATGTAAATAGCGAAAGTCAGAGTCTTCCTTAGGAACCTCTTTCTCTCTTGTAGACAATCACTTTACCCAAGTCGCACTCGACCTTGTTCGTGCACTTGTACCGTCACATATTGTCTACCGACTACCCTTCCTCAATAGACCACTGTCCGCGACGTGACTATTGATTTCGATACCTCTAACCTCACCAAAACACCCTGCAACCAAATTTCCACCTAAACCACCACCACCGCACCAAATTCACCAATCAACGAATCAGCAAACCAACAAACCAACAAATCACAATCGCAAAGTCAACTAAAACGTAACGAAACTGTCGAACGCCACCTGCACTATAGCCATCACCGTCAACAACCCAATGGCTACCGCTACCCCACACCCGTCGATCGAGTGCCCCCTGCCCCTCCTCAACGCCAGCAATACCGATGAAACGTTCCGAAATGCCTTTGTTGCTAACCCAGCCGGTCTCATGAAAGAAGTCTTCCTCGTATGCAATGCCGCATACAGTATGCAAGCGGTAATCGATTCACTACGTGCCTCGACCACGACGACAAATAGGGCAATGGAGGACCTCCAAACCCGCCTAGAAAACACGCTCATTTCTAAAAGTGATGGAGACGCAATGATCGCCCGTCTTATGGCAGAAAATGAAGCGTACATAAAGATCATTCAGTCAAAGGAGCTTCACACCGCACACCAGAACACCCTGATCCTGAGGCCTTCACCGGAGAGGACCCCACGCTTCTGCCGAATTTCCTCCAGCACCTCGAGTTGAAGCTCGAAATGAATAAAGATTGGTGGAACTCGGAACCTCAACGTATGGGATATGTCGTCTCATGCCTTAAAGGCAAAGCACATGACCAAGTCCGCTACAACATTAAAGATGGGGTGGTTCTCTTCGACGATGTCAATGCCATAAAAACACCCTTCAGTCAGCCTTCGGGGATATTGACGCTAAAGCTACCGCCCAACTCAAAATCTTTGACATGAAACAAGGCCATAGATCCCTTACGACATTCCTCCCCGAATGGTATGCCGTCGCCAAGCTCACCGACTGGGATAGTGGGGCGCTCATTGCTCACCTCCGACGTGCCCTCCACGACAACGTTATCTGGAGACTTTCTCACTAAGGGCAAAGATACTCCTACCGAAATTAGTCAATTTATGGACCTTGTCCGTATCTGCGATAACGAATGCCGTCAAGTCAATGCCAATTACTTCAAGAAAAACACCGACAACTCAGCAAGTCACAATGCAACCTTACAACCCTCCACTACGCCACAATCGACGACCTCTAACGGCGGGGATTCAATGGATTTGAGCGTCATCACCTGGGGGGCCAAAGATGTCGCCTCTGGTCGTAGACCCCAAACGGAAGCAGAGAGCGGCACGCAGAGCCTATTGCACAGCGCATGGACTCTGCCATTGGTGCAGCTCAGGCAAACATCGTTCCTCAATTGCGACACCGCACCATGGAGGACGGAAAAAGTGTAGTCTCCGACGGAAGTCGCCGCAGGAGACGCAAGAAAAAGGGCGATCTACTGCTCTCTTCTCTGGACACTAACCAAGCTCATTTGCTACTGCCTTGTAACCTAATCGAAGACAATTCCACTCTGATTAAAACCGAAGCAATGCTTGACTCAGGTGCCACTGGAAAGGGGTTTGTAGACGAATCCTTCGCGCACGCCAACAAACTCACGCTTTATGAACTACGAAACCGTCGCCGGCTGAACGTAGTCGATGGAAGACCCTCCTCGGCTGGCGATATCACTCATGTGGTGAAACTCAACATGGAAATCAAGGGACACAGGGAGAAGATGCTATTTTACGTAACGAAGCTTGGGAAGTACAATGTCATACTCGGAAAACCCTGGCTGACAGATCACAACCCAATCGTCAATTGGAGCACGAATGTGGTCACTTTCAACTCTGATCACTGCCGCAAATACTGCATGGAGAAAGGACAATACCAACTGCCTGTTTCTGGAGCTCCCTCTTTGTCAATTTCTGCAACCACGACTATACTGGCACGCCCATCAATCCCCCGAAGAGTCGGCGCAGCCGCATTCCATATGCTGACCAAAACCGCGACGTCGACGTATTCTCACTATCACTGTATGAGATCGACAAAGGCTGGCTGAACTTGGAGTCATCACAGAAGCCTCCACCTTCGTAGAACCTAAAGCACGCCGAAGGGTCCGATTCGACTCTGCACTCACAGACATGGACAAGATGAACCGAGAACTCCAGCTACAGGACGGAATCACCTCCCTTGACCCCAAGGACCAACAAACACAGGAACCTGAGCTTCCCGGAAAACGGCAGCCGATATGTACCTTTCAGGGCATCACTCGAAGACATTCACAAAGCCCTCGAACCCAAGACTTTGATCGATCCTGCAACAAAAGTACCCCAACACTACCATGAATTTTTGAAAGCATTCGACCAATCAGAAGCGGATAAACTCCCCACACCGAGACTGCGACCACGAAATTGAACTTCAACCTGGAACGACTCCACCACATGGACCTCTGTACGGGATGTCACAAGACGAACTTCTCGTCCTCCGGAAATTCCTTCAGGAAAACCTTGATAAGGGTTTCATACGCGCTAGCACCTCACCGGCAGCCTCGCCAGTGTTATTTGCAAAGAAACCAGGAGGGGCCTTCGTTTTGCGTGGACTACCGAGCTCTTAACGCGATAACCATCAAGAACCGTTACCCCCTACCGTTGATCCAGGAGACCCTTTCCCAGCTAAGCCAAGCCAAGTATTTCACCAAACTCGATGTCGTCGCAGCGTTTAATCGAATCCGCATCAAGGAGGGTCAGGAATGGATGACGGCGTTCAACACAAGATATGGTCTCTTCGAGAGCATGGTGATGCCTTTGGACTATCAAACGCCCCGGCTACCTTTCAAGCTCGAATTAACGAAGTCTTACGCCCATTCCTTGATAGATATTGCACGGCCTACATCGACGACATTCTCATCTACTCAGACGACCTTGCCACCCACAGACTCCACGTCAAATCAGTACTCCAAGCACTTGAAGCCGCAGGCCTACAACTTGACGTCAAGAAATGCGAATTCGAGACTACTGAAGTCAAATACCTGGGCATGATCATCTCAACCACTGGAGTACGGATGGACCCAGAGAAAGTCAACTGTCTCATCAACTGGGAGGCCCCTATCAATGTCAAAGATGTCCAAGCCTTTTTAGGATTCTCAAATTTCTACAGACGGTTCATCAAGGGATTTTCACGCATCGTACGACCACTTGTTGCCCTGACACGGAAGCTAGTCAAATGGAACTGGACTTCATCTTGCCAAGAAGCATTCGATATGCTCAAAAATAGCTTCACTTCAGCGCCAATCCTCAGACACTTCGACCCCGCAAGAGAAGTGTTTGTCGAATGCGACGCGTCCGATTTTGTGTCTTCGGGTATTCTCTCCCAGGAAGACGATCAAGGAGTGCTACACCCAGTGGCTTTCATGTCCAAAAAGTACGACCCGGCCGAGTGCAATTACGAGATATATGACAAAGAACTTTTGGCTATTGTACGCTGCTTCGAATGCTGGAGACCCGAACTCCAAGGCACACACCACCAGATTACAGTCATCACTGACCATGCCAACCTTCGATATTTCATGACAACCAAGCAACTTTCAAGACGACAAGTCAGGTGGAGCGAATTCCTATCACAGTTCCAATTCGCTATCAAGTCAGTGCCTGGGAAAGAGAACGGAAAGCCTGACTCACTCACACGGAGATCACAAGACTTACCGAAAGATGAAAATGACGACCGCATCCAGTACCAACAACAGTCGCTGCTTAAGCCTTCCAACATAGACTCCTCTGTACAAGAACAACTAAGGCTTGACCCCGAGCTCTCAGAGCTCTTTGCAAATCTCTCCTGGGAACAAGAGATTGCACTATGTCCCGCCATTCTTGACGAAATTCAGCCAGAACCAATCAACCACAAAATCACAAGACTTCTAGACAAGGGCTATGAGGAGGACGAATGGTGGATGAAAATCAGGGACGAGATGCTCAAACCCCATGGAATTCCCCACTCAAAGGAAGTTTCTATCGGAATGCATGATAAACGAAGGCCGATTATATTTCCGAGAGAGGCTATACGTACCCGCAGGCGAACTACGGACCCTTCTCACTCAACTCGCCCATGACAGCGTCGAATCAGGCCACCCCGGGAAAAACAAGCTATACGAACTCATTTCACGCTCTTATTGGTGGCCAAAGCTTAGCGCCGATACGAAACAATTCACACGCAATTGCCACGGATGTCTGAGGAACAAAACCTCCCAGTTGCGGTACCAGGGGACATTGAAACCGCTCCCAATTCCCTTGCAAAGATGGAGAGACTTATCCGTTGACTTCATTGGCCCAATTCAGCGCACAGCTCGTGGATTCAACGCAATCATGGTGGTAGTCGATAGGCTGTCAAAGGACAGACATTTCACGCCCTGCAAGACCGACATGAAAACACATGACTTGGCAACACTCTTCGTACGAGATGTCTGGAAACTCCATGGACTACCGGATTCAATCGTGTCTGATAGAGGACCACTGTTTGTCTCGGAATTCTGGAAAGCGGTTTGCCACCGTCTACGGATCAATATCAGCCTTTCTACAGCATATCACCCCGAAACTGACGGCCAGACGGAAAACGCTAACTCATTTCTCGAACAATACCTTCGCCAATATGTTAGCTTTGCTCAGGACGACTGGGACGAGTGGCTCCCATTGGCCGAATTCGCAGCCCGTAACGTTGTCAGCGATTCAACGGGAATGTCCCCATTTTTGCGAACACAGGCTATCACCCCGAATGAGCTTTGGTCCCCTCGCGCAATACCACTCGCGGCATCCAAAGACCTGGCAGAACGCTGCAACGAGGGGAACGAATTTGTCGCCAAGATGCAAGAAATCACTGATCTACTTCGGACAAACCTGCTCTCAGCTCAAGCCTCACAAGAGCAGTTCGCCAACGCAAATAGATCACCGGCGCCAGCTTACCGAGTTGGAGACATGGTGCTACTTAGCACACGCAACATTGATTCAGCCCGACCCATCCCAAAACTAGATCACAAGTTCATTGGCCCTTTCGAATCGAGCGCGTGCTCAACCTCACTCCTACCAACTGAAGTTGCCACATGAACTAGACTCAATTCACAATTCATTTCACACCAACCTCCTGCGACCGTCACCAAACGACCCGCTCCCCGGCCAATACAACACACCGCCCCCACCAATAACGCTAGATGCAAAGGGGGAGAAACTCTGGGCGATTGAAGAAATACTGGACTCGAAACGCACAAAACAGAAAGGCTTCCAGTACCATATACTATGGAGAGGCTTCGACCTTGAGCAGGCAACATGGGAACCACTACACAACGTCGTCAACGCTCACATCGCCATCAAAGAGTTCGAGAAGCACAACAAAACAAACCCAGACCGACGAAACAAGAAGCGCAAAATGCTCGCCTACAGGCTCAGCAAGACGTGGAAGAATCAGAAGCGATGGAGTAAAGGAGGCCCATGTGTGAGGGAACGATCATGTGACTTTCATACTTTATGAAAGGTCCCGCTTTTATTCATGTAAATAGCGAAAGTCAGAGTCTTCCTTAGGAACCTCTTTCTCTCTTGTAGACAATCACTTTACCCAAGTCGCACTCGACCTTGTTCGTGCACTTGTACCGTCACAGTGCCTCTTTACACAGTTTGTGGAACGCCCCGTTCAACATCCTCCCGTTCAAACTCCCGAGATCAGCACACCGCATCGAGACATGCAGAGACCCATGCTGCCATGCCACCTTCAACGTCCCGCCCTTCTCCGGATTCGTATATTTGCGTCTGACGGATACTTGACCCACATCATGTGAACCGGCTTTGGTCTGGACTTGAGGTACTCGACCTCGTAGTTGAGCAGCAGGTTGGCGACAAAAATCTTAAGCTCGAGCAGTGCAAAGAAGCGCCCTGGGCACGCGTTCCTGCCAGGGACGCCAAAGGCCAGGAAGCTCTCATCGAGCGTCACCGTCGACTTGACCTTAAACGACTGTTTCTTCTCCCATGTCACGACTTCGTTGTTATCGTTGTCGGCGGGCTGCACGAAGCGAAACGGGTTGTAGAGGTGCGCTTCGGGGTATGCTTTTGCGTCGTAGTGGATTGGCTCAACCGGAACGACTATACGAGTGCCTCTGGGCACAGGGACGCTCCAGCCGCCGATGACGATGCCGTCAGGGTCCAAGACCTATTGGGGTACGTGGCATGAGTATGGGACTGACTGTTTTGTAGCCAAGAGAATACTCGGTGCAAACAACGTCACAAGGGCGGTTTGCGACACGCTATGAGAAACCGTACCTTTCTGGGTAGCAGGACTGATCCCAACGGCGAAATTCTCATCGACTCTCGAATTGCAGCGTCGACAAGCCGTAGATTCTCCACCGCGTCCGGCGTCCATTTGCCCCCCGACTCTCGAAGCACGTCTGCGCATTCCTCGCGCAGCGCATCGACGTATCCTCGAGCAGGGTCCGAGCTGTAAAGGTCGAGAATAAAGTTCTGCGCAGTAAACGCCGTCGTCAAGAGTGATATGTCGTTGGCGATCAGGAGGCGCTCGCAGACGCGCCCGAGGTCCAGTTGCTCCCGGTTTGGGCTGGCGTAGCACTCATCAATGATCCATTGGAGAGCGTCTTGCTGTACGTGGGTAAGTCAGCCGCCAATGATTTTGCTTTCTGCAGGATGAAAGGAGAAGAGTAGGGGGGGCTTCTTGCCGGAGGTGTCCACTCGTGGTCGGGATCGGCCTTGAGCCTGGCGGTATTTTCCAGCCTCTCTCTCACAATCGGCCGGCTTCTCTTCATCACTCGCTCTGCCATGAAGCGGGACACTATCATGAGTATAGGCCCGAACACGCGCTGGAGCGCCGAGGGCAGGCAGCTCATAGCAATCGCGCCCCCAAAGAGGCTCATGGCGTGGTCCCTCAAGCGGTCCAGAAATACCACATCTCGACCTGTCAAGCCATGTCAACATACGCCGGTGAACCATGACTGCGGCAAGACCTACAGAGCGGAAGGCCACAGAAGGCGCCATTGGCGGCGCCCGCGATGATACGCAGCGCCGAGCTCCAGGTCCTTACCTCATTCCACTCGCCGTCGTAACCCCAGCTACGCTCAAATCCAAATTCGATCTCGGCAGCAACTCGTGGCGCAAGTATGGGGATGTTCTGCGTTAGCTGATTCCGCACAACCGTGATATGAAGTTGCTCCGCGTGTAGGTGCGGATCCGGAAACGTCCAGCGCAGCTGCATGTTCTCGTGCTGGACTTGCTTCACGTCCAGCACGCTCTCGGACAGGCCATAGACCTTCTTGATCTGCTGTGGCGGGATCACCACGGTCAGGCCATGCTCCAGCGACGGTATGGCGAACGGCAGATTGACTTTGCAGTACTAGATTTATGCATTTCTTGTTAGAATAGATGCTCATATTTGTACAGGCGCAAGACATAAACACTTCAAAGGAGAAGGGAGGGGGAGAGTTGGGAAATAGGCCCGGCATTGGCGGCACCAGCCTGACCTTTTCATATCCTTCAAACGCCCATTTACTTGTCTCAGTGAACGATCTCAACCGAGCTCGGACCCAGCGAAATCTCTCTTCGCGAATACCAAACACGGGTTGCGTCTTCAAAATTCTGGTGTCGTCCTTGTCTTGCTTGTGGGCGAGGCTGGTCAGTCGCCGCAGATGCAACAGTCCAATGACGACGACTAGAAGCAACCCCAATGCTTGTACTGATGCAAACATTCTCTCTCAATGCTCAGATGATACGGATCTTCAAGTTGCTGTGGAATTTTGTGCAATGCAGGGCGACCACCAAAACGGTCAGATCTATAATTGCTTGCGACTGGCGAGATATCCTCAAAGACATGACCACCTTAACAATCAAAACAGAAAGACGACTCTCAAGGGAACGCTAGGATATCGTGTTGCTTGCCCTGGCTGGGCTCGACTACCGCAGCCCTTCTGTTCACAATTGATCAGGGCCATTCCGAGGTCTTGCAGGAAATGCAGTGTTGGTTGGCCCCCCCTGCCGCTTATTCCTCATTCTCGTGCAGGGGTTGAAACAACGTTGTACACGCGAATGCTCGGGTAGTATCTACCCGTTGATCTTGGTGTGGGGCCACAGCAGCCCAACTAAGTGTCTTCGCCACTTAGTTGGCCCAAAAAATCCGGCACAGCCCAAAAAATCCGGCACAGCAGCCCACCTCCAAAACGTCAACCCTATGCATCTCAACCGCGTTTTCTCGCGCAACTTGACTTTATTTACGTATCTTTTTGCCGGAATACATTATGACAGATAACATGGCTACCCTGGAGGCAGCAAAAGCCGTTCTGGCGTCTCGTCGCGACCCCAGAGCCGATGTTCGTCGCTCAACAACACCAAAAAGAACGCCTCTTTCCGTGCGAGATGCGGCCATCCGTTACAATGTGAAGAGCTCATCCGTACAGAGAGCCATTAATTTCATAAGAAACCCTTTTCCCGTGCTCCAGGGCGTCCATTGGCGCTGACGGAGGACGAAGACGACGCCCTGGTTGCGTATGTACAGTGGATGGAACGCACCGGCATGCCCGCCACGAGAGAGCAACTTGAAGCTGTTGCAAATGCAATAAGAATGCGTCGAGATCCCAATGCCCGCCCGGTCTCGTCAAGTTGGCTTGACAATTGGCGTGGAAGTCATCCTGCGATCGCGAAGACGTATCTCAAAGCAGTTGAACGAGCCCGGAAGTCCTTTGAAGCCCACGGGGTAGAAGAAGTCGAATTTTTCTACTCAAAGCTTCGAGAAATCATCACCAGCTACCGTATTGGCAGTTCAGAGATCTGGAATGAAGACGAGGCCGGAATACGCATTGGGTGCCTGCGAGAACGCATCCAAGTTCTCATCACGCGCACCACTAGAGTCAAGAGCACCCGGCCCCGAGTTTTAGACCCAGCAAACCGAGAATCCTGCACGGTAATTGCCTCAGTTAACGCAGTGGGGGACTCTCTTCCACCCTGGCTTGTTTTCCAACATTACCCTACCACCAACTGGGCCGGCATCGACATCATGACAGGCGTACGGTTTGCCCAGTCGCCAACTGGCTTTTCCAACGCAGAGATACACCTTGAGTGGGCAAGGCATTTCAACTGCTGGTCTTGGGCATCGTCAGCGCAAGCAAAACAGTCAGGAAATTCGCTGGAAGAGTGGTTCGGCTGTGACGAGCATCTTCGGCGCCCCAACATGGGGATGAGTCGCGTGGAGGCGCCGCCAAACCAACGGCCTGACGACGAGAAGATCTACCGATTGCTTGTTGTGGATGGCTTTACAGGGCATACCACCCTTGACTTTGCTGAGTATTGTATCAAGTTTGATATCATCATTGCTATTTTCCTCCACATTCCACCCACCTCATGCAGCCGCTTGATGTTGGGGTATTCCAGCCACTAAAGTCAGCACATCAGAAAGCGCTTCGGAAGTCGCTCGCAGAAGGCAACATATCATTTTCGCGGGTCAACTTCCTCACAGCTTTTCAGGACGTATATGAGGCTGGCTTCACGCGGCATAACATTATGGCGGCATTTGAAAAACAGGCCTCTTTCCTGTCGACCCAGCGCCGGTGATCACCAAGATCCTCCACGAGCAGCTACGACAACAGCAGCCGATCAATCCTGCATACGCCTCGCTCCTACCCTCGGAGACGCGTTTCCAAGTCGCCGCGGATGCCCTCAATGATATCCGGCAACGGTATGGGCCCCTCATGAGCTCGCCATCACGAGAAAACTTGCGGGTTCTTGCGAAAGTGAACACCGAGTCTATCGCGATGGCGTCACATTCCCAGGGCATAGTCAGCGATAAGAATAGCCGAACCCAGGCGTATGCGAATCGAATGAAGAGAGGCAAGATTGTCAGGCCGCGCGGAGAGTTTATCACGAGCTCCAGCATGGCCGACATCACCCGGGAGTATGAGGAGCTCCAGGCAAAGCAAACCCGGCTTCAAACGCGCCAGGAGATAAGGATGCATCTTAAACGAGTTCGTGGAGAGATGCAGAAGATCCGAGAAGACTATAAAGTCGGGAAGAAGCAGTTAGTCAATGGCAGAGTCAAGACATTGAACTTTAAGCCCTGGCTAGAGTTTACGGGACGAGACGTTGAGTTCTACACTCTGGAGCAAAGTTGCGATACCCTCATGCGGGAGCTCAAAGAGCCATCCAAGGAATCCTTTTCTATGATACCACGAAGAGAAATAACTCCGCCAGAGATGTCAGGGCGCGCAGCGACCCGACCTCGCCCACTTACAGATATGTCGTCGTTGCCCGGCAGTGACGATACCGTCTATTTCACAGGCCTCGATCTTGACAAACATAGTGAGGATGGCGCCGACGATGAAGACGAGGACAATTTACTCGACACGCAAGAGAATATACCTCATCGCCGCCGTTAGCAGCGGTTGAAGCGGTAGTCGATACACCATGCCCTCGACCGCGCACCCGATCGTCCAACAAGATACAGCAGACGCTCCAGGAACACAGGTATGGATAAAATAGCTCTCAGAGACGCACAACAGGCGAAATTACTACATAATACGTCTATTTGGACTCACAAACGCGGTCTTCCTATCTCTTCGACTGGAAGGCGGCAGCTCCTAAATAGGCCCAAAGACGTGATTTTTCACTTTTCGTTGTTACTTGCGTCTTTAGGTGATCCGCAGCTATTGATCACATGTATATTTTAGCTATTTGAAGTCGCATTGACGGCACCATGAAGCGAAGCGTAGAATTTCCCTTGATTTTGCACCCCAAATTGAGGACCCTGCTGTGCCGGATTTTTTGGGCTGTGCCGGATTTTTTGGGCCAACTAAGTGGCGAAGACACTTAGTTGGGCTGCTGTGGCCCCACACCAAGATCAACGGGTACATTTATAAGCACCTTGGCGCCCTAGCAATATAGGTAGAGGCAAAGAATTAGGGCAACAGTGTAGGGCAGGCGCCAAGCGATAATGCTAGCAACCTATCCAATATGTTCTTTCTTACTCAAGGTGTTAGAGTAATGCTTATAATTAACCTATAGTAGCTAGCTAGCCAAGTTCATACTGCCTAGGGAACTACATATGATATCGCCTAGAATATCGGCGCTAATGTATCAGAAGATCCTCTGGCTATTGTTATAGTAGATTCTGATGGCTGTGATGGACTGCTGTATTTAACAACTAGCCAGGGCAGGAAAATCCCATCTATCCTCCCAGTATGACGGGGATGGGTGATGGTGGCATGCGAGAATAGCCCAAAAAGCGTGACACTCTCGGGAGATGCAGAAGCCGTTGACAGGACTCTCGGCTTAATCAAGTCGAAAGACCCGTCCATTTTCACCCGGCGATAACGCGTTGACATGGCATACCACTCTCGTGAGTTCTGCACTCACTTTCTACCCACTCTCTGGTAACAACCGCTGATCCGCGATACTTGACACTCTAGACCACATACTTGACATTGGGGACATGTACGAGCGATTGCTGGAACTTCACGTATCCGGGAAGGAAGCCACCGTTCCGCTCTTTTCTACTGTGACCGGCGAGCGTGTGGCGTCCGAGTTTCAATTTGGCCCGAAATACTGGAGAGACAACCTCGAGTCTCCAGTCCCCTTCAACACCACCGTTCAAGGAATTTTGGACGAACTTGCACCCGGGGCCATCTTCTTGGAAATTGAGCCACATTCAGCTTTGCAAGGTCCCCTCCGTGAGATCTTCCGGGCCAAGACGGACAAAAGACCCAACTACGTCCCAACCTTGGTGAGGGGAAGCGATGCAGTGGAATCAGCACTTCGGGTTGTGCGCCAGCTGCTCACACATGGTTATCCAATCGACCTTTCCTACATCAACCCGGAGACGCCTGTTCTGACAGACCTACCTAAATACCCCTGAGACCACGGTTCGGAGAATTGGAGTGAGAAGCGCATCACACAGGCCTGGAGATTCAAAAGATATCCTCACAATGAGCTGCTCGGCTCCAGGTGCCTACACGGAAGTGATACGGAACCAGCATGGGGAAATGCGCTCAATGTCCTTGATGTTCCATGGCTACAGGACCATAAGATTGGGGATAACGTGGTGTTTCCCTGCGCCAGATACATGGCTATGATGGGTGAGGCGATTCGACAAGTAACGGACTCTAAAGCATACACATTACAAAACTTGGTCGTTAGGTCTGCCATGATATTGGGGGAGTCAAACACGATTGAGATCATGACAACCATGAGGCCTGCGCGGCTATACAACAGTGAGAATTCCTCCTGGTACGACATCTCAGTGTCTTCTTTCTCCGGGACATATTGAGCTCAGCATTGCGTCGCTCAGGGAAAGGCTGCCGTAGAGCGTCCACCACGGGAGGAAGTCATAACGCCCTTTCCGCGGATGCTGCCAGAAACCTTTTGGTACGATAGGTTGCGTCATCTGGGTCTCAACTACTTCGGTGTATGCTATCTATCTAAACCTGTGCTCTCTAGTAGAAGCCTAGATTTTGCTACGCAGGGCTCAACTTTCGCGTATGTGCTCGCACGAAATCACCTCCCTACATAGGATAGTGCCTGATGTCTCTATAGGATATCCTCATGACAATGGGAATTGTCGAAGGTCCCAAGTTAAAGTCGGTGATCAAGTCATGGCCATGGACATTGGCTGCCTTTCTACGCGCAAGGTGGTGCCCGGCAACTTGGTGACTCGTACTCCGGACGGTCTGAGCCTTGAAGAGGCTGCTACCTTGCCCATTGTCTACGCAACTGATATCCATGCCGTCATTAACCTAGGTCGGCTCAAGAAGGGACAGGTCAGTTGAGACAAGCCAAGGCAACGGCCAAAGGCTAACAATAAATCAGTCGATTCTGGTTCATTCTGCTTGTGGAGGAGCTGGGCTGGCCGCCCTTGAGCTATGCACCGCACCCGAGGCAGAGGTAGTAACTCCGTATATCACACGCCTTGGCATATTCTAACGCTTCTGTAGATCTACGTCACGGTAGGCAACGATGAAAAGGTTCAATATCTGATCAACAGCTTTGGCCTTGCACGGGAGCGCATCTTTCACTCCCGTGACGCCTCTTTCCTCCCTGCAGTCATGCGGGCAACAGGTGGTCGTGGTGTCGACTTAGTGCTCAACTCACTGTCGGGCGAGCTTCTGCACGCCTGTGGCAGTGTGTTGCGAGGTGCGGCAGCATGATGGAGATTGGCAAGTGTGACATTCTTGGCCACGGGGCTTTGGCGCTCAACCCGTTCAACGAGAACCGGACATTCCATGGCATTGGCTTGGCTGGCCTGCGACAGGACAATCCTGCCCAGGTTCAAGAGTAAGTGTGCCTGTATAACGCTGGACGCCGACACCGAACACTCAGAGAGTGCACATATTCAACTTGGGTTTATTAGGTTGATGGAGCAGTGCGTCTCCTACCATAAGCAGGGCATCATCAAGCCGATCCAGCCTATTCGCGTCCTCCAGGCCAGCCAGGTGGCCGAGGCATTCCGCTACATGCAGAATGGATTACATCTTGGCAAGGTACTCATCAGACTTTCAGGAGAAGCGAGAAAACTTCCTTGCACCAAGCTACGGCGAGGCCCTACCCTCTCCAGTACATCAACCTTGCTCCTCGTGGGGGGGGGGCTTGGCGGCCTGGGAAAAGCCATCACGACATAGTTGGTGGAACGCGGCGCCAGAAACTTTATGTTCTTGTCTCGCTCCGCAGGCAGATCTGCCGACGACTGCGCATTCTTCCGCGAACTAGAGTCACAGGGCTGCCACGTGGAAGCTGCTACGGGGAGCGTGGCCGACAAGGAGGATGTTGAGCGAGCTGTGTAAGCTGCGCCGATAGGCATTGGCGGTGTTTTGCAAATGGCCATGGTGCTAATAGTATGTCAACCTCTGGTAGGCGGCTAATATCTGTTTGCTAATATAAATTACTGAACCTTGAACCGTAGGACTGCCCTTTTCAGCAGCTAGGTCATGATGCTTGGGGTAGCGTGCAGAACCCCAAGGTCAAGGGAACGTGGAATCTCCATCGGGCGCTTCTGGGCACCAAGCTGGACTTTTTTGTTCTCTTCAGCTCCGTGGCCGCTGTCTGGGGCCAACCCGGCCAGGCGAACTACGCGTCCGCCAACACGTTCCTCCATTCTTTTGCACAATATCGCCACAGCCTCGACTTGCCTTGCTCTGTCATTGACATTGGAGTCATGGAGGGAGTTGGATACGTCAGCCAAAATCCTGCTGTTCTGAAGCAGCTACGTCTCATGGGTGCCCATACGCTTCAAGAGCAGGAGCTGCTCGATGCAATGGGGACCAGCGTCGAACGTGGCCTGCCCTGGCACAAGGCATCAGCCGGGCACCACGGCGGATCCAGCAATCCGAGTCAGGTAACCATTGGTTTGAGGTCGTGCCGGCCATTGTGCGAGCCTAGCAACCGCGTCCCTTGGAAGCGCGACATTCGCATGAGTTTATATCGGCAGGTCGAGTCAACCACTGTCGTGAGCTCCGACGCCGGCAACAGACGCCTGCAGGATTTCCTCAGCATGGCCGAGGGAACCCCGGGCGTTCTGTCCGACGAGGCCAGCATAAAGCTTGTTACGTGGGAGATTGCTCGCACCCTATGCGGCTTCTTGCTGCAACCGGAGGAGAACTTGGATATCACCCGGAGTCTTGCTTCCATGGGCATTGACTCTTTGGTAAGCGTTGAAATTCGCAACTGGGGGCGCCGAACGCTGGGGGTCGACATCAGTGTCCTTGACATCGTCAATGCAGGAACGGTGGAACGACCAGGCAAACTCGCAATAGCTTTGCTGCAGGAGAAGCACAAGGCCAAAGACTCGATAATTTCGAACGAGAGATTCCTAGCAACGAAGGCTCCCTGAGAATTTAAAGCTGCCCAATACACAATCCGAGTCTTGATTCTCCCAGACCATGGCATATTATGCAAGTGACAAATCTCCCATTAAGTCGGTGATGGGTGAGTCTTGGCTGCATTGGCGGGCGGTGCGTAGGTTTCCGGGTATATAAACTCTCCCGTTGCTCAAGAAGTGGCCTTTCAGCAGCCTACCATGCACTTCGTTCATACGCAGAGCCAGCAAAACCTTGGCTTTAGTTCCTTGAATCAGGCGCCATAAGCCACCCTAGCTACTTTTCACAATTTCTTCTACTCGCCTACTGAAACACTGTTACTAAAATGCGTTGCAAAGAGGCTAGGCTTCTTAAAGCTCATGTGCAAAAGACCAAGAATCGTCTTGGGCAAACCCAAGATGCAAATTTGACCACGGTTGCACGTCAATTCGAAATGCTACATGGCCGCCCGAGAAGCCGTCTTGACCGAAGAACGAGCTAGACCGACCGCCAACCAAAAACCGAAGATAGACAAGCCAAAAGAAGATGCACTGAAAAGCAGGCAAGGGTTAGTAAGGAGCCAGACAGTCTTCGAGACCAGGTGCGGATGAGAAGCCTCAAAGCGAGCCGAGAAGACGCAAGACGCATGTCTACACACAAGGGAATGACTCGATTGTACTAGGTAGAGCGTGCAAGCATTTCTGGGCAAATGACGAGGCATAGTAGATCCCTCCTCACTTCGTTCCTCGATCCTCAATGCATTGACAACGGGAAAGCCACGCCGCCCTCCCGCTGGTGGACCCGAGCTCGACAAGATCGGTCATGACACCGACGCCATGCTGCCAGCGGCAATAAGCCTGGCCCTTAGGTCGGGCAGGGTGGCGGCCAGGGGCAACAGACCAGACGAGACCTGCTTCTCCGCGTCGCTTGTTTCCTTTTGCCTAGGAAGGAGGGGCGCTTGAGGGGCAAGACAGGTCGCCCCTTATGCGTATGTACAGGCTTGGTGTCGCGTTGGGGAAGGCCCGCAGGGTTTCTTCCAGCTCGCGCAGGGCGGCCCGGGTGCGGGAGTAGACGTTTTCGATCTCGTCGACGCCGTCGGGCAAGAGGCGCGCGGCACGGTCCAGGCGGGCTGCGTAGGCGGCCATCCAGGCGGCGTTGGCGGCGCGGCCGTGCTCGAGGGCGTCGAGCAGCGGAGCGACGTCGAGCTCGGTGGGCGAGCCGCGGAACAGCGGGGACCAGTCCTCCCAGGGGGCCTGATCGATGTCGGCGTACGAGGCGGCGGCAGCGGGGGGCTCGAACCAGGGGCCGACGAGGACCAGGGAGCGCAGCGACGGGCAGCGCGTCTTGACCTGGGCGAGCGAGTGCCAGAGCTGGGGCCAGTCGCGCGGGTTGAGCACCATGTGCTGGACGCGGGCCAGCACGTCGACGTGCTGCTGCATCATCAGGCCGCGGTCGGCGCGGGCGTCGCGGAAGAAGAAGAGGTGGCGGGCAAAGTCGAGCCAGCCGAGCCCGTCGACGTGCGCGCACGAGGCCTGCATGACGGCGCGGGCCTCGCGACAGGACTGCGGCACGGCACGCGGCACGGCGCCGACGAGCCTGACACGGCCGCGGTGGCGCTTGAGGCTGGTGACGGCCCAGCGCTGGGCGAGGGCGAGGCGCCAGACGTGCTGGCGGATCTCGGGCGGGAGCTGCGCGAAGAGCGGGAACCCGCGCTCCATGATAGCGCTGTCTGCTCGGCGATGCTGGAGCCGCGAGCGGCGTTTGGGGGGGGGGGCTGTCGTGGGTGGTCTTCAGAGGCAGGGAAGAAGAAAAGGCGGAGAAAGGAGCGGAAGCAAAGGCCGCGGAGATGGCGAAGCAGGAGTCCGAGCAGGAGCAGTCAGCTGATGCAGCCACCGGCGACTGCCTACTCGGGTGCTGTCACTGTCAATCTGTCAATCTGTTGGCCTCGCCCTCTGCCGTTGGCCCGCCATCGCTGAAGCCTCCTACACTCCTTGTAAGCCGTCGGCGAGGACAAGACGACGCATGCTACACACCTTGTATGCAATCATGACACTCGGCACGCCGAGCGTGTCCGCGGGCGGCGGGCAGAGCGGCATATAACGGCGGCCTTGGACGGCCATGGCAGTCGACGAGGGCCAAAGCCGTCCATCCATCCACTCGCAACCGCCAACAACATGCCCTCCCTCCGCAGCGTCGTCCTTGGCCTCGTCGTCCTCGCCGTGGCCCCCGTCTCCCTGGCCGTCCCCTCTCCGCCCGACGAGGGCTCTGTTGCTCCGCTGCAGCAGCGTGACGGTACGTTGTTGCATGCCCTGTGGTGAGCCGTGGGTGGCTGTGACTGCACTGACGCCAGCTCCCACAAGTCGCAGCCGACGCCGCCGCCCCCTTTGAGGAGCCCGACGCCGGCGAGCCGGACTCGGTGCTCGACGCACTCGCCGGGGGTGCCCAGGCCGCGCGCAGCGCCTGCTATGTGACCAATAGGCGTGGCCAGACCGGCTGCGCCGCTGCCACGTGCATCCCGGCCCAGCAGTGCCGGCCCAGCAGCAAGGGCCGGTGCGCCTTCAAGGAGAAGAACATCAGGAAGAGGCCGTCTGGGTGCCGCGCGTGTAGGTGCGCCCGGTACAAGGGCTCCTAGCCAGCTTGTTCAGACGACCGGTGGTTAGGAGAAACTGTATGTAGACCGCAAGACGCTCGTTTGAAGCCTTTGAAACACAATCATTACACACAGATACCGCTGCTTAGATAGTACACAAACAGTCGCTCATATAATATTGCATCATTGTCATGATGAGGACTCGTGGATTTTCAATGTAAACGCGGGTAGGAAGTTGAGTTTTTATATCGAGCGATCCCAGTGCTAGAAACGGCCTGCTACCAACACCGACCACTGCCTGTTAGGCAATATAATGAATGTGTGACTGCTGCCTGCTAATAAGTGAGCGACCTGATCCCAGCAACTCGTCTAGTTGCAGGCTACGAAGCATCGAGCTTTCACCACCCGAAAGGGGACGTGACCAACCTCTACTTCGTGTTTATAAGGCTCTCGACCGGCAGCACGACAACGTTGGCGAGGCTCGCGTCAGGAGGCGAGTAGCCTTCGACGTTGCAGAAGTTACCGAGGGCGAAGGCGATCTTGGAGCTCGAGTCCTGGCCAGTCACTCTAGAACTGTGCAAGATAGGTTGGACCTCCCAGACGGACATTTCCTTAGCCTTTGACTTGCTCGTATCCCAGAAGCGCCGGGGGGCGTGGCTCCCGCGGACAGCGAGGTCGTCACGTAGGCACCAGATCCTATAAACATCGGGCTCATTCCAGCCCTTGTGCGCAATGTCGCCTAGCGAGATGTAGCCCTTGGGCGGCACAGGTCGCCAGAAGGAGACGGGCTCCTTTGCTCGTCCCAGATCTGGGTATGGCCTGTAGGGGAGGCCACGGCCGGCTTTCGGCTATGATGGAGATTGGACTCAACCAGGAGTGACCGACGATTGCCGTTGATATCATCATAGCTTTCAACGCCAACGCTGCCCAGGGGTCGCAGAAGCCCTTGTGACTTGGGATTCCAGAAGCCGGCGTATCTCGTAGCGCCAGTGCCACGATCGAACAAGACGGCATCGTACGATGACGTTATGGTAATAACGAGGTCGCTATACTCGGAGGCTGAGATGGACATATTCAGATGTTTAAGGTTGAAGATGAATATTCCTGAAAGCTTTTTAATGCTCCGCGCGGCTTATAGTAGATCTCGACACGAAGGCAGTTTCTTCATTATACTTATACCGCGACTGTAGTTTTTCGGAAATGCCGAGCCTAGTTGTCCCGTTGACGCTCCAGTAAGGTCATAAAGTACTGCGGCCGAGTTTCCTCGTTGGGCCAACCCGTAACGTGATCTGTCGTAGGTATAACGAGCCGAGTCTCGCCGTCCGTGCTGGATCGACCTGCAGCTTGCCCGATGCCAACGATTGAGAACTATCTACATGTTTAAGAGGCGCCTAGGTTCTGGCTCCCGTACGGGAGAATTCTGCAGTAGCCGGTTAAAGATATAGCCCAGGTTACGATACGATCATATCATCATGCCAAAAATGAATTTACAAAAACTCGATTTTCGTAAATCCAGTGCAGCCGGATCCGACCAATCAAATCTAATACGTATGGTCTTTTCTGCCAGCGCGTAATGCATGCCTGGGAGTGCAATGTATTATTTAGTACAGACTAGAGCCTCAGTCAATCAATCTTTGCGTAACCGCTGCCCATGCATCTTGTCGGCATGTGGTTGACGTGGACCGTGGGAAATGGTACAGATAAGCAGAGTTTAATATCTATTAAAAGCCTAAAGGGTCTGTAGTACGGTGGAGGATCGCTAACTAGTTTGGGCGCCTGGGTGTATAGGTGCCTGTTAAGCTGGTAAAATACCGCTACACCATGCAAAATGAGGGCACCCCCGATAGAGGTGTTACTAACGCGTATTATAGGCCGTTGTCCTGACAGTGCCCATATACTGGTCGCCATCTCGCTCGCTTGGTGAGATCTAAACGTAACACCACTGACACTGATGCGCCAAAAGGATGGCATGGCAAAGTATGGAGGGGTTACTGGTCCGCAATGGAGATGGAGGAGATTCCCGCGAACTAAATATAGAGAGGATCGGTAACTGATATCCACTCTGTGTATATAAGATCCATCGGCCACCGACTTCCTAACTTAAGTTTGAGTACAGAGCGGGCGCTAATTATGGCCTACCCGCTCTTCGGGCGCGACCCTGGAACCGGCCTCTCGTTAAATTAGTTGTTACCACAAACTGTCTCCATGACATGCCGACTAGACCGTACCCATCGAAAACGCCGTGCGACCGCCACGCCAAGGCGGCACGATGTTCCTGGTCCCCTCCTGTTCTCAAAGCAGAGATGTGCAATTGATATGCTTAGGAAAAATAGAACTGCTAGACTACCTAGTTTCCGTCCTTAACCATCCGAGATACATGTCTTGCCGCATCAACAAAGCCCTGATATCCTCCAACATGATTCCTCCATCAATCCAGACGTCCGATGTTGTCTTGAGCCTTGTACTTGTCATGAGGCGTCAAGTGTGTTGTACATCAATTCCCATTGCCATCCTCCCATCGCCATCCGTGTACGCAATGCAGGGTGGCTCGATGCAAGCTGGACTGCACCGTCACGGGATGCACCGCTCACCCAGCGCCCAATAAGCGCATTGTCTCTCCGTAGTCGAGTCTACAAACGTGCCAGGAAGGCGGTAAACGGTTTCCGGTGGCGTCTCAAGAGCTGGCGGCCTTGGCTAGGACCGTGGCCTTCGCTCGCGACCGTACCTGTCGACAGCGTCCTCCCGGGCATCAGAAATTCTTGCTGCGCGCCTGTGGGCAGCCTTCGCCTCGCGTCTATGTGGCGACCGTGGCGTGGCAAGCTGCGGCTCCCGACTCGGCGTACGGGTAGGTTGACCACTCCGCCGCGCGTGCCTGCGTGGCGGATAGACAACCAACGGGGGGGTAGGTGACGCCGCCGGCCGGAGAGTTCTGCGGTCGTCATCCCTCGTTGGCAGACGGTTGCCTGGGGCCGGCCTTGGCTCGGCATAGGGCGCAATGGGAGGGACTCGCGACCTGGGTGTCGTCAAGCCCTCGCCGCCGAAGAAGTGCATGAGCATCTGCGCGGCCGATGCCCGGTGATTTGGATCAAGCCTCCCCATAGGCTCCAGCTTGGATGACAAGTGACATTTTTTCTCGAGCACGCGCAAAACAACGTGGTAGTCGCTGGATTTGGGGGGGAAATCCTGGAAGGCCGACTGGACTGCAACGATGCTCGCAAAGAGGGACCAGATGTCTAGCTTAGGACTCTGGCCGGCGTAAACATTGGAGAATTGAGGGTGAAGCTCAGGTGCTTGGTAGTAGCCAGTACCACATATGGTCTTAGCTAGCATGCAGTGATGGGCGAGTCCAAAGTCGGCCAACTGAAAATGGTAATAGTTATCGCCTTGCTTAGAATAGAGAATGTTATCCGGCTTGATGTCCCGGTGGACGATATTCTCATTTGCAAGGTAATCAAGGGCACAAAGCATTTGTTGGAGGGCGATTGTGCCAAGATTTTCGTGGGTGATCCTTAGGTCGGGTGATTTGACGAGGGATGTCAGGGTCCCATCACGCAGAGGCATGAATATCTCGGGGTGTGGAGTATGGAAGAGTTGATGGCCTAGATACTCGATGATATGGTCCTGGAAGTAAAGTCAATGTAAGTCACAGGAAATACTAGGCTGGGGAGAAAAGTAACTGACGTGATTCAACCTCTCCATGATTTTGATCTCTCTATGGAGAACAGCTCGAGCGGCCTCGATATCGAGGTACTGGTTGGAGGCAAGGTCGACAACTTTGATGGCAAAAAGATAGCCGGAGGAGCGGTCGACGGCTTCAAACACCTTGCCAAAGGCTCCCGACGCCCTCGCCACACGAAGCTTCTCCATATCCTGGAAAAGAGGGAGTTTTGCCGTGTTGAACCTAGTAATATGCCACGATAGCGCCTCAGAACCATCGACCTCAGTTGGCCGGTCACGCGACCTCAAACCCTGCACTCGTTGAAGAGATGACTGGAAACCCTGCACGGTGAGGCGCTTAAGGTAGTGTTCGGATATTGGCCGCCAGACTAGCGAGAATTCGTAGGATGCAATGCGAATTTCATAGTTTTGCCCGTAGAGGATAACACCTCCGCCAGTGATAGTCTCTGCGTCGTCGTTATCGGGAATTTGAAAAGTGACCGACGTAAGGCGTTTCGATCGGACAGATAGAAGCACATGCTGTGTAGCCGGGTTGATCTCGAAAGCGACATGAGTGGCAGACATGGGCTGTCGGGACGTGACCTGTCGCAGGATCAGATCAGCATCTCGCCCAAGTCGGGTGATGACATGACCCCCAGGCTTGGACGGAACATGAAAGCCAACTTCGAGGCCGGCCGAGCGTCCATTGAAGCTTGAGATGAAGCGTTGGTTGTCTGGGTGAAGCAGAGCATCGCGGGCAGTCTGGTTCGTGGGCTTGAGGTGGAAGAGTGTCTCCGGATGGGGATTTGGAGGCATGGCAACGACCAGGCCAAGATGTGATTTTGGAAATAAAATTCAAAATAAAAACTGAGACTGGATGCAAAGCTAGGTATCATGAAGAACAGCCTGGACTGGATGCCATCTGAGAAGTTGAGAACCCTTTTTAAGTTATAACACAGTGAAGGCCGCCAGACGTCTCGCCCAGCCCAAGTCGCGGCTGAGTCAACGGGCGCGTAGCCATTGGACGCCAGGACCCGGGCCCGTAGCGCCCGAGAAGATGCGCATATGCGGCCGATTGGCCAGATAATCATCGGCCTGCGGCCTGCGGCTGCGGCCCGGATGTCTCTCCTCATTGGTCGAGCAGGCGAGCTTCCTTTTTTGTCTAATGGCCTGATTCTTTGTCCGAGAGAAGGAAGGGGCGACGTGACTAATAATCCCGTGGCTGGCCTGTGGTCGCCCTCCAACCAAAGCTCGACAGACACCTCGTCCCTCCGCCTCCTTTTCTTCCTCCAAACCAAGCTGCATCCTCGGTGCCAGAGCCATGCCTCCATTCTTTGACGGCGCCCAGATCCGCGATGCTCTTCGATACCAAGCGATCCCCGCCATCGAGGCTCTTGCTGCCAACGAAGACCTGCACCGCCGGTCGCTCAGACGCTTCGAGCGCGATGATCCTCCGCCCTACGCATCGTCGACTGACTCGTCAGAGCCAGACGACACTCCGCTCTTGTCATCCGACGAAATCGACGCAATCCTAGACCCACCAATCACCGATCAAGAACGAGATTGGATGGCCCAATTCATGGCAGACATCTTGCATCCTGGCAAGGTCTATTACAAGGAGTGCCAAATCGAGGCTAAACGGCTAGACTACTACCGGTCTAGAAACGTGATATTCAGCGGAAAGAAGGGCAGAGAGCGATTTGGCGTCATCGTTCGTCGCAACGTCAGGCATCGCTGGGAGAAACTCGGCATCTGGAATCCTGCCTGGGGGTTTCCCGGCCGTAGCCTGGAGCCCAAGGACCTCATCAGCACGTGGAACTGGTGGTGGCGACAGTCCGGCCCCTGGAAAAAGAGTGATGGGGAGGAGCTCGTTGACCGTGCTCTACGCCAGCGCCAGAACCTTCGTCGCGGCGAGAGCGTACCTGTACCTCCACGCTCTCACTTGGAACACGGCATGGACGCGTCTCAAGCCGACTCTTTCATCGTGACCAGACCTTGGTTTGTATTCCAGCTCGAACTAAACGAGGAGTCCCTAAAGTGCCGGCGCCGCCTCCCCACTGCCCAAAGACATCAGGTTGACGAGATGAGTATCCAGCGTGTGAACGGGTGGTGGAGAGACCGCGGCGACTGGAGAAACGAGTTTGACAGCACTCAAAGACTTACCTCGTGGAAATGGCGGCATGAGTCTCCTTCCCCAGAACCCGAGGATATCACGGCCTTCGAGCCAACCAACAACACTGAGGACAACCCGCTCGACACAATGGACTTGACCCCCTCGGAAACTGATGCTCTAGAGACCATTGAGCTGCCGAGGTCCGAACAGCCCAAGAAGTTCTGGGCCATATTCTCGGGAGACTTCCCGCCCTTCTTTCCTGGACAGCAGCAGCCGGACCCTGCCGAGGACCAGACTCCTTCCCCAAGGTCTCAATCTGCACTCCCGGCGTCATCGCCTCCCGGATGGGCTCTCTTCAGACCGACGACGCCATTGCCACAAGAGCACGTCGAGGGGCCACCAGAATTCCAAGAAACTTCGTCACAGCCGCAACAAAACACTTCCGCCAGTCCTCCCCCTCAGAAGCCACGACGCCGGGGCCGGGGCAGACCACGACGCGGGGCAGGCAGGGCCCAGGACCCGCAGTCCCCCTCCCTGCCGCCTCGCCGTAGCGCCAGGATTGCAGCCATGAAACGTCCCGCCGAGCTACCGCCTGCGCAAGCGGCGCCAAACAAAAGGCCCAAGACCAGGACAATTCCACAGGCCACAAGGCCCGCCGCCCCACAGCCTCCTGCGCGGGATACTCCACGTACCAAGCCAAGGCCCATCCCTGCGCGTCCTCCGGTCCTTACGGAGCCTGAACCTCTTGTCCAACGAGGGCGGGGGCGTCCGAGGAAGGAGCCTGGGCGGGACAACTCCTCTGCTGTGACGAAAAAAAAGGCGGGGAGAGTGGCCGTGACGAAGAAACCAGCGGGGACGACTGCTTCAGCCGGGACCCCGGTCCGGCCGCGAAAGAGGGGTTTGAGGAGACGAGGCGCGCATTGTACGTAAGGGCGGGTCGTCAGGGTGGCTCATCGGCATTCTCCCTGTTGTGAAATATATGAAAGGATTTAATACATGATGCGTCATTACAGCCATGCCTGGCCACCTGGTAGCCGAGGCGCTGCTCGGGTTCTATTGGAAATGTGGTCGTGGCGCGGCTTCAGAAGTTTCTTGTTGTGAGACTTGCCAGGTTATTAACCGTCGTACTATATTGCATCGTAACCTTCCTATTCAGGAATTCTTGGGAACCTCTAGCTTCAACGAGCTACGCACATGCCCTGGCTGCCTCTCTGTCGCCTACCCCTGCACGCCTTCGGTCATTGCCCGGCTCGCTTGAGGTTCTTCAAACTGGGCCGCTCAATTGACGGCCTCGCATTCAACCCGCTGGGGCGCAGCTCGCCCGCGGGTGATCCGTCCGCCTTTGTCCTCCCTATGGTTGCCAGAGTTGATCCCTGTCTATAAGTCCTTTGCAGACGCGCTTCCACGGCATCATAAAACCCCCGCCGCCATTGCATTTATGCCACGGTGTTTCATGGAACGAACTAAAAGTATTCCGCGATAGATGATTCGTCAACCAAGAGGATAACATGGCGGCTACTCACACAGGGGACCATGAAGGCGCGTCGCCATTGTACATATAAGACAAGACGTTATAGCACGCCCGCATACTCAGGTGCATCAAACGAAACATAGAAACCAACCGCGGTCATAATATCCGTGTAAATCACATGCAATATCACCAACTTGCAGTACCAATGGCTTGTGCCCCGTCCACTTGTTAGGCGGAGGCCGGTCGGTAAGACGAATTTGTGCACCCTGCAAGTAAGCGCTTGGTCTGGCACATCTTGCCAGAGGTCGGTTGGTAAGACGGGCTCGTGCATCCTGCAAGTAGGCGCTGGGTCTGGCGCATCTTGCCGGCTGCAGGAAGCATATTTATCGAGTCAAGTCTTCAATATCTACCCAACACCCAGCATCGCCTCACTCAAATTGGAACAGGGGCATAAGGCGGCCATGTAGGGTCCGTATGTGGTCTCAGCACCCGCACGCCTTGGAATAGACCTTGACGGCTCCCAGACAAGCGGGCCTACCAGGAGCCGCGGGATATACTCCATCCCCATACCGAGTTTCCGACCTAGAATTGGCAGCATAGCAATAGAAATTGAGAGTTCATAACCGCCTCTGCCCGGGCCGTGTTTTTGACAACCATATTGTCAGCGAAGTAGAAGATCCATATCGCGGGGAGAAGCCCGAGTCGTCCCACACTGCGAGCTGTGCCATTGGCCGCAGCTTATGCGCTACAATAGTTTCCAATCAATGGTTTTCACATCGAATTCGTGTGATGGGTGGCGGGAGTGGTTTCTCTCCAGAGGCGGCATCATAACCAGAAGCAGCCAACCGCATTTATCGCCGGAGACTTCTCCTGAGATCAGAGTCTTTTAGAATAAGTTGGGCACGTCCCGCCCGATCCAAAGGCAGGAGCGAAAAAGGCTGGCAAATACCTTGAATGTCGACATCTTGGGGCGCTACCATAGTTCTAGCCATAATATCAGCTGTAATAGTGATTAAGGACTGAGATGTGTCAAGCGTTTTTTCTCTCGCTCTTTCACCTGTTCCCTACGGGAGCTGGGGACGGAAGTGCTGCCCCACCTTCTTGAGACCGACGACTTGACAAACAATCAGTAACACAGGCAGGATAGATGACTGACAGCAAAGGGGCAGAGTTTCCTATTGTATCAGGCAAGAAGTATTTCTTGACTAGCAACTGAGTCAGTCATGGTGGTGCCGTTAGAGAGGAATCAAAGGACTTATGGCATCGATTCCATTGTGCCGCAGCAGACTGAAGTTTAATCGACGGCCTGCCTGAGTCACCTCACCGCCCAGCACAACCCCTAACTCATGACCTTCACTGCCCCTATCATCATAGTTGATATGGCAGTTCGCGACTTATTGATCCATCTACTGTGTAAGACTACTTTGGGAGAAAAATGGATGGTCAAGGAGCTGGGCGATCTGACTTCGTCTCGTAGGCTCTGTCGTAACCATCCTTCGAATGAGATCGAGAAACACCTCACTCCCAGAGTCGCTTTTTGGTCGACGAGACTCCCAGGCCTGGTCCGTATCGAAGAAGGGTAACACCGGCTGTCTCCAGCTCTTGGTACTCGCGCAGAACGTCGTCAAGTCCCAAAACTTGGACCAGTCCCTCGGTGGTGCCCCACCGAGCCGCAAAGCTTGGTAAAACTGATATTGGAAATCGCCTTGCACTAACAGGAGTTGGCATCCTGTCTTGAGCTGGTATGCCTGTCCAACCCACTTAATACATGTCTGGCGTGGTGTTCGAAGGAATAACTTACTATACACCCAATTGCCCAGATGTCTGCTTCTTTGCTCCAGACGGATCCGATTTTCCATCGGATAGTATATGCATATAGACCTCGGGCGGCCGAATCGTGGGAGGGGCAGCACCTAATAGGTCTCCGGCAATTTTATCTGTCCAGAAGGCTAATGAGGCACGGACCTGTTAGTAACCTGGCAGCGTAACGCGAGAGGGATATTGGCCTACCTCTTCCAAAATCCAAGATCTTGGAACAGATTTCCTCGCTTGGGGGAAAACAGTGCTTATCGGTGGTGCCCGCAATTGCGTCGTAATTCACTTAGACCACGTGACCACTTATCGCCCGCAAAACGCCGCCCGTGAAATCGTGTGCAGGACGCCTGATAAGTGCATTTGATAAGTTCCCACCCGACTTATCGGGTTTCCGGCCAACCCAGCCCAGACATTCGCCCCGTAGGAAGGTTGCCCGATCGACCGAGATGGCCGCGGACGACTCGTACACGGCAGCTGACGAGCGCGCCCGTGCCGCCCGGAGGGCGGGCATCCAGGCGAAGAAGGACGAACAGCCGGCGAACACGACGCGGAGTTACGCGGCGAAGCAGCGGGAGTGGAAGGCGCGTCCCCCGGCCGGTCCTCCACTTCGATCCCTGTCACGTACGGCCCCCTAGGCGGCTAACAGACAAATGCGTATAGGCCTGGTGCCATACGCCTCGGGCTGCAGCAGACGGCTCGCTCTATAGCTGGCCCGACGGCGAGCTCGTAACGCCGGACAAGCTGGCGGCGTGGCTCAAAGAGGATATCCTGTTACGACGCGTTGTGCCGCCGCAGAAGAAGAAGCCGCGCGCGGGGTAAGATTAGGGGCAACGGCAACGGCGAGGCCGTACAGGTACGGCAACAGCGCGAACAGGAGCAGCTCGAGGCCGCGGCCATGGCAGAGGCCGAAAGCCTGGCCGAAGCTTTGAGGTCCCCTGGCCGAGGCCGCCGAGCTGCTCGCTGACGACCGCGAGGGCTACGTGCCACCCACAGGCCTCGCGACGGCTGCAGTAGACCTTACCGAAGGGTCTTTGCTTACGAGGGGCACTATCGACGCCTATATCGCGGCCGTTATCGAGCTATGGAGGCTCCAGGTGGCTCACGGCAACGCGAATACGGAGAATCCCCGGGGCGCCGCCGTACGAGGATTCCTTGAGCAACGGGGCCGCCAGCGGGGGAAGCACGACCGCGCCTCCTTTAAAGACCGCGGAAGCGACGGGATCCAGGCCGGCTACCTCCCCGATGAATGGCTTCGGATCCAGGATCTCCTTCTCACTGGCGCCGCGTATACGCCGCAAAACCTCCGTACGCGAGTCGACCTCCTCTCGGCCACTACTACCTCTTACGGGGAGAACCGGCGCAAGATGGAGCTTGCAGACCTATCCCTACTCGACTATCCGCCTTCGGAGGGCCCGACCCCCTGTGGTTGCCTGGTAAGCCTTTTACGGGACGGCAAGCTAAATAAGACGGCGAGCAAGGAGTTTATGGGCGCGCTCCGGCACAAGGACCCCTTATTCTGTACGCAAGGGGCCCTAGCACAGCTCTTCTTTGGCGCTGGCACGTCGCCGGCGAACCCCGTCCTTCCGGCGCCGTCAGGACTGGTATCGGATCAAGGTCCTCGTCGGGCGGGACCGCGAGCAGGAGCTCTCGTACCCGACGCAGCTACAAGAGACCTGGCGTATCTTCGGCGCTGCCGGCCTTATCGCGTCGAAGAAGACGCACCTCCCGCGCAGGGTGGGCGCCCAGGACGCGGAGACCCATGGCACGTCGCTCGCCCAGATCTCGCAGGCCGGCCGCTGGAACCAGAGCGTGCTCTGCCAGGCATATCTTACGCACCTACCGCGGCAGTTCATGCGTATCGTCGCCGGCTTCTCGGCCTCCCCGGGGACTACTCGCGCGTGCGGCTCACGAACCCCGTACGTCTTACAAAAGCAGCTGTGGCCGTGGATCGAGGAGTGGAACCCGCTTTGAGGCGCGCGCGCGCCGGCAATGCTGGGCAGAAGGCGGTCTCGACGACGACGACCCAGCCGCTGACGGCTTCCTTGCTTATGCGGCGCCTGCGTATAGTACTTCTGCAGGACCTGGCCGTCCTACAGCTCCGCTACCCGTCGCTACCGTTCTTCGCCTACGCCCCTTTGGCGGGCCCGAGTGGGACGAGTTCGCCGTCGCCGTGCGGTCCACCGCGGTAGGGGCTATGGAGCCGGTAAGCCTGCTCGTACGACGCGCGCTGCCGGAACTAAGCGGCGTCATAGAGAGCACGCGGGAGGCCCTGTTACAGAATAGTCAGCGGCTCGCCATCCGGCTTGAGGCCCGGCTGGACGGGATTCAGGGCGGCCTCGATGCCCTCCTCCAAGGCAAGGTCCCTATCACCTTTACCGGCTACTTCGGAGCCGGGTCAGCAGAGGCGCTGGCCCCAGCCCCGGCCCCGGCCCCGTCAACAGTACCTACCTTGAATCTCAATACAGCCCGGCCCGGCCCCGCCCCCGCCCCAGAGCCTCTGGTACCAGGCATGCCTATCGTCACAGCCCTGGCAAGGGTCTTTACGGTGGGGACGTCTGGAAGGAGTGGAGGAAGGGTTTGCAGGTCAGAAGGCCGTACGGGAGCTGGAAGAGACGTGGGAAGCCGCTGGCGCCGGGGAACGGGGTCAGAGTGCAGTTCTGTCGCCCGAAGGTGATCTGGGACGAGCTGTTGGCCCGTATGGCGTCCGGCAAATGCAAGGAGGCGGCCGTTGCAGAGCTAGAGCTGTTACGCGCCGGCCGAAGCTTGAACCGACTCGTCGACGAGCTCAAACAGCGCCGACGGCGGGGCCAGGATCGGGGCCAGGGCCAGGGCCAGATACGGGTACAGGTAGGGACCCCGTGCCCGATGACCCAGGTCCAGGCCCGACCAGGTCCAACTCGAGGTCAGGGCCGTCGGGGCGGAGGACCCGGCTGGGAAAGCGGACCGCCCTCGTCGACGTAAGCCAGCCGCCTCGTAGAGTCTTTATACATATTTATATCCATGTAACTAGACATATTTTTGAGGATCAAAGGCCGTAGGATCAGTGCATTACTATCTCGCAGTTCCTGTAGCCGAGCCTAGCCCCCCCATTACCCATTCGCGGCGCTGCAACGCAAATATCTCGACGGACAGTAGCCTATACGGAGTGCTCCTCGACCAAACGCGCCGCCGGAGTGGATTAGTCCCCCAGGCCCCGGAATGGCCTCGATTGGGCTGCTGGCCGTGGAGATATTCGCGTGCGCGGCGCCGGGCACTTATCAGATGGTAGATATGTAATCGCATACGATTTCCCGAAATTACTCCGCAAATCGACCCCACGATAAGTCCTGCTTATCTAGAATGAATGATCCTAACGAGACACTTTCGGCAACGTAACTTGGTATCGAGTCTCTTGGAAACGATGGATCACGCGGCACCACTGTTATAACAGCAGGGTCTGCGAAGTAATCTGCTATCGTCTTTGCATCAAACTGCTGTAACTGTGGTATTGCGATACCAAAGTTAGCATAACTGGGGTCTACACACCAACCGTTAGCTATACACCTCTGTAATTACTCACGTTTAGGATTTGTTCATTGGATTGAGCCTTACCTCCATGCACCAGCCCCTCGTTGTGTAGAAAATGAAACTCCCTCAATACTTGTTCAATCGCTTTCCGAGGCGGGAATTGCTGTTGGATAGACATATTTTCGAGGGGCACAACGACTTCTGTTACCAGACATCCATGGAATCCATTCGGGCTCCGTATCGTAAAGACATCGTATATTTCGACAATATTATTATAACCAGGCTTACCTTGTCCAGTCTGACGAATTTGACAGAGAATTCTCGTTTCATTGCTCTGAATGAGCTTGTTAGATCCGTGACAGACTTTGAGAGCAACATATCTTCTGTCAAACGATTACTGATTGCCAGCCAGTGCTTGCGTTATTAAAGGTCAAGACTTACTCCTCGCCGAGGTCACGCGCTAGCCAAACCGTTGAGAATGCTCCAAATCCGAGCTTCTGCGCGATCCGATATCTTGGCTGCTTAGCCTCGTCATTCATGCAACTGCCACGCTTTGGAAGGACATCGCCGAGAACGATGGGATGAAGTCCGCCAGGCTTGTATTTGGCCAGGTCTTCAACTCCTGTGCCGTCCCCGTTGTAAAAGAAAAGATCTTGCTGGCTGGGCTACATCGTGACTGAGGGACGGGCGATTCAATAAATGATGTAATACAGGCCCAAAGGATGCTTAAAGGTAAGTATTATAGTCCTTCTGAGTTGTTTTCCGATGAGAAAAGATATTAACTAACTGTTGAGGAGAGTAGGCATAAGAGGCCATAGTCATGCCTAATAGACCTAATAGGCATGCACAAGGAAGCCTGCCTGACTAATATGACTCCCCTAGCCTAAGGACATTATATAGGCCTAACTTAGGTATAGGAACATCTTAATGCCCTCTTTTAGCTAGCTATATATAGTCACTATACCTATATAAGCCCCTCCCTTATCCTAATAGATAGACTAAGATATATATTACTAAATTTACCTTTCTATGCCCTTATTTCTTCTACTATACTCTTAAGCTATAGCTTAAGAGTTATAAGCCCGGCCTATACGGCTAGATTATCTTTTGCCCGCCGATATTACCTTTACAGCTATTTACGAGCTATTAACGCCGAACCTAGCTATACTAAGGGGCACTACTAGAAATATATAAATTATATAAATTACGTATCCCTTAAAGAAGGATATTACTTATTAAGCTAGAACCCTTTATTTTCCTAAGATAATGTTAAAGGAAGTAAGAGGGGATAATTATATCGTAAGACTAAAGGAAAGCCTTAACTAGACCTTATAGATTAAGGGGATTAAATCGTAGGCTTAGACTTATAAGATTTAGAAATATATTAACTTAGACGGTATAAAAGAGCTTAAATAGCCCTAATAGCTAAACTAAGAGTAATTTATTATTAACCTTAAAGGGAGACCTTTTTAATAAGAAGATAAAACTAAGGCTATATTCCTTATTATAAAAGTCTTTAACTATTATAGGTAATAGGCTTAGGCCGTAGCCTAAGCCGTATAGTTACGTACGGAGGGCCGGATCCCGTATATATAAGGGCGGGCTAGCCGCGTATAGAAGAGCTCTATATAGCTTATTAATATTATCCTACGGACGGCACCTACGTATACGCCTCTGCCTACTCCGTAATAGTATAAGCTATTAACTAATAGATCTAATAGATATCTCCCTAGAAAGGGTGCCGCTTCCCTAAGGGAGCACCCCGCTACCTCCTAGGCGGATAGAAAGTATTGCAGCTATCCTAGAAGCGATTAGAAGCGCGATAGCTAGCGAGAAGAACGAGGTTCTCGCTATACTAAGGGAGCCGTCTATAAGACTAGCGTTAACCCCTATAACCTTAGTAATACCGGTTACGGCGGCGGCACTATTAATATAAAAGCCGCTTCCTTAGCTAACTTAGGACGGTAAGCTTAAGTCTTTCTACTTCTTCCTTAGCTAGCTATAGATAAAGTTTATAATAAACGAGAAATAGGGCCTAAATAGCTATTATAATATAGCGTAGTATTCGCTCCTCTATACGCTATTAGAGCCCTAGATATAGCGGATCTCTAGATTCTAGGATAAGGGCGGCCCTAGAGGTAAACGCGACCTATAGGACTTCTTTTAATACCTTATATATACGTTCGGTAACGTATAGGAGCGGGAGAAGGTATAGGATAAGCTATAGACCTATAAGTAGAGGGATAGGTAGACCTTTAGCGAATTCCTCCCTAACTTTAAAAAGACACTCTTATAAGCGGCGGGAACTATAATATAAGAAGATAGCGCGAAGCTTATATAGTTACGGAACTTAATTACGCTAGCCCTATAAGAGCTACTTATCCTTATAATTATACCTATTAACTACGGCGAGTATATAAGCCGGTTAATAAAGGTAGTATAGGGCTATAAGTAAACGCCGCGTTTTTAAAAGCTTTATAAGCATACGCTATACATACGCTATATAGCGGTAACGGGATTACCGCCCCTCTATAAAAGGAATAGCTAACTATCGATATTAATAGAGATACCTTAATATCGGCTACCTATATAGACCGAGCTAAACGCGGTAGGAAGTTATTATTAAATATCCTTTATACTATCCCGCTCTCTAAGTAGCGGGCAAAGTAAGTAACGAGTAAGGAAATTAGGAAAAAGAAGGCTAACGGCCGCTACCTATATTATAGCGCGTCTATATACTTTATATTAAAATACCCCTTCTTTTAAGCTAAGCGGCCTATAGTAGTTTAAGTAGCGAAGATAGAACCGCTCCTTGCCTTAGATAATAAAGAGGACTCCGCTCCCTTAAGCTTAGAGGAAAAAGAGTAGCTCTAGAGTAAAGACGGGCTCTAGAGCCCTAATTACTAATACTAGTAAAGGAGAAGGAGGAATTATCTGCCTATATAAAAAAGGAGCTTACTTTAATATAGGTTATAGTTAATAACTCCTTACCTATCGCCGCCCTTATAGATAAGGGCTACTAGTACTATACTATAGTTAATAAGGCGCTTATATAAGAGATATAAGTACTAATAGAAAAGATTGCCCTAAGGTAAGTAAAGGGCGCCTTAAGCGTAATAAAGGGTATAGTAATTAAGGGTATTATATAGCTAGCTATAAAGGTCGATAGTTACTATAAGCTTATTATAGCCTATATAATCCCTTAACTAGAGTTTCCCTTAATCCTTAGGAAACACTAGTTATTATATATAGAGTTATACTTAGTTTTATACTAAAAGAAGCTATAGTTTAGGCCTACGTAATAGTAGGTCCGCTATAATAACGGTTTTATAAGCGTAGGACTAAGCGTATAAGCTTTATACTTAGTATAAGAAGTCCTTACCTTTATCTTTATAGGAACTATATAACGGTTAAAGTAGGAGGAAGGCTAGGCAGCGGCTAATATAGCGGTCTATATAGTTAGC